ATTCCCGACAGGAAACATAAAACTAATAACTATGAAAAATCCCATCAACAGCATCATATACTTTGGTTCTATGGAATAAATATATCCCCAAGCAAACCCAAACAATAGAATTTCAAAAAGAGTTCTGACTGGGTGGCGAAGTTGAATTAAAAAGTTTTTCCATATCAACAGTCGTATTTTTTCCAAATTTGTGGTTTTATTTTGATTAATGTTTTGCGCTTTTAGTAGCCCATTTATCGCCATTTTGGAAAATTCCTATTAGTTCAACAAAAAAATTAATAAAATTAAGACTGTGCATGCAAAGAATCAAAGTAACTTTTTGTAACTTAATTTGTTTAGAATAAATAAACCATCTGTATAGAAACTTAAATAAGAGGGAAAACAAGGAGCTATTTGTTCGCCGCAATGATTCATATATAATCTATAGTAGAGGTGTACGTCATTCAACAGTTAAAAAAAAATCACTCGCACCTTATATTCTTTAAGATAAAAATTCTTATCACACGAAACAAAATTAACAATTGTTCTTAACTTATGACTCATTAAGAACATTTAGACATTCGGTGCGAAGTAAATTACGATCATAAAGTTCAAAAAATTGATTGCGAGTGACTAATAAACGCCGACAGCATTACTTGTTTCATTTTCTGTCTAATAGATTTTTCATAGCTTTTCCACGCTTGCATTTTCCACAATAAAATATATAATAATATTTTCTATAAATTACTTCTCTGAATAGTTCTGTTTAATGGAAAATAAAGAGCCATTCACGAATACTTTTTTCACGAGGGGCGTAAAATTTTTGTAATTGAATAGAAGTTGTTAAAAGTATAGTAGTTTCAATATTTTGTTTTTAGGATAAAAAAATTCTCAAAAAACTAAAACAAAAGCGTCAATTATGCCGATTTATTAAAAATATTTTTTTTAAGAAAATTTCAAAATTTTAATTTTTTATTTTAAGCTGGCAGAAAATATCGCAATATAATGTCTGATTTTACATCGAAATTTTTTTATTTTTCTGTTTAGAACATGAAAACGTTGGAAAAAAAGAAATATTTCAATCATGTCTTTCATACTTCACACGACAAAATTTACTGAAAATACAGCTGCGATTTAAATATTGTCTTTTTTCAGACTTCCAAAGAATATTATTCATCAAAAATAAATAATGACTTTTTAAGTGGTTTATTTACACTGGCGCACTTTATTCCTTACATTTGGTGTATATTTCCATTTTTACACTTAAAATTTAATAGTGTATTAAATTCACGGAATAAGCTTTCTTTTACACTAATATTCAATACACCGAAATGTACACTGAAAATATTGGGAAGATTCGTTGAACTATTCAAATTTTGCATGAATACAACAAATTAGATGAATATGCCGATATTTTTCATGATTTTACACTACTTTGAAACATTTAGCCCACTGAGTAGTATTACAAATACAATAATGAACATTTGAATTTGAAAAAGTGTGTTCAAAACAATGTCTAAGATACTTTCTTACTGTAAGACTCCTGCTATCAGTGATGAACAACGTAAAACAATCGACTGGTTTAATGAAAAGCAATGTCGCACAACTTATATTTGTTCATATCAATATCCGTTGTAAAAATGCTTCCGATAAGAGTTTATCTATAAATCATATCATTTGTGAATTAGACCCATAACTTTTCATTCCGAAACAGCGTTGCTTTGATAACAGCTTTTGGATGCGCATGCAGAAACGCAACGGTTCGTGGGTTCTGAATGATAAAGAGTAAAGTCCACGTTCCAAGAAAATCTAGTAATACAATTCTGCATACGCGTGCAAAAGCTGCTGTAAATGACTGTTTTTCAAAAGCAGCACTGTCTCAGAAAGCTGTATTATATACTTAAATACTCTTGAAAAAAAATCACCGTTAAAAAAGATTAAATCGCTTCAAGTATCTTCACAATTCAATGAATCATATTTGAACAAAAATTATTTCACATGGTATTGCTAATAATACAACATTTCTATGACGTTGTTTTGAATTATGATAACAGCTGTTATTTTTAACGATTCAAGTGATATCGATGTTTCAATTCATCGCGAATCTTTTTAGGTTGGAATTTTGACTGGTTGTTATTATCATGAAACACTATGTAATTATATGATTTTCCGAGAATGAATATGAGACATCTCCTGAGGTTTTATTTAAATATAGTGTATGTAGTGAAAAATCGAGATTTGAGAAGCCTCCGATCACTGAAGAGAGGACTCTTTTTACTCTTCAATTTTTAGTCGATGGGAACCACTTAACTTTCCACCCATGCTGATGTATGATCTACACCATAATTTTGACATTTCTTTTGTAAATACCAGTGTTCGCAACTCTGAACGAGCTCCGATGCCGACCGATCGAACCCAAGATACTCGGAGAACGGTCGGCGTCGGAATGATTTCGCCATCTGAGTTTTTCCAAGTTCGTGACTTTTTGAAAAATTGAATGGATTTTTTATCAAATGTCATTTTTTTCTCATTTTGTATTAAATTTTGTTCGATTTTCAAGCGTCGATACACTGGTAAATACTTTTTCCATCGTTAAGCTTATAAGTTACATTTTATGATGAACAAAAACACTGGAAATTAAACATTTAATCGCAAAGTTTTGGTTTTTTCCGATATGTGCTTGTTTATCATATATATATATATATATATATATATTGGAATCAGTTTCAGTTTTTAAGGAAAAATATGAAGAAAATGATCAATGATGTTAATCAAAAAGAAATCATATTGAATTAAAAATGGAAATATCTAAAGATGTGTTTCTTTCTACAGGAATAGAGAAAATAACTTTATTTATATGCACACACACATGGTGGAAAAGAAAACAAAAATATCATAAAAAGTGTTTTTTGGATTTTTTACATTTTAGAGTTTTGTATATACGTTTCACTAACTGACTCTTGTATTGCGCTAAAATACATGCACGACCAATTCTTCAATTCCAGCTCTTTTGGTTTTTTGGTAAATTCCCAGATAAATTCATGAAAAATCTACTTTTTTCACATTTATCAATAATTAATGAGAATTTTAAGTTATTGCAATGATTCCACTTTTTGGTAGTGATGAGCAATCGCAAATTATTTTATCACAATTAAATGAAATTTCATTTTTGTTATCACATATCTACATATTTTTATCTTCTTGGGCTTTGAATATGGGAACACATTTTATTATTTCGGATTTTATACGTGCGAGAATATTCGATAATTTCTTTCAATATTATTTACGATATTCTCAGTCTAAGTTCTCTCAGATAAGCAAATCCACCGTGGTAAAAAAATGAGACAGTCAGTCTGTTTGAATATTCGATTTGGTTAGGTTTAAAACAATTTTAAACCATTTTGCTACAATGCGTCATTGTTTAAGCAATTATACCAATTTATCTCATTGTTAACGACTTATAATTTCGACACTGTCAAGTCTAGACCAAAGTCTTATTTTATTATTTAAAATGTCAATGTATCATGCATTTGTATGAGAAAAATATATTTGAAATGCTCAACAAAAGTGAATTGCATATTTTCCAATCTCAATTTCCCGCTTGCTAACTCTTTGAGTGTAGTACAAAATTTCGCCGGAATTGTTTATGGAAATATCGATATTTTTCAATATGAAAAATGATTGATTTTCCATATAAATCGGCTCAAAAATGAAGTTTGCCTCCACAGATTTATGATGGAGTATCGCAAAACAAACGTCAAATTCAGTTTTTTCGTGCCAAACTAAACTTTTTTTTTCCTTTTTTTATAAGCATTACGTTCTTATGTTCATAAGTTACCGCTCAAAAGTCAAATTTGCCCAGTACACAATTTTTTTTTGTAAGACAATGTTTATTTATATTCATAAATAGCGCAATTTCCAATAAAATGTTTTGACAATTTGATTGGAAAAAAGTGTTATACAATATAGGCGAATAACAAATATGATGTTCATTACTGTGTTTTAGTTGTGTATGGCAGTTTAAAAGTTATTTACTTTGACATTTCTATTCTGTTGAGTAATTATTCTCATTTGATGTTGATCTGACATTTTTACAAAATAATAAAATTGTTCACAAAAACTGTGCTTAAATATTTCAACAAAGTGCTAACAAATTTTAGTTATAAATGAATATATCAAACGAAATTGAAAATAGATTTGTATAGAATTAGAAAGATAAAAGAAAAATCGGTCTACCATTTAATCGCAAAATGTCGAAAGTGTTTTTGTTTCCCATTGCGGTCTTTTTGTTATTTCAAACGACATTTATTTGCACATATATTGCATCTGTATTAGAGGGTCATGTTGTCCCCGATATTCCTTACATCAGTGACAGCGCTACGTATTCACCCGAGAGCTGCGTTTTTGGTCAACTCATAAATACGGGATGTGTGTTATTGGGCATTGTTGTTTATATTCGGTATAGACAAATCCAACAATTGATTTATCATCATCCCAGTTTAATGGAAACAACGGCCAAAATGAACCAGATTGCATTGTGGCTTGGAATCGGCTCGGCCATCGGTTGCAGTATCGTGGCTAATTTTCAAGAAACAAATGTCCGTATCATGCATTATGTCGGCGCTCTTAATTGTTTTGGACTTGGAACCGCTTATTTCTGGCTACAGGCAAATCTCACCTACAATATATCACCGTATATTGGATCAGTGAGATTAGCGCACGCACGACTTGGATTGGCGGTTTTGTGTACAATCTTTTTTACCGTTGTTGCAGTAACTGGTGTTATTTCTCATATTTTGTTCGACGGCCAAGATCCCCGAAAGTGGTATCCATCAGGTATAAAAATAACTTTAAAAAACGCATAGAGAATATATTCATTATTATTTTTTTGCATTTGGCATTTTGTTTCGTTAGATGGAGGCTGGAAATATCACGTTGCATCAACAATTTCTGAATGGATAGTTGCCACAGTGTTCTGCTTTTACATTTTATCATTCACCGACGAATTTAAGCTCATTTCATTTGATCATCCACCTATTGCAATCGCAGGCTATGAAGATTTGAAATCAAATGAAAATGAACATGTGGACGCTTAGCTTTCACCTATCGATTCAAATATCTCGAATAATTTTTTTTAATGTGATTCAGTCTGTGACATAAGATTATTTCCATTGTATTATCGTTGAATTTATTGAGTAAATAATACACCAAACAGTTTTACGGCATTTTTATTGACTCATTGTTATTTATTCATTTAAATATAAGTAAATCTGGAGTTTTTTAAATGAGTAACAAAAGATCAACAATTCATGACGCACTAAATATATCGTATTTTATTTGTGATAACCATATCAGTTGTATATTTAACGCCCAAATTATGCGTCATGTGACTCTACTTCTTTGATGTACCAGTCAGGCAGGAAACTAAATTCACTGCGATTCTTGAATGTTTGCATAAAAATGTATTCCGATTTAGCAGGATCATAGTCGAATCGAAATACATCGTAGGGATTATCAATTCCACTCATTTCCTTTGACACATATTGTAGAAACTGATTACAGAATTCCATACACACAGAAGATGACCAATACTTCTGAAAAAATGCCAAAAAATATTTTTGTATGTCAACGATCATCTTTAAAAAGATTGTCAAATAAAATAAAAGTTTTCAGTAATGGCAGTGTACAATGCCAAAAATGTCCATTGATAATGTTGATATTTATTTACATACCTGACACTGTTTTGGAATATCTTTTACATAAACCGTTGACTCTTCGTTGACAATGCCATCGGTCGTTCTTGTTCCAACAATTATTTTATTAATATTAACCAAAAATGATTGGCACCACCAATTTCGAAGTTTGAATCGAAAGTAATTTTGCTTTTGTCTGTGATTTTGTTCGCGTAGTTTGACTTTTAATTCAACAAATTTAAATTGATTGAGATCTGCTTTGTTCAAATCACAAGGTTGCTCAGTTTCAATTCCGTCCATTTCGGCGCCGTATAGAATTTTTTGTCCATTCAACGTGGTTGAAAACATACAACAAAATTCTTCACCCTCATTAACTGGCTCATTCGTTGAGGGTTTTTTACGGGGATCATCTTAATTAAAATAAGCATAAATATGAAGTCACAATATAAAAAATGTCCATTGAAAATACTTACCGGTTAAAATAAATTGTTCAAATTTGAAGCCATATGAAAAAATCCGTTTTGTTGCTTCAGTTTGATTACGTTTTTCTTGAGCTTGTTTTTCCGTTTCTTGGGCACATAAATAAATGGTTCCTTTGTACTTTGTTGCTAAAATTATCCATGAATCTCTTTGTTCATATGGCGTGCACATTATCAATCGCAACAATCCACGAAAACATACAAAATTGGCCGATAAATTCCAACCATTTTCTGATGTTTCTTTATTCAAAACTTTATTATTTCCTAAGATAAACTCTAAAAGGTGAGTAATCTTCTCTTCAGAACATGATTCAGGCTTTCGGATCACATTCTCTATTCCTTCATTTAAATCGTAGTAAATACGATCCGACCGATAGTTATTATAAACATATTTGCAGTTCGAAGCATCCGGTAAATATTGACGGCTTTCATTCAAACTATAGTAACCGACAATTTTTGGCTGCGATATTGACGGAAATCGCGGTGGATTTTTTGTATTTTTCGGCGATAAATATGAGTTTTTAGTAGACGAATTCATTTTTTGTAACACACAGTGACGTTTTTTCAGATTGTCAAATAGGAAATGTCATTTGAGCGATTCATTGGAAGTGTTATAATTTCAATGGAGGAACGCACTCTTTAGACATTTACATTGTTTGTTTCCTTCTTTCAAACGGTTTCGATTTGAAAAAATTAACAACGCTTCAAAATTTATTTTAAACGATAGAAACTGATTTTAAAATTTTCTCAAAAATGCGATATGTTTGTCTGTAATTAAATTTTTTGGACTTTTAGATATATTTTTTAATAAAATTTTTGTTCCATTGCGGGAAAAAAGATATTTACCAATCCTTTAAAAAGTATGAAATCTAAATTTATCAGTTTAAAAAAAAAACCTTAGTGATCTATGTTTTCCAACAAATCAAATCGCATCGTTTACTTATTTATATAAACCCATATAAATTGGAATTCACCGAATGTAACATTGTTAATAAATAAATGAATGCAACATACTTATTGAAACCTTAAATTAAATTTGAACTCTCGTCTTTGAAATTCGCTGAAAATTACGGGATGTATATGTCAATAATACAAATGTATGTTTTATCCTAACCGGTTTTTGTGACCTTGAACCTGGGTCACAAAACAGACTGGTTTAGATGGAACACAAATGCTCGCTTGCTTTTAAAATGTAAATATTGGATAAAAAAAAAAACGCGCGCATTGCAGTCTGAAATAGTTTAATACGGCAGTTTGCTTCACCAAGCAATTTTCATTTATATAGTAATATCAGCGCAGTATGTAGTTGATTATTCAAAGTCAAAAGAGCCACAGTCTTAGTTCAATGAATTGAAGAAAAAAACTTTAATGATTTTTAAGCATAATTTTAATGTGATTTATTAAGAATGGAATTTCTGCTCTTTCAATCAAAGTACATCTTCTATAAATTTATTTTGTTTTATTTTTTATTGTTTTAACCAAAAAAATGTTACTTATAAAATCAATTTATGTTATCAATTTGAATCAAAGTAAAAACGTAATGAAAAACTCTTTCCTCTTTTTTTTAAATTGTCGATGTCGAAGTTTCACATTTAAATACTTCATATACAGTAGATCCTCCACTTTCATCCCTATGCTTATATGGATTTTCAATATATCCAGTTGGTAAAACTACACTTTCCCGTTTAGCATTGCATTTTAGATAAGATTTAACATCGATCGAAGTTTGGAGAAGAAATTCTACTAAAATACGTTCTGTTTCCTCTGGAATATTTTTGTAACGTTCAAACGAACAATTTATCTGGACATTGAACATTTTTTCACACATTTCTGATATAATATTCAAGAGAATTGGATCATTGACGACATTCGAAAGTTCAGCTTCAGTGGTGCTAAATTGTTTTGCATATTTAGATAAATTAACCCTCTAGTGCATAGCCCTGCCTTTAGGCAGGGTGTATAAATTATTGTCTAAAATATATAATTAAAAACAAATGATTCTATTTATGAATTAAAATATTTTCAGCAGGGTTCAGGCTTTCATTTGCCGGTCATTTGACAAGTGAAAAAAACACGGTTGTTTAATTATAAACACAGATGTACGCGAAAACAGAAATTTGACAAAAAAAATTATTTCTCTCTTCGTTTATAGCAATTTTATAGCAGTTTAAACAATGGATTCGATTGTTCTCCAATTTTGTCAATAGCATTTTTTGACTAAACTATGCAACTTTTTGAATTTCGATTATTTTTTTAAGGAATTTGAAACCAAAGAAACCATAGAAAAATAGTTCTCACGTCGAAAAAAAATTAATGCATTAGAGGGTTAAAATTTGGAAGAACAATACCACGGACCGTTTGCATAACACATAGATCTTCGCATAAATTTCTTGCCTGGAATTGTAAAGAAAGTTGTTTATATTGTTATTAGTACCAAATTCTTGTTCAAAAGAGCTTACTTCGAAGTGTGTAAAAGGAAGTCGACGAGAAAAATCGTTTAGATGTTTATTCAATGATTTCAGAAATATTTTTACTTTGCCGCCATAAGATTTTCCACAACGATTTAAATATTCAACAACATCTCCAACAAATTTTCTATCTGCATTTCTTCCATAAAGCTTGATCGCATTCCAAGCATAGATATCATTAAAATTTCTGGACAAAGACTCAATTGCACATTCCAATTTTGCCATATAATTTTCAAAACACAAGTTTGGAAGTAATTCGACAGGCTTATAACTGGGCCAAATATAAAATGGAAATTTAGTTAGCAATGTATCACACGAATGCAGTTAAATCAATTTATAATTGCTACAAACCGCGTGTTTTATTTCAGGATTAAGAGCCACTTCAATCTGTGTGTTAATGAGAAAAATTAAATAAATAATAAAAAATGATGACCAAAACTCATGTGCGTGGAGCCAACAACAACAACAGCAACACCATCGACAACCGCACCACCGATGCCAACAACGTTATCAACAACACATCAACCGATCTATACAACATATGATCCAGACGGTATTATTCCATTGCATTTAAATTAGCCATATTGTGAACAAGTATTTAAATTAAAAAAACTCCAACTTACTTCTCTGTTTGTTATTATTGCTTGAAAAGAAAAATGATGCATAAGCTGCTTTGATAATATACTTATACCTCTCAATGAGTGTGTGGGAGAATATAGAATTATTGAGTGAATGAATGCGCGAGTGAGTGAATGAATGCGCGAGTGAGTGAGTGAGTAAGTCAACGATTGTCTTTGATTATTGTACATATAATTATCAACTTGAGTGATAATAATACAAGACGAAAGCTATTTTCTCTGTGATCATGAAATGAAAAAAATATTTTAGTTATCATCAAGATTTCTTTTTTCGAAGACAAACAATTTTAATTGTTCAATAAATATTTCTTGTATGACAAACAAATGTCATCAAAACAATCTGAATCTTTTGAATCACAGTGAATCAGATTAATCATGTCCTACCCCCTAGGATAAAACATACATTTGCATGCTACTAACATCGTGTTGGATATTTTATGGATATTGTTATTTTTGCGATCACCACAGATGAGTTTATTAAGTGAACAGATTGATAGCACTAAATATAAAAGAAAAACTCATTATTTAAATTTTTTATCAAAAATAGCGTCTGTCGACTTACATTTATTGTCAATTTTAATAAAAATTTTGTACATTATTCATAATAAATATGTCAATGGTCTCATAAGACTGCTTTGTTTTGTATGAAAGTTTAAAAAGGTGAACACTTTCAAGTTGTACAATCTCATGATATATGCGGTGAGAAATGGAATAACAAAAATGTATCGAAATGATTGACGATAGCATGTCATAATCGATTTTATAATTCATAATTTTTCATATAAGTATTCAAATATCGATTAATCGATGGCTACAGCCCACGGATGTTCAATTTTTCCATACTGAATGGCTGTCAATGTTTGCCTGATGCGACCGAATAACGGTTTTTCTTGCTCCATTGTTGGTATCATCAGATCAGTACCCAAATACTGAATCCGCTCAATCGGGCTGACAGTACAGGCAGTTCCAGCTCCAAACATTTCCAAAAGCTACATAAAAAACAACAATGTTAGATGCTGGAAAATATGTAAAGCACCAGTATGATAATCATGTGATCAAACTTACTCTTTCCTCTTGAATCAGTTTGCAGATGTCTTGCATCGTAATTGTACCTTCAGTCACTTTACAATCATTCCATTGTTTTGCCAAATGTAGTATTGAGTCTCGAGTAATCCCCGGCAAAATAAGCCCATTCAATGGTGGCGTTTTCAATTCTTTTTCTGATATTGTGAAAGAAAACATCACGTTAATTAGCCATAATAATTTCAATTTAAAACCGAAAAAGATACCAACCTCCTTGTTCATTAACGAATAGTACGAAAATGTTCATTGTACCAACTTCTGTTAGCTGATGATCAGGTCCATAAAGCCATAAAACCTGTTGTAATCCCTTTGAAGCTGCTTCTTTTTGTACGTGCTGTAGAAAACAAATAAAAGTTTAAATTGCTGTGGAAAGTACAATTTTGCATTTAAAAAAAATACGAACAATTGTCGGTGCGTAGTTGGAACCCATTTTTCGATCTCCAACTCCTCCTGGCCACGCCCTGCAATCATAAAAAAAGTTTTTTTTATTTATTTACAAGTTTTCTTCATTTCAAAACTTTTCGATTTGATATAAGCTTACCGTGTATATTGCGGGTCTGCCAGTAAAGAAACGGCCTCGGATTTTTCGGTGTCTTTTTTGTCAAAATAACCGCCAACTGGACTTAAAATTGTATATAGTAATGCTGAATCAGACGAGGCAACACCAAGTGTGGGCTGTATTCACAAAGAATATTCAAATTAAAATGTAGCCGTTTTTAAAAACTATCACCGTGTTTATACTTACGTCAATACCAATAAGAGTTGGCCGTAGATATAGTGATGCTTTTTCTGTGTGAGGAACCCATTCTTGATCGATTGATACAAGCCGTTGCATGCATTTTATGTATTCATCTCCATCGAATGTAGGTAGCCCCGAACGTTTTGCTGATAAATTCATACGGTTCATATTCATATTTGGTCTGAACATACGAATTTTTCCATCAACACCGCGGTACGCTTTCATCCCTTCAAATAGCTGTAAAAAATCAAATCATCAAGTATGCGATTAGAGATTGAGAACAAAACAAATTGATTTACTCGTGGAAACTCATTCATTTTAGAATATCATCGAATAAAAACATGTTCGTTTCTATTCTATCACACGTTTTATATTCCGCAGCGATAGCCCATTTTAATCTATTTTGTTTGCATCATCTTCAATGAAAGTAAAAATCCAGAAAAAACACATTCATCTCATTTTCTTGTTGTTCACGATTAGTGGCCACGCCTTGCAATACTATTTTTAATTTACATCATTTTATGTTGACGTATGCCCATTTTTTCATTTTAATTTGTAGATAACAATGGAAGGGAATTTTTTGGGTGAAAAATTGTACTAATTTCTTTAGATAGTGTGATAATTATGACATCCCATCCTTCCTGATTCTTAAATCATGAATCAAGAATCACAAGAATCTACAATGCAAAAACGTGCATCTTTTTTTCACCAACACCAATTTTTATAATTTTCCCATTTTTATTTGTCGTCGGACGATATTATACATTATACTTGAGCAAAATAGTATATATTGCGGTTGTAAAGTGCGACACGAAGTGATCTTATTTTATGATTGTGGCGAATAAATGTGATAACCTATTGACAGTGAATGAAATTCATTTTTCGCTTCAGAACAACAAACAATAATATCATTTGCAAATGCATCCGTAAATCAAAACATAAAAAGTGTATATTGCATTTAATCAAGCGTTAAACTTTGCAGCACTCGTCACAAATAACTGATTTGAATAAAGAAAACAACTTTTTCGAGGCCAATTCACTCAAATGATCAACAAATATTATCGAGAACTTTTTTTAAGTTAATGGTAATCGACCGGCTTTGAAGATTTTTTTTTTATTTAAAAATTTTACAAACCTCAACAGCATAATGCAATACTTTTGCAGCAGGATGAATGACGAGATTTTCCTTTAAAAAAAAAAAAACAAAATACAAATAAAATTAATTAAATGAGGTTATTGTGAAAATATTTTTAAATTATGACCGACTTACCATTGGTGTAATTTCTGGTTTTTGCCAGCCACCCAAACTCTTGTGCCAGAAAATTTTCAACATGTGATCAGTGAAGTTTTTTCCAAATGCAAGTGCATCGGCATCGGGTTTTGGTTGAAGTTGATGTGGGGCCGCCAATCGAACGTACAAATCTGATTCGGAAAATAAGTGTCCATTGTCGGGTTCATGTGCAATTGGGTGAGACTGTGTTTGATAGGCCACTTCTGGAATGTCAATCATTTTAATGTTTTCATCAAAATCTATGGCGCTTTCAAGTGGCTGTGCAATACGTGAACTACACAATCGAATTTGCCTTTGTAAAAAATGCATGAATTTGTGTTGATTTCGAAGCACATGGCGACAGAGTGGCTATTATTTTGAAGAAAAATTAAAGGAAATTCATTTGAAAATTAAAAAACTTGATATGTTGCAAAAAAATCTGTATTCAATTTAACATTTGGGATTAATGTTCCAATTTTTCGTAGATCAAGGCTATTCAAAAAATCATTTGGAGCGATAAGGTTTTTTTTTGGGTACACGTGTATCCAATTAAAGAATCTAATTGATTGAGCCATGAATAACTCTTCCACGTGCAGATCCGATGATCCTAATCTCTAATGTTGAACAGAGTATTGAAATATCAGCTGCAGTAAAAAAATGATCTAATTAAATTCAAAACAACATTTTTTTGCACGTTTACTTGAAGTATCGAATAAAAAATTATTTGTTCATTCTATTACTACGTGTCGTCTGTTGATTTTGTTCAGGTCAACAAATTTGCAAAAGGTTCGTTGGACAGATGCGATAATAGAATAATGGCTGTTATCTCAATGAAATTCAATTGAAATAAATAGTTTTCTGAGTTAAATCAAGAAAAAAAAATTTGTTATTTTTTTTATTTACAGCTTACGTATAAATAAAAGCGACCGGTAAGATGGTCGTGGAATGTGTTTAGACCAGGTGATACAAAAAATGGACCAGTTTTTGAGAATTGAAGAAATAAAAAAAAATCATCTAAATGCATCGCATTTTTACTTGATTTACGATGCAAAATCCAAATTTATTATTATCCCAGCTAAAATACGTAAAATAATCAAGTTTTTAGGTTCTTAGTACGAAACTTTAAGCAAAAATAAACTTTCAACTCAAATGGCAAGTTTGACTTTTTTGTTGTCGCGAAATATTTTTTTTCTTCATCGATGTTAAAAAAAATAACTCGAACAAAAAATAAAGGGATTACTGTCGTCAGAGATAAGTTGATATGACGACATTGATTATCACGTAGTCGTTATCACAAAAAATATTGATATGTATATATGAAAATGAAGATAGTACGTTATCTATAGAAATTATTGAAATTCTTCGGCAGAGGATTGATATTGGTATTGTTGACTTTTTATACAAATCCGAAACAAGGATACGCAGAAGTATTCATTTTGCAAAAGAATATTTATATAAACAGTTTTCTATAGGAAATGAATAAGACTAAAATCGCACCAGAAATCGGATATGGAAATGTTTCTTTTCAAAAAAAAAAATGTAAGCATGTGATTGAACTCGAAAAATTTCAATAAACGCACATGAATCTCGCCGTTTAATTATTTTTAACACGTTAACGTAGAGCTCAAAATATTTGAATCATTTGTTTTATACGCAAAGGAGATCAATCAAACTGAATATTGGTATAGAAACAATTTTTGACTACATTCGATGTCTTACCTTACTTCGTATTACCATTTTTACTTCTTTATATTATTTTAAATAAAATTAATAATTTAAAAATTATTTTTTAAAAAAATTGACCAGTTTTTCAAAAGTCTTAATTGGAAGATATAATTTGTATATTGCTTTAATTAATTTTTTCTTTATTATTATCTTTTTATTGGAATTTTTTTTCACTTTTAGAGAGTTAAAGTTGCTAAATGTCCGTAAAATTATAAATTGATTTTCAAAACGAACGATTTGATTAATTTTCCAACGTTACATGAGATAACTATTTATTTTAACGGTCACTTCAAACTTTATTTTACGTTTTTCGTCTGAATATTTTTAAAATGTGTACACTCCACAAGCGATCATATGAGACTAATTTAAAAGCATCGCATCCCTGTGTATTTAATGCGTAGCATACGGTATGTGAATTGACAAACAACTTAGAAAAAATAGGATTCAACAAGAAAAACATATTTGAGTCTACGCCTTACGGACAACAAACGATAATCAGGCGATTTAAAAATGTGTTTGTTTTTCCTTGCCAAAGACACGCATGTGCTAGCGTTCATACGACGTACGGACGTACACAAGCTCTTCTTTTTACTTCTCTTTTCTTTGGCGCTAATACGTGCTAATACACAAGCATGACTTGAATGTGATAACAAATAACACTATACCGAAAATGTGGTCATTTTTTATTCCCTTCGTTTTTTTAAGTTTAGGCAGCATGCGCACAGAATTGTTTATACCAGAAACTATCTGACGTAATAACACAAAATGTTACTAGGCTTGAAATTTAATCCGAATCTCGAATCGTTTATTTTTCATGTAGAAAAACCCATTTTAATGCAAAATGTTATCAATAAAAAAATAAATATCAATTAAATTATTAGCAAACCTTGACTTTGATATGGCTTTTCGTGAGATTTCTACACAACAGCTGTAGCACAGATTGTTATTGATCTAATGTAATCTATGTCATATAAAATATTTCCCTTTTCATTGATATATTCAATGACTGATTTTTATATTATCAGTATTAAATGCACCGAAGTTTAACGGAAGGAAAAATTAAAGTAAATATAAAAATTGAAAAAAAGAGGACGAACCACGGTTATTGATATACCGATTGATTCGCTGCCAATTTTGACATTGAATATCATTTTTTTTTAGTTCATAAATCACATTTTATTTAGGGATAGCAACCGAAATAGTTTATTTAACTGATAGCAAAATCCACTTTACGTAGAATGAACACGTTTTCTTCTTAACTACAATCGTTATGCTATAGTGGAGCGTTGCTGCCAAATAAATCAAGTGCTATATTAAAAATAGTGTTTTTTTTTTTTGTGGATTGGCAAAATTCTTGTTGGAATCATTCTCAATATTGTTGTGATACTGCGAGAAAATAGTCGAAAGCATATTTTTTGCTCGTTTCCTAGCAAAAAAGGATGAAAATATTGTTATTCAGGTATTAGAGAATCAATGTTATTAAATGCTCTGTTGATATTCTATTTTAGTTGTCCAAAACAAGTGAATTATCACGAAGAAAGTTTTTGTAACAAACTAAGTAAACTGTGTCTGAAAAAATATGTGATGATAATCATAATCTATTGTCTCTATTAACAATTTCAAAACTTCCATCAACAAATCAATTCATGGGCAATGTACTTTGATGGAATTTACGTTGTATTTCATTCGTAAGACATTTTTTTTTAATCAAATCAAATATTATTGAAATGTGTGGATAAGTTTAATGTTGTTGTTCACAAATTGTGAACGAAATGTAGGAATTATTTGTTAAGGAAGGTTAGGATTGAATGTTTTGTTTCCTATCCGTCCATCAAATTTTTGAAAACTTTCCATTCACATAAGTAGGAAAAACATAAAAGATAGATATAGATTATATAGAAACGTCAAAAACCCGTGACTTTTCTAAAACTATCTTGAACCGTTATGACGAGCACGATTACTTTTTGTTCCGGCGGAAATCGATTTTTGTTTTCAAATATTTATTATCCTTACAAAAATGCGCAGTGTGCACACACCGCCTGATTAAACCAGTCGTAAACAAAACGAAACACGCCAGCATTTATTTATATTTGTGTACCAATAAATTTACCGTGAGAAAAACAATGCTGCGTAAGTTTGATGAACTATGCATGTGTAAAATCACACCATTTCTATTTTTTGATGACGCTTTGACTTAACGTAAAAATGTTTGCGATGATCATTTGCTATCATTTATAAATATTGTTTTTGCATGACGCAGCTTCAAATCTTCGAAATGATGGAAAAAGTCGTTGTTTCCTATAGTAATGAATTGATTGCAAAATTGTTTTGATAAAAAAACAAAAGCAAAACCTGAATGAACATGTCATTCGGTTCGTGTTGTTTATTTATTATATAAGATTCAGGCTTGGCAAATCTAATCAAATTCTTTTTTAATCTTATTAAATGAAGAACTCATCTATGACACATTTTTCACACACAATGAACTAAAAGTAGCTCATGAAAAATGAGTCGAGCCCGAAAAACAAACCAATAGCAACGTTTCGATATCATCATCGTAAATGTTTTGTTTTCATTTTCTCTTCTCAGTTTGACGAGACAGAATAGATTTACGCGTAAACATAAACTCTTATTTGTGAGATATGAAAATAGCCACAACGCACAAAATAACTCTGCATCAACTAGATCGCAAAACTATTTATTTTAAATTTACGCATTCTGCATTTGTTTGTGAGACATGCCAAAGACGTAAATCCCTTCTTTGTGTTAGGGAAAATTGTTTATTGAAAATATGATGAAAATGTTCGAATAAATTTCTTTATTTGTTCCATTTTATTTTTGTTAAATACTCTTTTTCATTCTGTTCCTGCTGATAATTTTCGCTTTACCGTTTACAATTAAAAAAAACTACGTCGAAAAAAATTGGAGCCATTATCGATAATGTCATCTATTTAAAATATTGCATCATCATATTTACTAAACTATCTCCTTTAAACACCAAGGAAAGTCTCAATAGAATTCATTCAAACAAATGAGCGACTTTTGTAACTGAAATTTATTTAAAAAAAATCGTTTGTCGTTTTTTTCGACAATTTCTCCAAAAATGAAATTAAAGAACACTCGTTTTCTTCATCCGAAAGTATTGGCAATATGAAACAAACTTACATCAATCATTTCTAAACGATTTGTTATCTACAAACTTGATACTAAGACTTATACAAAGCTTAAAACACACGCCATGCAACGTCATCTATGCGTGAACACACAAATTACAGATTAAAAACATTCATTGATTACGCTTCGGTCTTTATTCACAAGTCGGCGACATTTCACGCAGTGACATTTCACGAATTCAACATTTATCAAATAGATGACGCAACGTATGTGCTTTGCTACAGAGCACAAATATTTTGAAAAATTTCATTGGAAAAAATAGATTTGTTTTTGAGTTTTCACTGCTAAAACAATAAATCCACTTGAAGTCGACAAATATACAAATGGAACATTTGACAAACACACCATTGTACAATGTGCATGCATGTGTTGGTGTTAGTAGCGATAATTTGTGTTATGGTTTCATTTTGACATTTGACTGAAGCTATTCACACTTTCAGGGCCACTTCAGAACCATTAGTTGTACTAAATGAATTTTTTTTTACAGTGGTACTATATATGCACTGAATCTATTGACTGTGAATTATTGCTATAATCATCACTAGTGATGTGGCGGCGCTACTGATATATGTGTTCATAGTAAAATGGCCAAAATTTATGGTATCGAGATGCTTGGAGAAATTCCAATGCAAATTAGGGGTACCTCCCATTGAGCCAAAAATCGAAAATTTTGTATGGTGGATATCATAGTCCAAGAGCCACCGTGCAAATTACTTTTTTTCTATGTATGGCAGATTTTCATGAAATTATCATCTTCACACTATGTACTATCCGAATAATATAACTCGTTTCATTGTAATTGAGCGGATCGCATTATTCGCGGTTTTATTCGCGCTACGCGAAATACTATACTTTTTTCACACCAAAACGGCAGAAATTCTACGTTTTGTCCCAACTATCTTGAAAAGTGAAAAATCTGATCTGGGCAGAATAAATATTTGGACAGATTTAAGACCTTTCACTTTTTTTTGGCTACTTTAGTTCATAGTGTCAAATAAACTAGCAAATAAACATCGAACTACAGATAGCAACATTACATATTGGATGGGATCAATCATATGAAAGGCGCTACTATCGATTCGAACATATATATATATTTTTTTTTTTCATAAAACTACATATAGCTTCAATTCATGGAATATGCAACATTCTCTCGAATCAATTCAAATCTTCGACAGATAAAAGTAGATGGCGCTTAATGTTAAGGTCGAACGGAATCCCCAAATATTACATAGAACATAGAAAGTTACATGTTTAAGTCCACCGGTCATCTTTTTGCTTATGAAATATTGAAATATTAAGAAAAATGTTTTTTAATGTTGTGAAGCATTAAGTGTTAAAATGAGAAGCTGTATACCTCGCTTTATAGGTGATTTGGAAATATGACTTGAATAGATGTTATTTTCAATATTTCAAGTATGAAATAAATTATTTGGGTCAATTTTGGGTTTAAAAAAAAAATTGTGTCAAGAGTCATGTAGACACTAGCGCCACTACATACACGTTACCTGTAGCACAGAATCAATTTGAACTAAATTTGTGATTATTAATTAAAGAGCTTTAATTTTCAAAAATATAAAGTAAAATTATTTTAAGAAATGAAACTATGAAGCCTCGGAAATATATTCCGTTAATGGTCAATATTTAATGTATATATTGTGTGAAGTGTGCTAACACTGACAGAAAAGGCGTCCTGAATACATGACAGATGGGCGTCCATTTTATTTAAGTTTCTAGTGTGACAACTAGATGTCTCAATATTATGCGAAGCTTTGGAGCATATTGTTGTCAAAATAATTTTCCCATTATAAAAACTTTCACGAATTGTCTGCGTTAAAAGTCATCAAACAATTATAATAGTGATTAAATTGTATTTACGTGTCATGTTCTAACAATTTCTATTAAAAAAAAAAAAAACAATCGTAAGCAATGGGAGAAAATCGCACAGAAATAGCGGCTGCCGGCAAAAACATTGAGCAAACAAAAAATGTTGGTATTATACAGGCAACAAGAAAACGAATGATGCTATCAGAAGTGTATGTGCACAAAAATCGAAAATTAGATGACGATGCAAAAAATGGGAACCAATTTGAAGTGTTTCACATCTACGAATTTGACGAAAGTGATTCAAATGTAAAGATTACGCCGAAACTTTCGACAAATTGTACGGAACCACGGAAAATTATCGATGTTTTACAAAATTCAACTGGATCAGAAACGCCACAGCTACAACGTTTGATAGAAAAATTATGTGCCCAGAGTGAGTATTTTTTAAGATTCTATGCATTTTAGTTTAATTTAATATGGCTAATGATTCCGTAATTGCACGTCAATAGATAAAAAATGGTCAGAAATTCAAGATAATCAAAACGGCAACCAAAATGATAATGGCCCGAATGACAAGGTAACTAATGAAAGTATTAGTAACATGTCATCTGCATCGAATGTTCAACCAACAGTTCGGGTGTCTCTGCCAATGTCTACTCAATCCACTTCAACGTCTACCCAGTCCAAATCTGTTACGACACCGTCAAATATACCAGCGATTCGACTTAAATCGATTGATAGTTTGAAAGAAACTAGTAAGTCAATTACTGCCAATACACCAAAGACTACAAGTACACCAAAGGTCGTTCCCGTTCAGAAAACGGTTCAAGGACGTGCACCAGTTCAAAAAGTCAACAATGGTCACGAAAAAAATCAACAACCGGTTACTTATACCAACAAATCGACTTCAACACCAACACCAACACCAGCACCAACACCAACAGTTAAACTCTGGAATAATGTAATTCAGAACAATGCAACTGAAAAAGATTTTGACTATCTGGTTGTTGCCAACAAAGAAGAGGCTAACAAAGATAATTCAGTGTTTCGTTTGAAACCGACCAATGAAATGATTGAACATGCATCTGGAAGCACTTCTTCATCGCTGAAAATACAACAAGTTTTTGAATGTGTTACCGATGAATTTGTTGAAGATTTATTGGTAGAAAAAGAAAAACCACCGGCAACCAAATCAAACAAAGAACCAAGCCCACCTGTTGATACGATACTCGAGCAAGTTGTAAATAATCAAAATGCTCAAACGAACAAGGCCATTACATTCGTTCCCACATCAAACGGCCAATGCACTGACTATCGATGCAACATTTGCTTGTTGTTCAACGATACATATAACGATTACCTGGCGCATATGTGTCGCGTGCATCAATGCAATTATGTTTGTAGAAAGTGCCACGAAGGATTTGAACGTAAAATAGCGAAACTTCAGCATCTAGAACCGAATGGAGTATGTACACGTCCAGAGAATGCACAAAGATCTTTTATTTGTATTGTTGATCCACCCGTTATTTTGATGAAGAATGGCAAAGTATTCGCGTTTAAATGCAAACATTGTAGTTTGGCATTTCATAATCAAAGAAATTATGTTCATCATGCTCAGCGTCATGCCAAAACTTTTCGATGCAAGTTGTGCACAGCCGCCAAAGCACTAACATCTGAATTGATGCAACAGCATTTAAAACAACATTAATGTACCGTGTATGTAATATGTATACTCTACTGATAAGAAATTACAAATTTAGATTTTAAACCATTCAATACACAACATAAAAGTCAGCGATCTTTTCTTTGATTTTTTATTGAAAAATTCAGCAACAAACTAAAAGCAAAAACAAAATTAATTGAGTGATATATTTTTGATTATAGAGTAATATGATTTTAAACTAAAAAAAACTGATATTTAGATTCCATTTTTTATGCATGTTCACCAATCGGCTTTATAATAAGCTCATGCACCTGTGAATAAAATAAAATATATAAAATTAAAAATTGGCGTTTTTACTTTTTTCTATCTTTCTCTCTCTCTCTCTACTTACTTGAACATGTTCTCTTGTAGCAAGTGCATACATAACGGCTTGCGATACATCCTCCGGATCCAAAAACGGAATGTTTTGTATCAATTCCAAAATCTCTGGCTTAAAAATTTCCGTTTTTACAGCTCCTGGACTTATACTCTATAATTCACGAACCAAACGGGTTTGAATATAAACAAATTAAAAAAATTATTAGAAGCTTCTAGTGCATTTCCATAATGAAAATAACGTACAGTCACTTTGATTTTGGTGCCAAAATTTTGAAGCTCTTGTCGCATAACTTCGGTCATTGCAGTGACAGCAAATTTGGTCGATGGATAAATATTGAATGATGGATACATCCCAACAAAATATGGGATTTTATGCCCAGCACAGCTGTTGATATGAATTATGTGTCCGTTTATGTGGCGTTTTTTCATTGACTGGAATGCCTCACGTGAGGCCAGCACAACAGCGAGAACATTTGTATCAATAGATTCACGTAAATTGTCGGTATTATTCGGATCTAATAGATTCATAGTTTTAATGATGCCCGCATTATTCACCAGAATGTCAGTGCCCCCCAAATTACTCTCAATCCAATTGAAAGCACTCTTTATGTCAGATTCTTGTGTCAAATCGCATTTGATTGCATATAATTTACCTAAGGGGAGAATCACAAAAGAAAAGAATTGAATCAAAAAGAAAGATCAATCTTTATTTATTTTTTAATATAATTTACCATTTGCCGAATTGGCTGGAATTTTTTCACGAAGTGCATCTATACGTTCTTTACGTCTTGCCAAACCAACCACATTTACTCCAGCCTTTAGTAAATCCAATACGATTGCAGCACCAATTCCTGAATTTATGAAAATGTCGAAAACAATAAATATTGTGTGATTTTATGATTTTTTTTTTGTTATTTTCACCTGACGATGCTCCGGTGACAACAGCCGTTTTTTCATTCCATCTATCCATCGTTCACAAAATCCTCAATTTCTTTCTGTTAAAGTTGAAAAAAAGAAGATTTTTCAATTTTTCAATCACATTCGAATGACGCTTACAAACATACTAAATTGTTGAAGAAAATGGTAGATGTACGTATGTGCCTTTATACTCGCTTCTTCGAGTAAAAAAAAGTTTTCTTCGGACTTCTCATACATTACGCATTAGTTATTTTTGTTAGTCCGTTTTCGTTCGTTTATTCTCATCTTTCTCTTCCATTCTTTCTTCGTCAGTTGCATTATCGCTGTTTTCTTTTTATAATACACGTATTCACAGTTCGTCGATTCGAAGCGAGAATGTTTATACTTTTCAATCCAACCAATGTAATCACCATTTATTTTATGCAGTATTTACAAATTGCAATCTATGCATGTCTCCGATTGCGGTTAAAGATGAGATAAAAACTAGCTAAAATTGCGTGCCTATTTATATTTTACCGCGTTTTTTATTTCAATATTCCACTTCTGGTTTTCAAACAAATCGTAACCTAAATGTTTCACTTCAGAGAGCTTTCGGAATCAAATGAGAGCTCACATTATTATCAATAAGTGCAATTGAAGTACAATATAGGTTCCAGCGTTCAAAGCGGAATTTGTCTTCATTTTCGATTGTATTCTGTTCGGACATTTATTATATTATAATTCGAGCTCGGTATAGATTTAGTAACAATAGTATTCTTTTCGCTCGAAATCTGCTACAAGATTATATGTATAATTTAAAGACTGTGTTGAATACATGTTTACATGTTCCTGTACAGAGAAAGAGTCTGAAATGAACAAGCTGTGATTTCAATTTAAATCATTGAATAATATTATTCAAATTATTTTTTACTGTTCATTTATTTGGTATACTGTTAAACTATGAAAAATCGTCTGAATTTTTAATCCATCAAATTTCCAATTACAATACAATTGTACACACTATAGATTTGTTAAGATTTAAATCAAATTTATTGCTGTGCGGTTGCCTCAGTTTCTTCTGTATTTTGTGGTTTTATTTCGTCGCTTCTTGAAAAATATTGTAATTTTTGAATTCGGTTTGGCAAAATATTGCCTTGAAGAGAAAGATCGCCATTTTCTAAATTCACCTTATTGTAAAATATTTCGCCGTTGATGAGAAGACGGTCGGTTATTTTGAGATTATTTCTTACAAATTCACGTAGTTTATCATCAAATATTAACACTCGATGCCATTCATTGCTAAAGTTTTTATTCAATTGTTCACTGCAACGTACAAAGAGTTGAGTTAATATTTAAACATTATAAATTCATGCTTACGTTTTTTCAGAATTTGTAACAATGTGAAATGCTGTGGCGTTGCCGTCATAAATATTACTGCCGATCATTCCTAATAGCTTGACTTCATTCACTGATTCTAAAAAATGATGATTTAAATATATTTTCGTGAATTTTCTATTTAAAAAAAAGTTAGACTAAATAAAGAAATATTGTTTAAATCTACCTTTAACCAACTGTTCCAGATCATCAGCACTGTTGTGATTATTTTTCATTCGAATAACTTTCGTTGCAAAAATGTGCGGCAACGATATAAATTTCTTTCCATTGGCAACATTTTGATAAACAATTTCACCATGTACGTAAACTAAGTCATTGTTCGCCAACGCAGGCAATGGTGTTTCAATTAATTCAGCGCTGGTCTTAATATTATGTGTCACCCTGAAACATTGAATAAATTCCTATTTATAACTTCTCAATTCAAGCATATGCATCGCGGTTTTCAATGAAAATTACCCAATCAATTTACCAAGTCCATGTGTGGCTGTTCGAACATGAAAAGAATCAAATCCATTTGGTAATGATAACACTTCGTTTCTGACTCTTCCAATTAATTTGACTTGATTGCCGGCTGAAATATTACAATAAAAAAATTAGTAATTTGAATCTATTCAAAAATCTCAACAACATACATTTCTTTTTAGGCTTGGATGTAGTTTTTTGCGAACAAAATGTCCTTAATGTTCCTTGTGGACTGCATTGCAAAATCGTAAACCATCTGAGATGCGAACGAAACATTTTCACAAAATATCAATGATAACCTATTTAAGAGTTATGTATACACAAATTTGTGAAATGTCAATAAAAATACAAACATGTGAGCGGACATCTGTCAAAACGACAACTGTCAAAAGGTACCACACCATTCACAGAACTTTTCTGTCTAAAGTGTTTATTGAACGCATTTATACGGTTTTTTGATATCATTCAAGAAAAGAGTCACATTTTTAAGATTCAAAATCAATTTATTGCCAGAGTATTTCTAGTCTATTTCGTCACAAATCTAAATATCAATATTAATTAGACTTTTTGTGAAATGTTTTTGTTTTTGTTTTTTTGTGTGTGTAACTGTGTTCGTATCTACTTGCATGATTTACTGAATTAAAAAAACGTAAAACGGTAACCGAAGTTGTTGTAGATTAATGCAAAAAGTTCCTTAAATTATATAAAAACGAAAAATCCAAATTAAAATCGTTAAAAACTATAATAAATAAAAAAAATGTAAATATAGTAAAAAGATTAAAATATGACCGAAGAATTTTTTTCCTACACATACAATTTGCAAAAAAAAAAAACAAATCACGTTATTGTATTCCTTGGGTTTTAAGTTTCTTATTTAGTAGTAATAATAATAATAATATTAGAAGTATCTAAATACTTTTCTGGTTCAATATAGAAAACTCTACAAACAAAACAATATGCCTCACTGTAAATGTGATTCTTGTTCAAAACGAAAATGTGCACAGATTCGCTAAATACATGTATTAAAAGATGAGTTTAGTTTCTATGCGTAGAGTGCGTATGTGTTGCTTTCATTTGCACTTATAAAAATGTGACATTAATTTAGTTTTTTTCCCTTAAAAAAAAAAAAAAAGAAAATGAAAAGCACATTATACAACATAAATCTAATGTGTTTTAAGAGAATAAGAATGAATCAAATATCTTCTCATTGATTTATCATAAAATACTTTTATAGGATAGTTTACATCGTGTTTATCTAAATAAAAAAAAAATAAAACATCAAATTACGTCACATATATCTAAAATAGACGCGCAGTTCGAAAATGTTCTTTTTGAAATGTCTATCTAATGGATGTTCATTCGAGAATTTTTTTATGGGTGAATATATGTGTGTGTGTGTGTGTGTTTTAATACAAATGAATTTTATGACTTTGTTGTTGTATATTTTAAAAATACGCTAAAGAAATTCATCAATTTGCCCATAAAATATTATCGATTGGCATTTGTTATTTTCGTTAATATCACACTTGCTTAATACATTTGATGTGACTAATTTAAATAAAAGGAGCAATCGCAAAAACGTTATTTTTCCCTTGTAATACTGTTTCATTGGATTTTCTACTGGATGCTTGAGTAAAGTTTTTCATCTAAAAAATGCAGTCAGTTTGGTATGTTTAATCGTTATTAATCCAATGTGTGAAGAACATACGCATTCGTTGGTATTACACCCCTTCTAATTGAATATGATTTAAAAGAAGAAAAAATAACGGAATAAAGTGTTGAAAAATGCAAACTTGAATCATTGTCGATTTATGCTCTTAGGCCAGTTATAATCTGGTATTGGTCAATCGATTTTTTTTTTATTGTTCGATGGAATAGTGTTTGGTCTTTTTCCAAAAACTCTTGAAGAATCCCTTCTTTTTGTGTGTATTTGGTGTGGTATTGTATTCCATTGCACCTGAAATATTTGGCAATGATTAGTTTTTTGATTTATTGTATTCAAGTGATTTGATTGAAATGTGAATTTAAATTTACCTGCATCGAAAGATCGATGAGCGGTAGGAATTTGAGCGCCCTTTTCCTTTTTATCGGAATCTTTTCCTTTTTCGCCTTTGCGAATGAGCAAACTGGTAACTCGCCGCAAAGCATCAGTTGGTGATTTTTTGAAGAAATTTGGCGACAGATTTGGCGGCAATGTTAACGGTTTTCGACTGGATGTGCCCGCATCCCAGGCACGACCACCGCAATGAATACGATCTAAATTCTCATTGGAAACCGGCCGATTTTGCCGTTGTTTGGGATACCATCCTCGTGCAGGGCCACCAGCTATTCGCAACATTTCACTACTTAATAACGCATGGTTTATACTTCGTTGTGGTTGTCGACCATTTAGCGTGCTTCCGGCTATTATTATTTGTAATTTAAGAATCATCAATGTTAATTGGTCAAATGTTGTTTTATTTTGAATTTTACCTATGCCAACGATGGATGAATTCAAACTATTCATAGGCCGTGGTGCTGTTCGGCTGCCACCACTTGGCATCTCTTGTGTTCGTCGGTGTGGTGTTCGTGGTACATCACATCTAATATTAAATTAAATATGATTAAGTCATTTAAGTATTTATACGACTTGTTCGATCGAGAATGTGTTCTTACCCTCTTGCAAATATTGGGGTTTCTGGAAGACTACAAGATGTTTGAAGACGTCGTTCTTCATGTGGACTGGGCGTTGTGTGTTTTATGTATGGCATACGTTTTCTTGAATTCGATAGTGCCATGCGATCATGTGAGTGTGTTGAATGTGTTGTGTGCGGCGACATGAAGATGTTCGAGCTTTTATAGTGTTTTGAGTCCATTGACCTAAAGTAAAATGTGTGTCAAATTTAAACATTTATGCGACATAAAAATGATGTTTGCGTTGACTCACATTGTTTTAAGCGTATTCTCTGTAGAGGGGCAACGATGAGGCGGAACAGGTGGTGCACTCTCGATTGAATCACGATATCGATTTTCATACTTTTTGCCCAACGATGTGGATCGATAACTATGTGAATCAGGCCAAATTTTGTTTTCGTATACATCGGCATTACTTTCGGTTGGAAGTGGTGGCAATGGGGGGAAACCGTCAATCTCCTATTGAATGAGAAACGAATATTTAAACGAAATTTAAACTTTGTCGAAGTGGAATTACGTACATCTGCACTGGATGATGGTGGCGATGGTGGCAAAGCACCGAACACATGTTGAGATAGTAACATTTCTTTTGCGCTCTCGGATTTGTGAACACCAGCCCGAAAACCAAGTGGACGTCTTGGTGCTTGAATATCTGTCAAAAAAAGTAAGAAAAATAAAGTTCAATTGAATGATTTTGTATTCAATTTTTCGCGTTTTTTTTCCTACCTGGAACTCTCACAGAAATTTCACCTCGTAGCAAAGCACTGATGTTATTCTCAATCTGACGAAGTGGAGCAGGTTTTCCCTGTGATTCACTCTCTGGCTCTTCATCTTCTTCAATTGGTGGAGCCAAATCTCGGCGTGGTGTCGAAACTAAATCGACTCCTATTGTAATAAATAATTTTAAAATCCCTTCGTCAACTATATCAAAATTGATTCAGCAATAAAAAATATATACCTTGATTGACCGGGGCTGGGGCATTAATGATTGGCAACGAAGCGACACGCATAAGTGGTGCATTCAAATCATCATTAATATTGATTTTATTCGATGAACCACCTTTATTATCCCTCGAATAATCTTTTGATTTTGATGGTGTTAAGCTGTTGGTATGCATGAATTGACTGTCAACTGGTTTTGACCAAAATGAATGTCTGAAATGAATGAATGATAATAGATTAAGTGACCGCAAGTTAATGTCAAATGCCAGTTGGTAATCCATACTTTGCGGAATGAAGTGAGCTCTGCATTGACGGTAATGCCAAATCGATGCTATGCCGATACTTTGGTATGTTTATCGGTGGTTGCGGTATGTCATTTGCTTCTTCAATGTTCAGCAATTCTTGGCTTGATTCCAATATTGATTCAATTTCGGATTCTTTTTCTGTTTCATGCGATGGCACAAATTCCGGTATATCAAACACTTGTTTACGGTCGCGTCCCTTGCGAATGACATACGTACCATTTGGAATGGTATTTTTTTGCAATGGAACTACGTCCTCTGTAATGTCAGTAAATAAATGTATATGTCAAGACAGGCACATTGAACTATGACGTAATTGCGAATTTTTTTTTCACCCGAATCGGTAACAATTGAACCGGCTTCATCTTCTGTGCTGCAAATTGGATTTTCGGGCGGGTCTGGCCAATCAGATGAAAACGAATGGTCTGTACTTAAAATACTATTGCACGGTGTTGATGCCACACTATTTTCACAGTCAACAAAATTTGATGGAATCGCAGGTGGTGCTGATGGTAACTATAAATGAAATACAACAAAAACCTTTAGTTGACAAACAAAAGCTGACATTTTACATTTTTAATTTAAAAAAAACCTTCACATGTTTATCCGTTGTGATATTTTCATCCATTTTAATTTCCCATGCGATTCCACATTTCAGGGGTAACGTTAGATCTGGTTGAATATTTTGTGGTGCATGCTTAGGTGATGGTAGCGATATATCATCCTCTTGTTCCATTTCTTTAGTTTCTACTTTGATTTCGATGACTTGTGTAGATGTATCACGTTCAGGTTGGGCATTCTCCAAAGAATCGTCCGAAAAGTCCTCTTCGGATGTAATTAAACTATGGCGATTATCAAAATGCGACAAGCTAACCGTTGTTGCTAATGGCTTGAAGTCCTCTGTAAATGGTGACAACATAATATATAAAAAGTCACATTAATTTTGTTCACGTAATAAATAATTTGGTAAGTTCAAACACACCTGATGGGCTGTCCGTTTGTGTAACTGCTTCTTCATCTTCTTCTTCTTCGCCGTCAGTAGATTCATCATTCAAATGCAATTTTAATTTTTTATCAGTTAAATCATGAGCAGAGCGAACAACTTTTCGAGTCGTTGACGACTTTGGCTTGACCGGTGATGATCGACCCGGGTAAATTGTGACTGGATGCTCTTTTTCCATTGTTTCAGGCAAACGGGCAACACCACGAAGCACCGCATCATGTACAGCACTGATATCAATGCCAAGCTTGGTTCGGCCATTCGTCATAAGAAAATCAGAATCATTGCTTTTATTGGTATTCTTTGGTTGCATTGAGCCTGGAAGACTGGCGTATTTGGATGGATTCACATTTATTGGACGAGCTTTGGGCAGTGTTGTTTGACACGGAATTGATTCCGCATCCATGGCACTGCCCGGTGTATCATTTCGCAATTTAATATCACCAAAAGATCTCTTGTTCTTAAAATTGTTGTCACTCTCTATATTCATCAATTTTAACTCTCTGTTAAAAATAAAAAATAAAAAAAAATGTAAATTCAAATTGTAAAAATGCAAGTGCAGTTTATGATTGACACTCACTTTTTTCCATTCATGCTCATGTATCCATCATCTTCAGATTGATTGCCCTGTGTCGGTGTTTCCGGTTCTTGTTCGATGTGTGGCAAAGAGTCGGGGTCTTCAAACTCCGACAACACTTTATCCAAAAACTCAATTGATCGCTCCACTTCGTCGCCACTATTTGACGAAAAAAACACATTGTTATAGTATTTGTTTGCTCTTTTTAAAGAATCACCTATATTTTCACTTTAAGACACTTACTCGGGCTGCTTCAGATGAAATGATTTCAAACTAGATTCAGACATAATTGTGATTGCTGTAACTTTTATAGCAACCAATCTGAAAATTGTTCAAACAATAAAATGTGAATATTTACTCGATTTCGGTTTTATTTCGAAACACTTACCCTGAATCAAGACAATTGAAAACATGCAAAAAAATCTATTTCTTTCATCTGATCGAAATATTTCACATTGCTTCACTATACAAACTGCGTAGTATTTAGAATCCTCGTTCCAGTTGATTTCTCCCACTCAATTTCAATAAACGCTGTAACTGTTCAAATGAAAACAAACACAAACAAATATATTTTTATTACGTTAGCTCAGTTCATTTTCGACGAAGCAAGCAATAAACAAATGACGTAAAAAAACTCGTGCTATCATCATTGTCACCTTTTTACATCCAAAAAAATAGTGCTTATCAGCGAAATGATTTTCAAACCATCTTTGTTCAAGCCGATAATTTATTCATTCGAATTTTCGAGCGAACTGTCTTTGCCTGCTTAAATCGATGAATGGAAAAAATGTGATTCCTTGTCGGTTTATTCAACTTTATATATAGAAATACAGCAAAGGGTTAATTCAGCCTATAACATGCACCGAAACGCGTATTGTTATATGTCATTTATTGAAAAATTTCTATTCTATTGCTTTGCTATATGCTATACATCACATTGTTATTTCATATCTGATGAATGTGTGTATGTGGATTATTAGCTTTTGTTGAATAAATTGGGAATATAAAATTAGAGCTCTCTATAAGTCAATAAAAAGGTAAAATGACGAAAGAAAAAAATTTGAACTTTTGGATATATTGATCAGCCCACTTGAAAACCGATTTGAAGCACAGCGTATGAGAGGTGAAAGCAGGAAAAGTAATCAAATCATTGTTAAATCAACAAAAAAGGACTGATTCACATTCGTAACGAGATACATGGAGAGAGAGCAAAAAAGAAAGCAAAGAGCGAAAGCAAACACCGAACAAAAACACCATGATAGAAGGCACACACGAAATGCGAAAAAAAATTCATCCGGATAAATACCTGCACTTCTTATTACGATATTTGATGTTAGAACAGAAAGACAATTAAATATTAAAGCGTATTAACACTGTCTATTTATAGCTGTGCATATGAAACGTTACGAGGTGAACATTTGGTAACGAATAGCGCTTGTGTGTTGTTTCTTTTTCTCACTCGTTTTCCATTTCGGTGTGTGACTATAGGCTATAGCCTATATATCTCAGTCAGCATATTGTAACGCGCAGCTTGCGTATAAATGAGAGATACAATGTTGCGTGTGTTGTTTTGCAACTCTTAGCTCACACTGTCACTTAATTTTGCCGAGAGTGAAGACATGCAGCATTTTTAACAGCAACAATGACGACAGACTCGTAGCGCAACGAGAGTGAAATATGTTTTTTATTTTGTTAAAAATCAATTTTCATCTGTCGATTTTAATTCTGAATTTCGGTTAAATTGTTACACAAACATCAAAATAATCACACACAAAAAATCACCGTTTTCATCAATGAAAACTTTATTGTTTTGCGTACGAATTCGACTGGAATCGATTTTGGTGTAGAAGCTACTGACTCCCGCACGTAAACACACGCACACATTCACAGCATTTTCCATGCACGTAGTTGGGAGTCTGGATTTTCCTACACTTGAAGTACAAAGACCCGAGTAAATACTAACACACACGGCTAGCCAGTGTTATACACTTGTATATGTTGATGGTAAGCAAGCAGGCAGGCAGGCAAGCAGCAAAAGCACGTAAATGCACTCAAGACCAAAAGTCTTTCTATCCAAAAATCAATGTAACCGAATCAAAGAGGCGTCATGTACAAAATTTCTATGCAAATTAGCTATGCTCTGTAGAGTTACTCGAGATTTATGTATATCAAATACTAAACAGAAAGAAAAATTCAATAATTTGATTCAACGCACCGAATGAATGTTGTACTCTTTATGGATTATGCTTTCCTTTTTCTCTTTTCTTTTTTCAATTGTTGTCGCCGAACCGGAAGAGAAAAAATCGAAGTGATTCTACACTAAATCTTTTGTTTAAAGCAGATACATAAGGATCGATTTGAAGAAAAAAAATCAACCTGATCATCAGCTAAAAACTTTTATTATCATGTCGAAATCATTAACACAATTTTTGTTCGCACCGTCTTTCAACACCTTAGACTGTCTCACAATTCACACACAAAACGTTCCATACAAATAGGCATGCACCGAATTAATTTTCAGACACACTATTTCCCAGAGTTATTTCAACACATTTTTGTTTTCAAACAATGATATTCAGATCGACTTAATTCAGAAACGAAAAATGAACAATGAATATACGGATTCTACACATAAAACGCACAAAAATTAAATTTCCGCTACAGTAACAATTTATCGATCGTCATTTTGGAGTTTATAAAGGAAACTTATTGGAACTTGTCATCTCCAAAGTGAATATTGTTTTGTTTTTTAAGCGCATATTATGTTCTCTTCGTTTTCGTTCTCTCTTCTTCTCTTCTCTTTTTATTCTATGTACTTGACTGAAACAGTGAACAGTGTGTGCACCATACATTTTTCTTGTATGACAGTTGAACGGGTATGTTCAGCCAACCGAAGTGAAGGCTTATACCCAGGCAACACAGTTATTGACTTAACTGTTAACAACACCATTACCTACAACACTTAAAATGTCTCTTTTTTGCAAAAAAATGATTCAAATCATCTTCTGCATGCCATAAATCTACTTTACTACCATAAATTTCGTTTAAGTCGCATCTGTGGGAGAAAGTCCGTTCTATTTCATTCAGAATTCATAATTTGGAAGACGACACAACGTCATAAAAATTCCACAACAACAAGATAAACGTTACAAAATCAGAAATTGTCTCTCTGTTTCACGAATGAAAAAGCAAAACAAAAAAAAATTGCCCACAGAATATCTTCTACGTAATTGAATGTATTTATGGTATTAAGAACACGTGATGCCTACGAATTGCGTGAATGCAGAGTAACAATTCTCAGCGAAGTAAGATAAAAAGTCAAAGCCATTCGTTGGATTTTTGCCAATGATTTTCTGATGAAGTCAATGCCAACGCACGCCAGATAGTATGAAAATTCAATTTGACTTTGTGCTCTATAATAGTTAACATTGGCAGTACAAGTTGTTTTGTAAATCGAATTGTATGATAAAAATAAGCACTCAACCACTTGCTTATTTCAATGATAGCATCCATTAATACTTATCTCATCTGATTGACACCGATGACTTCGTGACAAATTAATCAATTATTTGTATTACATATTTGTTTCATTGTTTTTTGAAAAAAATCTGAAGGTTTTTTCAAAGGAAAACAACTAAATCAAAAGAGAAAAGAAAAAAAAAATTATGAATAACAAAATTGAAAAAAAAAAAAAAATTATGAAATTTGGCGCCATAATATGAATCCCAAGTAATTGTTATTATTATTACTGATATCATTGTCGGAAAAAATATCTGGTAGAAAATGTAAGATCTCGTAATAAGTTTCTTCAAAACGTGGTTAGATAATCATTTGAATTTGGTTTCACGTTTAAATATCGATGAGAATTTTCCTCGTTTCACTGTACTGCAGTATGCTAAAGTAAATGAAAACTTATGAGCAATGGTAACAAAGCAAAATAAGGATACATTTGTAGGAATTCATTGCACAACATTTTGAAGTTAGAAAATATTTCAAATATTATTCATGAATGTACTGTAACAAAAAGAACCCCGACATATCATATGACGGCCAGTGGTTTTGACGATGATTTCGATTATCCAATAAGGCATTGAGGCTAAGGTCGGGTATTTTTGTTATCGGAAGCTTTGGTTCGGCATTATTTTCTTTGATAAAATTAAATAGTTGAAACAAAAATTCAATGATTGATACAGTTGTTTTGATGCATTACTTTGTTTTGCATTTTTTATTTTTTCTAAATTTGTTGGCACTCTCAACGACCGAACACTATTAGATAAAATTGTTTTTTTTGTATGCGTTCAGTGGCGTTTCGTTCCGTATAAAATATAAAAACGCTACAGCTATGTGAAGTACCGTGTTAAAATGCCATCCGCATGTGTGTATGCGTAAAATAGAATTGATTCGTATAGACTTTGACACCAGCCGATGATGCTTCGGCGAATTGATGAGAAATGCCGATGAACTATTTTTTGACAGAAATACATCGACGAAGCGAACCGAGCGATCAATGTATGCGTGTCATCTTGTATCTATGAATGACGGTATTCGGTGCGACGCAAAGAATAGAACGCACACACTTGCATCGCGATACACTAACACAACGAAAAATCAATGAGTAAAAAGTTCTTGCTTCGATCAGCTAAAATACCAGTTCTGCTCTTCACTTTCCGCACAACGGTGGTTCAGTGAACACACAAATCGATCCAACGTCTAGCATTCAAAAGGCTTACGCCCCAGTGTATTTATCAACCCGATTTTACCGAAGAATCAACAAAAACAGGTATTTATTTTCGGTATTCATTCATTATTCTTTTATTGCGTTTATCAAATCAATTTGGTGAATGCATTTCGAGTACATTTTTCTATGTAGTTTCAATTAAAGCAAGTGCTTCTGTCACCACACAGTCACACGTTCTGCCACATTTTGTTTTTTTTTTTATATTCGTTCGCGAAACAGATTAAAAAAATGACTGTTTAATGAACATTAATTGAAAAAGGTGCAAGATAAACGTATTGAAAAGTGCATTTGAATCGGATTACCGACAATTATTACAACTTGAAAAGAATCATTTGACGAAAAGTGGTTATGTAACAATACAATGTGAGCAAAACTAAAAAAGAAATGCCTGGTGATGAACGCCGCCATTACAGTTCCTTGAATGAGAAAAAAAAGTCATTTTATTTTAACGCGAATCATTTTACTGGATTAAGTGATACATAGGCAACGTGATTGAGACACTCCAAATTTGCTTACGTAAAAGATTTTTCAATCAGCTCCCATTAAGATTGAATAGAAAAAAAACTTTCTTTTCTCTCTCTTTTTTTCCATTAAAAATGTGTCCAGTTGCATTTGAGATATCATGTTTTTCAACAATTCGCTTCCGCTGAATAATTTTTTAATCAATGTATTATCTAGTGAATTGATTTGGATCGATTGGCGCATTTTTACGTACATTTTAAATAGGTTTTCGTGTCGCTGTAAAAGTGATTCACTCACACATGGCGCATTTTATAGGTTACGACACATGCACGGGACTTGGCTCTGCAAATCAATAAGAACAATTTAGTTCATACGAAAAGTAATGACATTGGTCAGATTATATAACCAGATATATTTGGTTCAGTACACCTTCAAAGTGGCTTTCATTTCAAATTTTTAATTCAATTATATGTGACGATTTTTTTCTTCATTTTTGTACCCAATTGTACAGCAGCATAGCTCATGAAAAAAAAAATGAATTAAACTTGGATGACGTACACGTGAAATTGGCAATATGGCGCCCGGCATTGAGAAATATTAAAAGAATAAAAATTGAATGTTTTATTTGTCGTTTTTGTATCGAATATTTTTTTGACTGAAGTTTTATTAGAAAATCAGTTTATGTTTCAATCAAATTCATTGCCAAAGTCAATTAGCAAACGTTATGCTCAAATTAGAATTTTAAAAAATTAACTTTCTTATATAAGTCGATATAAAGGCCATTGTGTCTGTATGTATGTGTATTGTTCACATTCACACTTATATATGCCCGTATACATACACGTGTCGTCGTAGCATTACGCTGCGTTTGCGTTGATTTACTAGACTTATCGTGCTTTTGTCATCATTTCAATCGCTTGTTGCCAGCCAATGATAAATTCTGAGCATTCAAAATTCACTTTGAGACTGATTAACGGTCGGCGTTAACAAATAAATGAAAAAACAAACAGAATTAAATACGAATCGATCTTTCTTTTCTACATTTACTTATATCGATTTTCTTTTTCAAATATGACTGTACCACGTGCAGTTACACTTTTTTCTCATTGTTCAATGAAAATTATATAACAAACATCTGAACAATAACTATGCAAACGGTTGTCGTGCAAATATTGTGCACTAATGATACACGTAGCCAGTTCATAATATACAGAAAACAAGACAATTCTCTTATCAAGCATTAATTTATTATATTTTAAATCCATCCAATGCTTGTACTTTATAATGAGACTAATTTCATGAGAAGCGACAGTCATAAAATTTATTTACTGCAAATTGCCATAATTCAAAAACGATATGCTTTCTTAAAACAGTAGCACAAGAAAATCTGCTCATCAAGACCAATTTTTCGTAGAATTACAACCTACAATCAAATTAGTCTGCGTATGCAGCTGATATTGCAATAAATCAGTTCAATAATTAGTCGTCGCAACATTGAACGAACGTCATCATTTTTTTGCTTTATCATTTCTTCAATAAAAGTATCTACATGTGATATAGTGTCAACCGTCAGCTTAAATTCGTATACCGGATTTGTGCTACGCAATACTCGTTGCATTAGTATTGTGTTAAATTTTGCTGTAGTCTCAATGAGTATTCGACATAAAAATAGCTATATTCTGATGGTGAACATATACATCACGTGCATTCATATATTTTACACTGAGAAGAACTGATTCATATGTGTAAAAGAAGTTTTAATTAAGGCACTTAGTTGAAAATTGAATAGCAAAATCACATATACATATCTTAATTTTATAAATTTGGCTCGATTCAATTGGAAATATCTGTTTATCCAATTTGTTTATAAAAATAGAAAAAATGCCAGGACTTGGTGATCCAGTTGGTTTCCTTAAGGATTTCGCTGCAGGAGGTATCTCCGCTGCTGTTTCAAAGACAGCTGTAGCTCCAATTGAGCGTGTGAAATTGCTATTGCAAGTTCAAGCCATCTCAAAGCAAATCGCCGCCGACAAACAATACAAAGGTGAATTTACGATTTTCAACACATCAACATCCGAACAAGAAATAACAATCGTCCGTTTATTTTCATCTGAATAGGTATCGTCGATTGCTTCGTCCGTATTCCAAAGGAACAAGGATTCTCCGCATTCTGGCGTGGTAACTTGGCTAATGTCATCAGATATTTCCCAACACAAGCTTTGAACTTTGCCTTCAAAGACAAGTACAAGCAAGTCTTCTTGGGTGGTGTTGACAAAAATACTCAATTCGGCCGTTATTTCCTTGGTAACTTGGCATCTGGTGGTGCAGCTGGTGCCACATCGTTGTGCTTTGTCTATCCACTTGATTTCGCCCGTACTCGTTTGGCTGCTGATGTTGGCAAAAGTGGTGCTCGTGAATTCACTGGTCTTGGTGACTGTTTGAGCAAAACCTTCAAATCCGATGGTCTTGGTGGTTTGTACCGTGGTTTCGGTGTATCAGTACAAGGTAAGCAAGAGATAAAGTAACAAATCAAGCTTTGGTTCAACAATTTAATTTGCGATCATTTGTTTTTTTTTTTTAATTTTCAATTCTATTCGCATAAAATTAGGTATCATTATCTATCGTGCTGCTTACTTCGGTTTCTACGATACTGCTCGTGGTATGTTGCCAGATCCAAAGAACACACCACTCTACATCTCATGGGCCATTGCTCAAGTTGTAACCACTGTTGCTGGTATCGTGTCATATCCATTCGACACAGTCCGTCGTCGTATGATGATGCAATCGGGTCGCAAAGCCACCGAAATTATCTACAAGAGCACAGTCCACTGCTGGGCTACAATTGCCAAACAAGAAGGATCTGGTGCCTTCTTCAAGGGTGCATTCTCAAACGTTCTCCGTGGTACTGGCGGTGCTTTCGTGCTTGTCTTGTACGATGAAATCAAGAAGTTGTTGTAAATTTAATTTTAAATTTAAAACACGATAAATACACTGAAAAAAATGAATAAACAAAAAACTTGAAAAAAAAAAAAAAATAGTAATCTGATTAAATAAAATCATTTCACCATTACAAACAAAGAAATAAAATTCCATATGGACAACTAATCGTATTATGAAACAAAATAAATGTCAATAAATCTGAACTGAAACAGAAACCATTACAAACTATAAAAAACACAATTGCTTACTGATGATGAATAGAATACCTGTTCGTTGATTTAGGTGAAGTTATTGCGTAGTTTACGCTTGTGGCGGAACCAATCATTAATATTTGCATAGACCTTGTTAACGTACCACAAGTAAAATCTGTATGGATGATAGAGCAATAAAATACAAAATCTTTTTGTTTGGCATCACCAAATAGTAAATTCGCTTTTATTTCATATTTTCGAAGGAATTTTAATTGAAATACTGAAGATATCACTTTAGTTGGTATGCGCCTTAAAATATAATGAGGAAGTATGTGAATTTAGATAAGGATGCCCCCTTTGAAGTGATCTTGGGCTATCGTTGAGTTGATCGATACGGTGTGGCACAGTTTCACATATCAAGTTTACAAAAATGTAATTGATTTCATTATCCGAGCCAAAGCTTATCGTCTTCCTGTAATGCATTTTAATTGAAAAAAAAATCGAAAAATTCAGAAAGTAAACATAGAAAAAAAAAACATAGAAATGATTTATTCATCTTGTTTATCTCATTCTACGACAATATTACTAATGATTAGATGATTTACATTCAATGCTCTCCGCTTTATGCAGACACATTTTTAGAAAGGATGAAATCTTAAGTGAATGATTTGTGGAATTAGTCATCAGTTTGGTCGCTTAGCATCTTCATATTAAACAGGTACTCACAAATACTAAATCCTAAATCATACCCTTGTTCTTTCAGAGTCACCAGTCAAACGATCAATGACCTGCATACAAAAGAAAATATAAATATCATTGCTATTCCATAAAGTCAAGTGCAATTTATTTTATTACCGTGCTAATTCCAGGCAAGTTGAGAAATCGTCCCAAAATTGGTACTCTTCGTAAAAAGTTTATGGCAACTGGGAAAAAACCGCTGAAATAAAGTAAAAAATCATTTATTACTTTTTCTCCAAGCATGTGTTCCAAATTATATGCAATTTCTTCAAGCACAATAATAATAAAATGCAACTGATAAGAAGCCTTACCTAAACAATAAGAAAAATCCATAGGATTCAATTATCATTCCAATTAATGGCCATCCTAACAAAACGATGACAATTCCACCGAAAAATGCAAGCGATGATTTGATTTTTTTACGTTGCACAAAAAATCGGAAGGTTCGCTCCAGACCAATAATGCAGGCCAAGCCACATATGAACAAAATCTAAAAATAAAGCAGCTCAATTCAAAATGCGAACCATACACAATTTATTGAATGTTATCATACATTTCCAATTGCTAAGAGTCCTTTATCAAACAGCAAAAGTACACCAAGAAATACAAATGCAACTCCAAATCCGGCCAATCCAACTCCAATTTCTGTCAATAATATAATAATAATTAAAAGGACTGGGTCAACGCTTTTTCTTGTTTTTGCTTACGTACTCTGTGTATCAGTAATTTCGAACATTATGAATTCCTACAAACTATTGAGATGAGTGTGTTTTTATCGAAATAATATTTGATTTCCTTTGATGGGTCATTAAAATAAATGCAAAACTAGTGACATTAGTTAAAATAATGGTAAATTTCTCTATTGTAACTGACGATGAAACATCCACGTCAAAGACGAAATGTCAAGCAACAATTTGCTGGATTTTTCTTTTGTGTAGCTTGTTTAGAGGCAGCTGTCAAACAATGAAATTTAATAAACACAGTATATGAATGACAGGTTGGCAACATTGCTTCAAACAAATCCGTAACTTCGTTCAGAACGAATGGATAACGTTTATATTAAAACGATATTGTTTCGAAATTGAATATAAATGACATCAATTTAATTAAAATAGAAAAAATACCACATTTTCATAGTGTTTTCATATCCATTTTTATCGGGAGAGTAAAACGCCGATTGATTTAAACTTTTCTTTCATAGATGGCGCTACGATTATCAGAAACATTAAGCACGTGTAAATCTAAAATACTGTCAAAATATTTAAGGTTTGATATAGTTTATACAAACCGTGTGCCAGAAGTTTTATTCAAAGAATATTCATTTAAATAATGTCTGAATCAAAGAAAAGAGTTGCCGATTCGGGTGGTTCGACTCAAGCAAAAAAGCCAAAGTTTGAAAAGAAATCAGCCCCGAAATTTAATTCAGAAAAAAGTGGAAATCCGTTCAAGAATTCAGGTAGAACAAAAACACGTTTTCAACAACAATGTTTTTTTTTCTTTTTTTCTTAACTTAATGTTCTTAATTTGGAACTTTTTTGTGCTAGGAAATAAATTTGGTAAGCCAAATAACAAATTTCAGAAGCCAAACGGCAAATTCCAAGGAAAATTTCAAAAACCGGCTCCAAACAAATTCGACAAGTCTGATGGCCAAACACAGCCGGCTGGGACCGAAAAAAAAGACTGGAACAAGTTTAAGCAAGAGAAGAAAGAATTGCGTTTAAAGCGAAAGGCAGCACGAATCGGATTTGATAAAGTTCATGAAGCGAAGCAACTTTACGAGAAACTAAAATGGTATGTTCAAATGACGAATTTTCATGTTGAATGTTTCGAATAATGAAAAATTCGTTTACTGTTTAGCAAATCAACCGAAAACAAAGCCGAACTTTGTCGTGAACTTCACAAAGTGTTCAAAGACGCAGAAACATACCAAAAGATGGTAATGGCACATGATACAACTCGTATTGTTCAATGTATGTTGAAAAGAGCTCCAGCTGAAATTTGCCAACAAATCTCTGAGGTAAGCATTTGCATTACATTATTCGACGTATATTTTTAAAATTAAGCCATTCATGAAAATTTCACTCTTTTGAAGGCTCTCATTCCCGTTGTCAGCAAGCTGGCCATTTGTGATTATGCTCACTTTGTTGTACCACGCCTATTGAAATATGGGTAAATATTCCATTACTGAAGCAGCAACTTCATTCTTCCATTATATGTTTGGCATTGATTTATTTCCAATTTTTCTTTTATAATTCTGCGCCAGGTCCGCGGAAATTAAGCGCAAAGTAATTGAAGCCACATATGGAAATGTGTTTTCGATGTTGAGCCGACCAAAATCGACATCAATCATTGATTCAATTTATCTATCGTATGCAAGTAGCCAACAAAAGGCTTTGATGCGACAAGAATTGTATGGCGATCTTTATAAAAAGGTAAGACATCATTTTGATAATATTTAATGTGGTGATAATTCATATTTTGATGTGAACAAATTCTATCGATATTGACAGGCCAAAGATAAAACGGTTAAATGTATAAAAGATACTTACAAGAATGCGCCACACGAAAAACCAGTGGTTCTGGGTTCAGTCAAAAGTAACTTGAATCATATTGCTAATAAAACATTAGTTGATAACAGGTGAGTTCGTTTTGTGTCAGGTCATTTTTCTATTCGTAACATTTATTTTTGATTGACAGTTTGGTTCATGCTGTGTTGCTCGACTATTTGAGTGAATGTAATGAGGAGGACAGAGGTGAAATTATTGCAGACTTTTTGCCACACATTGCAGCATTGGCAAGTACCAAGGATGGCGTAAGAGCTGCCATGTTTTGTTTCTGGCACTCGATTGTCAAAGATCGACGGGCTATCTTAAAATCGGTGCGTGAGCATCTCATCAAACTATGTACACATGAACATGGTCATGTATTCATATTGACTATTATCAATTCAACGGATGATACAAAAGCATTGAAAAAATCAATTTTTGATCCAATTTTCGCTGAAATTGAATCGGTGGCTGCCAACGAATGGGGAAGAAAGGTGATTGACTGGTTTGTTGCACCTGAAGACAGAGCACGCTTCCATCCCCAAGTTATTGGACTTATCGAAGAAGGTTTGCAATATAGTAAAAAAGACAAGGAAGTTCGCCGTACTGAACTCTTGGAGCAAATTAGTGAACCATTGTGTAAAACAATTATCGAAAATCCATATTTCTGGTTGCGTGGTGGTCACATTGCTATTACAACATTGAATATTCTGAAAAACTGTAAGCATGATCAGGCACAAAAGAAAGCCTTAGAAGCTGTTGCCGATGTAATTTGTAATGTCGATTGGAAAGTCACGCCTAAAGAGGTTGAAGAAGAAAACAAAGAAGTTGCCGAAATTAAGAAAAAACTTGAAGCCAAGACCGAAGAATCTAAAGATAAAAAGGATATACCGGAATTGGTACTTGGTGTCGAACATGCTGGTTTGCATATAGCGCTCAAAAAGATTATGAAAATTGAACAATTTCCAGCAGCACTGGCAACAAAATTGACAGAAGAAGTGGTGAGATAACAGAACACATAGTCAAAACAGAGCATAAAATCGCACTTGTGTAGCAACGCGACTACTGATTAGCAAGCATATTACCACAGAAGCACGCTCTTCATTAGTGACGATTTCATCCTCTGAGTTAAAGACAAGATTATCATTATGTTCTTATTGAATTTTTTTTTTTTTTTTCAATTTTTACAGGTCGAAAATTGGCTACCATTGAATCGTGCCACATTCTTATTGATCAAAGCATATGAAGGTGGTGATGAAGAAGTGCAGCAAAAAATCAAATCATTGGTTACAAAACAGAAAAAATTGCTGAAAACACACAATCACGCAGGGTCAAAAATTTTAACTGAACTACTCGGTTTGAAATAAGACTAATGTCAAGATCAAAAAGTTATATTTTGTTATTTTTAATCTTTGAATAAAAATCGATATCAATACAATGTATGTATTAAATTGAAAATGCCGCTTTTGAATGAAAAGTAATGTGTATTTATTTTATTTGTTTCAAAATGCGAAAATCGCTAATAAAAGTATGTGATTGCGTAAATGCATGTAAATTTATTTGATTCGCTCGATGATATGCAATCCAGAATCGGTTTCCGTAATTTCAGAAATTTCTCCAATTTTCAAGCTGAATGCAACATCTTCGAATGCCTTTTGCATTTGTCCACGAGAAAAGGGCCCCAGGTCACCACCACGCTTTGCTGAACTACAGTCCGAGTATTTTAGTGCCAAGTCAGCCAAAGTTGTCTCACCAGACTTGATCTAAATAAAATTATTGAAAAAAAACTAATTGATTATGGCGAATAAAATGAAATAAAATAAATGTTTTTATAAAAATCGATATATTCACCTTTTCATAGTAGCCAGTCAGAATGGCACGTGCCTCTTCTTTGGTTCGTGTAATGTTGTCTTCACGCCATGAGCTCGGGCGACGGCTATTTTTATGTTTGACCAATAAATGAGCGCATTGAACTTGGCTTAGATCTTTGGACGAATCACCATCAGCGGGTGATGAAGGTAATTCCCATTGTGATTCTTTAGTATAGACATTCAAGTAGTATGGCAATCCTATTGAAAAAGAAAAGGAGATATTCCAAATTTAATTTTTTTTTCTTAACATTGTTATTGATTTGAACTTGTTATCCAGTAAATGTTGGAATTCGTTATTTGATATTAGAATATTGGCTGAAACACTGACGAATGACTACTTCCGATTCTATTGAATCTTTTTTTTCCACTTGGTTTCATTTTTTAAATTAGCAGCAACAACAACAATAACCAATTGACCAAGGGCATCAGTGTTAAACGGTACGAAGATTCTTCGTATGCAAATGAAAGACAAAAATGAGCTATTGATTAGTTGCAAAACAATTTACCGGTACTGCGACTGGTCCTTTTCTCCCAACCGGCGGGAACAATTTCTTCCGTTGAATCAGCCATGTTAAAAAAATTTCTTTACCAATATTTCTTTATCAACGCACTAGAAACTGCAATTTATTTTCAAATGGATTGTGTGGCTTTTATGAAAATCCTGTTAAAAAAGCACGATTTTAATGCGTTGTGTTTAGTCACTGACTTTTTTTTGTATTGAATTTGCACAACGAAATGTCAAAACTCAGAGAAAAAAGTTTCCCTCCAAATATAGGTGCGATATTAATACGGATTCCGTTTGTAATTCAAAATATGTTTACAATCGTATTCTCATTATAACTTGAATGAAGAATGCATTTAAAATCAGATGTGGACAATTTATTTCGATTAAAAACCATTAGAAATTTCTTCCGAATATTTATTCTTTTTTCACATCTCGTTTTGACGTATGCCGATGAACGCACCCTCTACTATCTGATTGCATCTGTCAAAACATAACATCGACTTTTTAAAAAAAAGAAATAGTAAACAATAACACATTCGGTAATTTTAACTATGATTACCCGAATTTTTTTGCCCGAATCGATTTATCGAGTAGAATCCATCGCTAAGTTCAAGGATTATTATATTTTTGGGAAAATCGTTAGCGATCATTGCAACAGTATAACAATTTTTATCGTTGACGTTCGTGAAGCGAACGAACGAGTAACATCGGACCAACAATTGATTGGGATCATTTCAAAAGATGCGAGTAACATAAAAGGATTAATCAGTGATTATATTAGATTTGAAATTGATAAAATCAATTCACTATTGGAATTTAAAACAGTTGAACTACCCAATTTCATTTCAACTCCAAAGTCAGTACAAATTTTTCTATTCGATTTTAATAAGTTTGTGGATTTATCTCAGCGAAATGATGATCGAAAATGGTGCCAAAGACAAGACACAATATCACAATTATTACGTTTAATTAAAATTAAAGAAGAACAGATGAATAGAGAATCGCATGAAAGTCAGGATAAATCCAATAAAAATCGTCTTATTTTCTTCTTAATGTCTTTGGCAACGTTCACCCAAACAAAACTCTCATTCCTCAATTCATCATTGTTGAAACATTTTCATTTTTGGGTTTCAAATTTGGAAAAATTAACGAAAAGAAGGTATACATATTATATTACAAGATTTTAAGCAGTGAACATTATATTTATTAATGTCTTTCATAGAGTACTCGTTTGGACGATAGCTTTTGATATTATTGCTGGAATTATTACTATGTTATGGTTGTGGCGAATTTCTAATGCTGACGAGTATTTGATGCAGTTGACAATGGTAGGCAAATGAAATGCATAAAATTGTTTATTTTGATATCAAAATTAGTAATTCAATATATTCCTCTTTGAAGTTTATATTGAAACAACTGCAAGGCTTATTAGATGAACTCAAAGGCAGTCCGGTGGGATTAAAGCTAAATGTGGACTTGAATAATTTCTTCATTTCATGTTTTCGTTACCATGTTGATTTATGGGCCACATTCCTGGGTATATTTTTTTGTCTATCGATTAGACTATAATATAAGATTTGAAACCTATAATCTAAATCTTGAATTGAATAAAACAGTTGATTTGTCTTTCAGATATCATTTCGCCATTGGTAAAATATTTATTTGTACCGCTTGCAATTATTGGTTGTTTTGGATTATCATTTCAACTATCCATGTTGGCAGATCTGTTGACTGTGATTACATTACACGCACATTGCATTTACACTTACGTATCAATGTAGGAACAAATGACATTTCAGCAACTATTTTCTGACCATGAGATAATTTAACATATCGATTTACTCCATAGCATACATAAAATTGAAATAAATGGATTATTTGGTGTTTGGCGTGTAGTATCAGGCCGTCGAAAAAATATTCTGAAAGGTAAATGAATCATTCCACTCCTATTGATAACTAATTTTTTCAAACAATGTTTTTTTTTTCATGCATTAGATCGGATTGAATCATATGAGTATACAAATCCACAATTGTATTTAAGTACAATTTTTTTCTCGGCGCTATTATTTTTGTTCCCCACTAATCTTATTTATTATATCGTATTTGCAAGCGTAAGTTAATTTAATCGCTGTTTGAATAAGTTTTATTTGGCCTTATCTTAAGTGAGTAATAATTTTGTGACGATTTCAGCTTCGATTTGCAATCCAGTGCATAACTTTTTTACTAACATTTGTCCAACAAAAACTACTATCAACCCCAGTGGCATATATATTTAAATGGTCCCTTGGTCAATATGCGAGTTTAGGTAAATCTTCATTAAATTCTCAAAAAGAAATAATTTATTTTGAAGCGATACTTTGAACTTCTTCATATATGTCAAGGGAATATCTCCAAATTAATTGTGTTTTTATCTTTTTTACGTAGATAATTTTGAAGTAATGCCTATGGAGAACATTCAAAATGGTACTCATTCCGTGGCATTTTTCTCGATAAGGACAGTGCGCTCCGCATTCCCGTCATGGTTTAACACAATGAAATAAAGTCATTTTTGTATGAACATCAATAAAAAATATATAATTTTTTATCTTATTACATATTAATGATCACAAATTTTAATTATTTGTTATAAAAAAGCCAACGAATAACCTAATTCTCTTGCATAACAAACAAAATCTTTTATCACATCATAAAGAGTCTCACACAAAACATTTGTTATTCGAAGTTTTTCGGCAACCAAGTAAGATCTGTTTTTAATTTCTCTATAAAATAAAATAAGAAATGGGTAATAAATCTTCGGCTAGACAGGAGTTTGAAAAATTGCAACAAATAAGAATTTCATTTAAGAATGATTTGTGAGTCACAAACGGTGTCTAATTTGATGATTTAAGTCTCGGAAAATTTTTCATTAGAACAAACAACTAAAAATGGAATTAAAAAAAATTAAACTATATTTGAAGAAAGCTATGTAAAACAAAATTTACAATAATTTCATTTTGAAGCGTTGAAATTTGAATTTTTATTTGGAAGTCGACGAAATTTACGTGCTAATTCGATCACGTAATTTACTTTTGTAAATTACGGTAATAAATACATGTGTTTTACGTCACATATTTTATGTTCTAACCAGTAATGTGCAAGCAAAATTTCTCAGGGGGGTGATTTCTATATTTTTTGGAAACTCCCTAGCAAATCGGAAGAAACCCTAGCAAATTCAAATAATTTGGAAATCACAGGGGGATAAATACCTCCCCTTTGCACATTTCTGGTGCCAACCCAGTGTGTAACACAAGACTTGTATTTCAAATAACATTTAACGTTTATTATCTAAAATGACAATTCCTGACATGCAGTCTTAGTTAGAGCTTGCTTTCCAGTCATCAGTCGAGTTTCGATTTGTGCACACCTCACCGCATACTAAAAAGAAAATAATTTCATTTCATTTATTTTTTTTTGCATTTTCGAAATACAGATACATTTTCAGGATATTCAGAAGTTTTCAACTGACTCGACTTGATTTTAAAAACTTCAAAACAAAATTAATTAAGATCATCGATTTCGTGCCATTTGAAAGTGTGTAAGTAATAACAAAATTCAATACATTGCGTGAATGATGGAAGAGAAGAACATCATCAATAGCCATACCAACGGTGGATTTGTGCATGAGGAAGGGGAGGAAAAAGTAAGACTTATCAAATTCAGTAAAACCTAAAAAAAGCAAAAAAAAATTACCATAAAATATATACAATCTTAGAACTATTTGAATGAAACATATAAAGGAATATTTTGCCTTACTTTTCTTCATATTAGTAGAGTGAAGAGATTTAACAGTAGAAGTAAAGACACAGTTGTTGCTTACAATATTGATTGATGTCGTCTGCTATATTTTAGAATACCGAATTCAATGAATGTACCAGGAACGTTGAATCTGGCATTAACACAAGTGCGCATGAAGAAGATCGATCAACATGGTCAAATAAAACGGAATTTTTGATGTCATGGTATGTATAAAAAATTTATAGTGTGCTAGGGGACGAACACCATTATAAATATTAGAATATCAGCGGAATATTAGCAAAATATTAGCAAAAATTAGTTTGTTTTGCTTCACCATTGTTTGTTAGAGAATTACGCACTTTGTTCACCGAAAACTTTTTTTGTTACTTTAAGTGTTTTAGTATTTAATAGAAATAAATTTTATTTTTTCTAAACCAGGAAAAATAAAAAAAATGTTAAATGTTCATCTAAGAATTTATGAAAAATTCATACATGATTTCACTTTGAGATCAGCTATTTGACGTTTGACGTTTATACTAGTGAACTAATATTAGCAATATTAGCAATATTAGTATGTCTGTATAGTTATAATAGTAGATTTTTTTTATTAATATTGGAAAAATATTAGCAAAATTAGCAGTAAACTATGAAACTAGATTTTACTAGATTTTGTGTTCGTCCCCCAGATAGTGTGACACACTGTGACTTTTAATGACTCAAAATAAAATATTTCTTTCTCCCTTCCTCCCTATGCTTGAATTTTCTGCAATCAAAAGTATTTCCACAAGTGTTGGATTAGGAAATATTTGGCGCTTCCCGTTCACAGTGAGTTAGTTCAGTGAAATAATCAAAGATATTTAATTTAACTAAACGTTCTGATGGAATAGGCTTATGAAAATGGGGGCGGTGCCTTTCTTATTCCATATGTGATTGTGCTGTTTATAATCGGAAAACCCATGGTATGTCATGAAAATTTAAAATTAAGATTGATTAATTAAGAGATATTTTTAATTAGTATTATTTGGAGACATTCATTGGTCAATTTACGAGTCAGAGCGCAATTAAAATGTGGGAAGTTAATCCAGCATTCCGTGGCGTTGGAGCAGGACAGATTATGGCATCGATTTTCATCATGACATATTACTCTTCGTTGGTCGCATTGACTGTGTATTATTTCTTTGCCTCGTTTGCATCACAATTACCATGGACCGTGTGTCTTCCAGAATGGGGACCAACTTGTATCGATTCTAGTTCTAAGAACAACTTGACATTTCTGACAAATTCATCTTCAAATAATTCTGAAGTAGCCAGCAGCTCGGAATTGTATTTTCTGTAAGAACTTAACATATATATTCAAAGAACTGCGACTTTATTCTATTCCCAATATTCTAAATTTTTAAGGAAATCCGTCTTGAACCAAACACTTAACATTTCAAATGGAATTGGTAAGTCGGTCGAAGAAGTGTTCATAATACAATTGTAATATCAAATGTTCATCCAATTTAAATAGGCTATCCAAGTTGGAGACTAATGATATGCTTATTGGTTGCATGGGTCGTTGTGTTTTTGGTAATTTCAAAGGGCATTAAAAGCTCGGGAAAATGTTCATACTTTCTTGCATTATTCCCATACGCTATAATGATCGCATTGTTACTTCGTTCCGTCACACTTGAAGGTTCAGCAAAAGGCATTCTCTTCTTTCTAACACCACAATGGCATGAACTCACAAATCCCAAGGTAAATTGCAAGTGGAAATTTTAAGCAAATTAACATTGTCTTAAATTAAAGCTGACTACTTTTTTATTTTATATATTCGAATTCATAGATTTGGAGTGAAGCTATACAACAAGCATTCTTTTCATTGACGGTCAGCCTTGGCCCTATTTTGGTTATGTCGTCGTACAATAAATTTAAACACAACTTATACAGGTAAGTAAAAAAATTACACAACTTAAAGTTATTAACGAAAAAACTAAGTTAAGAACAACAAACAATTGGTGTATTTTTTATTTTTATATTCATGCACTCACTCTCTCTACAAAATACTAAACCGCTGCATTATGTATTTCAACTAGGGGCATACGTCCTCAAGGGAAAAATTTAAGGGGGGTAATTGGAAAAAATCGAGGGGGGGTAGCAAAAAAGTGAAGTGTATTTTGCGAAAAGTGTACTTTTTTCGTTTTTTTTTTTGCTCTTCACTTTTTTGGCGAAAATCCCTAGCAAATCGAAAAAAATTTCGTACATGCCAAAACTGAAAAGCAAAAAAAAAGGTCCTCACTTTTTTGGCCAAAATCCTTAGCAAATTGAAAGAATTCTTTAAAAAAATTTAAGGGGGGGGGGGTTAATCGGACCCCTCGGACCCCTGCTGAGGACGTATGACTAGGGGAAAGGTTTAATATTCGGAGAATGTAATACATAAAATATTCTGTGAAAAAAGCTAAATTGGAACCTTTTTCCACATATCAATAAAACATTTGACGTCATGGAAACAAAATAATTCTTACTAACTTCATTTCATAAAAAAATATAGTAATGAACATCATAAAACTAAATTATTATATACAATAAAAAAAAATCAACATTTATTGATGCATTTGATAACATTCAAATAATTGAAAACATAGATGAAAATGTGACTTGAACTATTTGAAATAAAAGGAAATAGCAGCGCGTATCTTCACTGATATTATTGTTATTAGTTTATTGAACATATTTTTATTTTTCGCTTATTTCAGAGATGTGATGATAGTAACTACGTTGGACACATTTACGAGTCTGATTGCTGGCATTACAATATTTGGAATTTTGGGTAATCTGGCCCACAATATGCAAATAGATGATATATCCAAAGTGGTAAAGAGCGGTACAGGGCTCGCGTTCATCTCATATCCTGATGCTATCAGTAAATTTGACTATCTACCGCAGGTATTTGGGAAGCGAGGAAAACTTTAAATGTGTACCATTTACTCTGAAAATAATATTATAATGTATGACCAATATTTTTATTTTTTTGATTTATTTTGTATTTTTCAGGTGTTCGCTGTGTTGTTCTTCTTTATGTTATTTATCCTGGGTATAGGAACTGTTGTGGGTCTAGGAAATGGTGTTGTAACCGTATTATGTGATCAATTTCCGAGACTCAAATATGGTTATGTTGCAGCCATAACCTCAGTTTTTGGATTTCTATTTGGTTTAGTTTACATCACACCAGTACGTAAAAATTTATTCACTTCTACTCTTTATGTTTGCTAAAATGGCATTTTCTTCATTTTCATTTAGGGTGGACAATGGATGGTCACACTGGTAGACTACTTCGGTGGAACATTAACAATTTTTGTGCTCGCCATCTTTGAGCTTGTGGCGATATTTTATTTCTATGGCTTGGAAAATGTGTGCATTGACGTCGAATTTATGACGAAACGTCGACCTTCATTTTATTGGCGGATATGTTGGTTTTTGCTTGCTCCAGTAATAATGACGATCGTTTATATCTATTCACGGATTACAATGGGGTCATTGAAGTATGCTGGTATGGACTTCCCAACCAAATATATTTTGCTCGGATGGTGCTTTTTTCTTCTTGCAATGATTCAAATTCCGATTTGGTTCATCGTCTGTGTCGTAAGGAGCCCCTTACCTGCGGCCAAGGCATTTGTTGAAACATTTAAAAGCACAAGTTTATGGGGACCACGCCGTCAAGATGATCGAAAGGAATGGCAAAAATATCGTGAAGAAGTCAAACAAAGGAATAGACGTGCTGCGAATACATCAAATTCAAGATTAATTAGAAAATATAATTTAGCATTTGGAAAATTTTAGCCTAGAAATGTATTTATTTAACTATTTACAGATTTACACATAATAAACAAGTGATTGCTTTAAACAAGCTTAGATGAAAGGAATGCTCTTATCGTTGCTCTGTGCGTTTAATGTTTTCAAATAAAATATTTCTAAAATCTAACATTAAGTGTAATAACAATTGCGATTGTTTTGATTAATGTAGTTCAAAATAAAGTGATAAGTGACAAAACAATTATTGGCGAAATTGTTGTTTCTTATTTTCATAACAAGTTTGGAAAATTTAGATTTGGATTTACGAAAAAAATAATCATCAAGTACATTAATGCATCAAAAAGCACTAAAGATTATAGAGATAAGATACTACAATTCCACAATTTCAAATGCTCACATTTTAATATAAATGATTTTTTCATTATAATAATTTCAATTGTCCACCACATTTGACATACTGCATCGGTGTGGATACAGTTACAATAGATACTTTCTATAAAAAAAAACATTCAAGCTTCCGTGCAGTTTTTCATTAAATTGATTGAGTGGTGTCATGAGGTTTGATACCATTTTGGCGGTGAAAAGCAATATAGTGATGCGAATAATAATGAATTTGCACACGAGCAAGAAGAAGAAAAAATAAGTTATCAAATCAATCGAATCAATTTCAAATCGACATGCTTCCTATGTACTATGTCAAATTGATACATTATATGCGATTTACTAATTAGGCAAGACCATCAGACAAGTAATATTGAATGTTGAATATAAACCATAATCTGTACTATGGAATTGAATCTTGATGAATTCTGGATATCTGATGGTTCTTCTGCCACTGTTTATCTTAATTTGATTACGGATCGTTGGGTCATTGTATTTTCCAGATATGATTTTGTGTCAAAATAATACTGCTGCATTTATTCGACGACGAACCAATGACACTAATTCAAGTTCTTTAAAACGGTCAACATATGGAGCAAGTTGATAATCATTCTTATCTCTATTCAGATAAATAACTGCTTGTTTTTTAACACTTTCAACTGCAAATCTAGAACATTTGTGATGTGGTACTACCACAGTGGTGAACTCGCAAATTCCAAGTTTGGCACTATTTATATCGAATTTTCTCTTGTATGTTCTTTTAACAAATGACAGCATAGCTGATGATCTATTTTTCATTTTCAATGCATCATGCTCCTGGCTGTCCTGTGCATATTCATGGATGTCGTGATAGAATTTTATTAACGCTTCGAGGCCAGCAAGATGCTTTCTTGTGCGCGTGCAACTTGTGAATCTGTTGTCGATTGCGTCTGAAATGATGGCACACCAAAAATGTATGCAACTCGCTGCACTCCGAATGAAATAAACAATAAATAAATTTCCGATGGAATTTTTAAAAAATCTAAACGAAGATAATGTATGTAGTTGTCTCTTTATGGTGATTTTATCGTAGATAATAGCTTTTTAAATTGACATATTAATTTGCAACAAACATGTCAAACACATTAATAAATGAATAAAAAGGCGACAAACACCTCGAAAGATAACACTCCATACAACTCGTGTTTCAGATAATATCCTACTATAACGATTTCATTCATTTTATCACAGAGTTTACCTTTCAGTTTGACGGTGAGCTTTGTGAGATTTGTACACACCCGAGGTACGAACCTTCATTAAAAATTAAAATAGCTGTTCAGAATAGTTCTTAAATCAAAATATTGTATATTACTAAAAAGCAAAGGTTTAATCTCCACACATCTAAATAGTCAATTAGCAGTTGTAACCGCGAGAGTAGCAAAAGAACAATATTAAAAACGTATATATTCATCATAGAGAAATAAGTGAAATATGAAATAAGTTATCCTCTTTTAAATATAGCACAATCATTATGAGAATTTAAAAAAATCTATAATTACCTAGAAAGGGTCACCCGGTGCTACACAAACAGACATAGTATATTGTGTGAATGATGACAACGCAAAACAATGGGCATGCCAATTGTGGCTTTGTACACGATCAAGAGGATGTAAAAGTAAGTCACATATCTGAATATAAAATAAGAACCAAACCCGTCTTAGTTTGTTTTTTATAGTATTTGTATAAAAAATATTGACATTATTTCAGAATACAACGCTCAATCCATGCAATCCAAACATTGAATCTGGTGGTGACACAATTGCACATGAAGAAGAACGCCCAACTTGGTCAAATAAAACGGAATTTTTAATGTCATGGTTTGTATAATTCCACTTTTATAATGTAACAAATCTCGTTTTTAACTTATCAAATATTGGTGCTTTTCAGCATTCAAACAAGTGTTGGATTAGGAAATATTTGGCGCTTCCCGTTCACAGTAAGTTAGTTCAGTGAAATAATCAAAGGTATTTAATTTAACTAAACATTCTGATGGAATAGGCTTATGAAAATGGGGGCGGTGCCTTTCTTATCCCATATGTGATTGTGCTGTTCATAATTGGCAAACCCATGGTATGTCCAGAAATCCATGAAAATTTAAAATTAAGATTAATTACAATATTTAATTATCATTTTTGATTAGTATTATTTGGAGACATTCATTGGTCAATTTACGAGTCAGAGTATGCTTAAAATTTGGGAGGTTAATCCTGCATTTCGAGGCGTTGCAGCCGGTCAGCTGGTTGCATTATTCTTCGTCATTACATATTATTCTTCGTTGATCGCATTGACTGTGTATTATTTCTTTGCCTCGTTTGCATCAGAGCTGCCATGGTCCGTGTGTCTTCCAGAATGGGGCCCATCTTGCGTCGATTCCATTTCGAAAAACAATTCAATGCTTTTTGAAAACTCATCTTTGAATTTCACTGAAGTAGCCAGCAGCTCGGAATTATATTTTCTGTATGTTTTTCGTTCCACTTAATTATTCAATGAATTATCAAATATTTTTGAAAGAAAATGTATAATTTTTTTAGGAAATCTGTTTTAAATCAAACGCTTGATATTTCAAATGGAATCGGTATGTTGATAAAATGTTAATATTTACAATTTAATGTACATAATTTTAATGTTTCAACAGGTTATCCAAGTTGGCGTTTGGGATTATGTTTTCTAGCTGCGTGGGTTATTGTATTTTTAATCCTTTCAAAAGGCATTAAAAGCTCGGGGAAATGTTCATACTTTCTTGCTTTATTCCCATACGTTATAATGATCGCATTGTTACTTCGTGCCGTCACACTTGAAGGTTCATCAAAAGGCATTCTTTTCTTTTTAACACCACAATGGCATGAACTCGTAAATCCCAAGGTAAAATTTTAACCCCAATTTTATAGACATAAAACATTAAAAATAGAATTAACGGAAAGATTTCTTGAAATCAATCCGTTTCTTTGCCTGAAATAAAATTAATAATATGCTTATATGCTGCTTGCAGATTTGGAGTGAAGCTATACAACAAGCTTTCTATTCATTATCTGTTGGTATGGGCCCTCTAGTTGTGATGTCGTCGTACAATAAATTTAATCATGTTATCTACAGGTGAGTGTCATCAAACGACCAATATGCAATATACACGTCTATTTTTACTACGATACTAACGAAGTAACTCTTGCTGATAAAAGTAACTTTCTATTAATATTATCAATTTAATAACGAAACGTGGCTGAAAGTGTTGCTAGGACTGTTTGAAATAACAGGAAATAACTGCATTATGTTATGAATTTATTGAACGTATTTTCGTTTTTTTTTACTCATTTCAGAGATGTGTTGATTGTAACTTCTTTAGACACGTGCACAAGTCTGATTGCTGGCATTACAATATTTGGAATTTTGGGTAATCTAGCTCACAATTTGCAAATAGATGATATATCAAAAGTTGTAAAAGGCGGTACAGGGCTCGCGTTTATCTCATATCCGAACGCTATCAGTAAATTTGAATATCTACCGCAGGCATGTACAATTTACAGACTTAAACAATTTTATAGCAGAAGTTTAGCACATTTGATAAATTATTTACATCTACATTCAATCTCTTTTTTCTAGGTTTTTGCTCTGCTCTTTTTCTTTATGTTGTTTGTTCTTGGTATCGGATCAGTCGTAGCACTACTTAACGTTATTATAACTGTATTATGTGATCAATTTTCTGGATTAAAATATGGTCGTGTTGCAGCCATAACCTCAGTTCTTGGCTTTTTATCTGGACTAGTTTACCTTACACCGGTACGTAACAATTGATTCACTTCTGCTTTATGACATAAAGTTTATGTTTGCAAATGTTGTATTTTTTTCGTTTTCGTTTAGGGTGGACAATGGATGACCACACTAGTTGACAATTTTGGTGGAACTTTGCCATTTTTTCTGCTAGCCATTATAGAATTAGTAGCAATATTCTATTTTTATGGCTTGGAAAAGTTTTGCATTGACGTCGAATTTATGACAAAACGTCGAGTTTCGTTCTATTGGCGGATATGTTGGTTTTTGCTTGCTCCAGTAATAATGACGATCGTTTTTATCTATTCAAATGTCACGAAAGAATCATTAAAGTATGCTGGTCTTGAGTTTCCAACCAAATATCTCTTCATCGGATGGTGCATTTTCCTTCTTGCAATGATTCAAATTCCAATCTGGATTATAGTACGTTTTGTAAAAAGTCCATTGCCTGCTGCCAAGGCGTTTGTGGAAATATTTAAGAGCACAAGTTCATGGGGACCACGTCAACAAAATGATCGAACGGAATGGCAAAAATTCCACGAAAAAATGAAACAAAAGGCAATAAATGCTGCAAATGCGTCAGGCCATTCAAGAGTAATCAGATTGTTTAATTTAGCATTTGGAAGATATTAATTTAAGCAATAAAATACGTTTCGTCTCTGATTCAGTTTTTATATTACATATAGGCTGGTTTTAATTTACAAATTCTTGTTCATTTATACTTTTCACTTAATAATAATAAAAAGCACAGAGCATCAATTGACAGCTGATGAAACGACAACAACAATAACATGAATTTTTAATTATTAATTTATTTTCAATTCATTACTACGGCTCCACTAGATATTTGTCAGCCAAAATTTTACTCATTTTATGGTCATTGGTATTATAATTAAAAGACAATTCAGTGATAAGAGACAACGATATATTAGATGAATTATGTTTCTGGCTGATATTATTTTGATAATTTCATGAATTGACAGTTTAAATTGAAAATTTATTGTCATAACTTATGAACTCAGAAGAGTGCAAAAATAGCCAATAAATCAAGAGCGGAAAGCAACAGCTTCAAAAGATAAGATACACTAAATGTTAGATAATAATCTTTCATGACAAATTTTTATTATTTCAACAAGAGCAAACGAATCAGTCAACAGTCGAGCTTCGATTTGTGTGCAGCTTACTAGTTAGAGACTACAGATTTTAATTAGCTAAAAGAAAACAAATTCGAAACAACAAATTCAAAATTTCACGAGAGAAAGCTTAGAACCAATGTGGCATTATTACGGTGTTATACTTTTTTGAAAACTCATGTTTCCTATGAGATTTTCAATATTATGTGTAATTAGGATAGTTAAATAATTATACGAAAGCAAAATTGTTTGAGTGCAGCGCACCGTTTCTTGGTGATTTTAAGTTTAATACCGTTTCTGGTGTTTGACATTGGAAATAAAAAGGGAATAAAATATTATTTGAATGATGGCAGAGAAAAACAATGGGTGTACTAATGGAGGATTCACTCAGGGAGAAAGCGATGAACAAGTAAGTAGTGCAACTATTAGGTTAAACTTGACTTGATAGACACAAACATTATTTTATAAACAAATGAACTTGAGGTTGATTTTATTATTTTTACCAACCTTAAGTTTCTTAAAAAGTACAAAACACGAAACAGTTATATAATAATCTGGGGGTAGACACGATTTTTGGTAAGCGCAAGTTTTTTCTAATATTACCTACCGATGGGGTAGGTTCGGAAAATTCTTTCGATTTGTTGAGGTTTTTTTAACGGTTTTTTAAAAGTCATTTTTGACAATGACCCCCTGGAAATTTTGGCGCGCACAATCCGGATTCAGATATAGTTATTCATTTAAAGCACTATAAACATGAAATTAGATAGAATAGTAAAGTGAGTCTTATTTTAAGCTATTTGAATAAATATTGTAATTGCACAATATTATGTTCTTATCACCCAGCGATAACAATTTTTATTGTATTATTTAGATGTTTTCATATATGAAATACCTTTGAATGCATCTTATTTGTCTTTATTTAGACGACAAAATTCAATATATGCAACACGAGTGTTGAATCTGGCATTAACACAATCGCACATGCAAAAGAACGTCCAACATGGTCAAATAAAACGGAATTTTTGATGTCATGGTATGTATATATTTTTATAGTGTGGCACACTGTGACTTTCAATGATCCAAAATAAAATATCTCTTTCTCCCTCTCTCTACATGCTTGAATTTTGCTTTTTTGCTGCAATCAAAAGTATTTCCACAAGTGTTGGATTAGGAAACATTTGGCGTTTCCCGTTCACTGTAAGTTAGTTTAGTAACATTTTCAAAGGTATTTAATTTAACTAAACATTCTGATGGAATAGGCTTATGAAAATGGGGGCGGTGCCTTTCTTATTCCATATGTAATTGTGCTGTTCATAATTGGCAAGCCCATGGTATGTCATGAAAATTTCAAATTAAGATTGATTAATTAACAGTGACCGGTTCGCGCATATTTCTATGCTTGCCTAAATACGCTAGGTAGCATAGATATGCCAAGCATAGCCGCAAACGCAACCGACGCATCGCCGTTCACTCTATATGAACAATACACATGTTCGTTTATGCAGACGACCGTGCGCATACAATATAGCTCGAATCGAATGGTGACGGGTGCGTTGCGGCTTGCGTCTCCGCTATGCTTAGCATAGCTATCAGGCATAGAAATATGCGCGAACCGGTCACTGTTAATTAAAAGATTTAATTTTCATTTTTAATTAGTATTATTTGGAGACATTCATTGGTCAATTTACGAGTCAGAGCTCAGTTAAAATTTGGGAAGTTAATCCAGCATTCCGAGGGGTCGGTGCTGGCCAAATTGTTGCATCAATTTGCGTCATCACATATTATTCTTCGTTGATCGCATTGACTGTGCATTATTTTTTTGCCTCGTTTGCATCACAACTGCCATGGTCCGTGTGTCTTCCAGAATGGGGACCAGCTTGTGTTGATTCCAGCTCAAAACATAACATAACATTTCTGACAGATTCATCTTCAAATCATTCTGACGTGGCCAGCAGCTCGGAATCGTATTTTTTGTAAGTACTGAACTGTAATTTAACCTTACCAAGGGATTTGGTTCAAATACTACCTTTCAAAATAATCCGCAGTGTCCAAAGTTCATTCAACTTTCGCTAAAAAAATTAATAGGCCGGAATTTAAAACAACACTGAATTGAAATTTACAATGGAAATTTTCTTTAATAGAAAATAAATGTCTAGCCTAAAATTCATACTTCAGAATGAATTCAAATGCGATTTATTTAAATAATTGGATTGCTTTCAGATGTTTGATGCGATTGTTGCTGTTCAGGTTGCGAATTTGAATTCATTCTCTTATACATGGAATACTTAATTCTTAAATTGGATAAATATACACCTGGAATTGTAAAGAATATGCGATTAATAGTTTAATTTAATTTCCAGTCCATTTTTTGTTGCATATTACCTGCATATATTCCGACAAAAATTAAAGGAAACACATATGCACCATATTCAATTCTCACAGTCCCAATTCTCACATAATTAGTCCCAAGTTTCGACTTTCACATGTGCGGACATTTGACTATACATCCAGTCAGTGATAAGAATGACGCTAGTGATTTATCGTGATACTATTGATAGAACGATATGAATATCGTGCTATTGGTACATGGCTCTTCAATATTTTCCCTCAAATGTAGACATCTAAAATATCAAAATAGAGCTCTATATGTGAGGGAAAATATATCACTAGCGTTATTCTAATCACTGCATCCAGTTCAAGGTCATAAAAAAACGGGAAAAAATTACGCTGAAATCGGAACTTCTATACTACTTATATTCAAAGAATTGTAACTTTATTCTATTCCCAATATTCATTTTTAAGGAAATCCGTCTTGAACCAAACACTTGACATTTCAAGTGGAATCGGTAAGTGTCTTAAAGAATCAATGTAGACTCAAAAAGCAATCATATAATCATACCAATTTAATTTAAATAAATTTAATGTTTCAACAGGTTATCCAAGTTGGCGATTAACATTGTGTCTGCTTGCCGCTTGGATCATTGTGTTTTTGATTATTTCAAATGGCGTTAAAAGCTCTGGCAAATGTTCATACTTTCTTGCATTATTCCCTTACGTTATAATGATCGCATTGTTACTACGCGCCGTCACACTTGAAGGTTCATCAAAAGGCATTCTCTTCTTTATAACACCAGAATGGCATGAACTCACAAATCCCAAGGTAAATTGTTAGAAAAAAAAAACTCAAAAATATGTACATATTCAATTTATGTTATTTCCATCGTACGCAAAATATATCCATATTTATTTGCTTATATATTTAAGTTCACTTGTAAATATTACAACAAACATTTTCCTAGTAATACTTACGAATACTTGGTGAAAATCACAACACAAACATCTATAAAACAAAAAAAATCCATCTCATAAATGTTATAAAATCGGAATCTGTTATCATAAACAGTGCTTTCATCAATGCAGATAAAATGTCTGCTCAAGTTTTCATTTTCGTAATTGCCCATTGTTCATTCTGTGAAATGAGTTAAAGTGACATTTCTCTCTATATTTGCAAGGTCAATCAAATAAGGTGTTATAAAAGTTAAAACGTATTTTTTTAGATATGGTACGCTGCTGTCAATCAAGCATTCTTTTCGCTTTCACTAGGATCTGGTACAATCTGTATGTTTTCTTCTTATAACAAATTTAATCATAATATTTATCGGTAAGTGTATAAATGTTGTACAATACTTGATACCAGTCACCAGAAATAAAGTACTATCAATAATATTTTTACGTATGCTATGAAACCCTTTATTCATCGAAACTAACCATAAAAAATATTAAAATTTTCTTAAGAAAATAGATTAATGAAATTTGTAACTAATAACTAACTGTAAAAATTTTTTAACAATTCTGGTTAACGATAAAATTAAAATTAAAATTTCATTAACACAACTCTATTAGCATGCCAAAATTTTATCAATTTAGTTTCGTTTTTGATTCGTTTCAGAGATGTATTAATAGTCACTTCGTTGGACACATTCACAAGTCTGATTGCTGGCATTACAATATTTGGAATTTTGGGTAATCTGGCCCACAATATGCAAATAGATGATATATCCAAAGTGGTAAAAAGCGGTACAGGGCTCGCGTTCATCTCATATCCTGATGCTATCAGTAAATTTGAATATCTACCACAGGTAGATTTGGGAAGCGAGGGTGGAATTTGATTTTGTTTCGTATTAATTTTCTTCGTTTTCTACTCTGTTTTAGGTGTTTGCTCTGCTCTTTTTCTTTATGTTGTTTGTTCTTGGTATTGGGTCGGTTGCTGCACTACAGAATGTTGTTGTAACCGTATTGTGTGATCAGTTTCCAAGTCTTAAATATGGTCGTGTTGCAGCTATAACGTCAGTTCTTGGTTTTCTATCTGGTTTAGTTTACATCACACCGGTAGGTAACAATTGATTCACTTCTTCTCTTTATGTTTGCTAAAATTGTATCTTTTTCTTTTTCGTTTAGGGTGGACAATGGATGACAACACTGGTTGACAATTTTGGTGGAACCTTACCAATTTTTGTGCTCGCCATCTTTGAGATAATTGCAATATTCTATTTTTATGGCTTGGAAAATGTGTGCATTGACGTCGAATTCATGACAAGTCGTCGAGTTTCGTTCTATTGGCGGATATGTTGGTTTTTGCTTGCTCCAGTAATAATGTCGATCGTTTATATATATTCAAGTGTCACGATGGAACAATTGAAGTATGCTGGTCTTGATTTTCCAACGAAATACCTTCTACTCGGTTGGGGTATTTTTCTATTTGCAATGATTCAAATTCCAATCTGGTTCCTAGCACGTTTTGTAAAAAGTCCATTACCTGCTGCCAAGGCGTTTGTGAAAATATTCAAGAGTACAAGTTCATGGGGACCACGTCAACAAAATGATCGAAAGGAATGGGTAAAATATCGTGAAGAAGTCAAACAACGGGCTAGAAATGTTGCAATTGCATCAAACCATTCAAGATTGTTCAGAATGTTTAATTTAGCATTTGGAAGATATTAAATATTAAAAATATCACTTTTATCAATATAGAATATATTCAGTTTCCGACATGTACCAATATATTTTCGAAAAAATTTCTTATAATAAACCAAATTGACTGTTTAGGCCGAAAAACGGTTTCAAACGTAATTAGTGTCTTAAAACATGTTGCTTGCTTCCTGTTCATTGATATTTACACAATACATACGGTTAAGATGAGAATGTTTAAGGTTCCGTGTGAAAAGCCCGTTTCAAATGAACATCGTAATTTTGAATGCCAAATAATTATATGCAAAATATGTCTTGAATAAAAAAAAGGTCGAGTTCAGTTGACTTCTATTTTGAATTCATGCACTATAATTTTCTTTGAATATCACATTACTTTATTATCGTTTATTATGTGTATGTAAACGGATTTTTCAAACCGTTCTCCGTCGTTTTTGTCTAACTTTGCATATGAATCAATTCAAATGTAACGAATTCTGAACTTCCCCTCATTTCATAATGTCTAATTTTATCGATTTTGTCAAATGTCAGACGAAACGTCATGTCGTTGCTGTCAATGTTGTTTGTTTATACTTGTACATTTCGATGTAATGAGAAAGTTTTCTACTTTCATTTATTAGGTCAAGTAAAAGGTTTTAAGTGATGGGTGACAAATCAGAAACCGCATGCATTTTTGTAAGAAATATTCCATCTCGTCAGAATTTTTACAAAGCAATGAAATCACCAACAGAGACGCCCGACCATTGGCTTAGTCGAATCAAAAAATTGGCCAAGTTATGTGACTTCGGAAATAGTTTGGATTCAATCGTTTTGGATAAATTCATTACAGGATTGGAAAATGAAGTAATTGATTATTTGTGTTTATGTGCTGAATGTCTTGATATTGATGCTACTGTGAAATTTATTCATACTTATCAAAGTAGCGATCAAACACAGACAAATGACTTGGCACATGTTTCAAACTCAAATGACCAAATTATGGATCCGTTTCAAGAGACACCAGAGGTGGTACTATGTTATATGTGTAATAAAATCATGACACATCAACTAAGCATGTATGTGGTTTATTTCAGGTTTTTTCTGAAATCTTGGTGAAATACGAAATTGAAGAAACTGAAGTAAATAATCGTGATGAAGACAACGCGGAAAGTGATTTTTCGGGCCATTTCAACGATGATGATAGCAAAGACAGTGATTTTTTGTGTAATGGCTCATCGAGTTCTAAGGCAAAAAAACCGGACGAAACTACAAAAATATCAAAAACTAGGAAATCAAAACGGAAAGATGTCGTAAAAAAGTCATCACATGAAACTGGCGGATCCAAAAAAAGGAATCAAAAGAGCACTAAGAAAAAACATAAAAATAATAACGAAAAAAATCCAGAACCCAAAGACAGCACAGAAAATCCACAGCAAAAAAACAACATAGAAAATTCAGAGCAGAAAACCACAGACCAAACAGAAATCGATCCAAATACGCCAAAAAAGAAACGAAAATATAAAAAGAGAGCGATTAAAGAAAAACAAACCTTCAAATGTGAAATCTGTCACTACACATGTTTACACGAATGTATGTTATGTTCAATATATATGTCAAGTTTTTAGATTGATTTGAGGATTTTTTTCTTTTTAAGGTCATTTACGACGTCACAAATTGATTCATCAAAATGAGAAAAGTTTTGTATGTCATATATGTAAGCGATTTACAAAGGTATATCTCAATTGTTCTTTAAATTTATGCGATGATTTTATTGTAGGTGGCAAGGCCTTTAATTTGTATATAAACATGAATGCACATATTCGAAGACATCTCGGCATAAAAAACCATGTTTGTGAGGTGTGTAAAGCATCATTCATGGATAGAACGAGGTTGAAGTTGCATATGAGAACACACACAGGTGAAGAGACTTTTAAATTTTATTCAAAATTATCAATTCTAATCATAATTTATCCATTGAAGGTGAAAAACCCTACGGCTGTAAATTTTGCGAGAAAAGTTTTGCAGATCAATACTACCTCAAAGTACATACGCGGTTACATGTAAGCCAAAATTTAACGTTTTAAATCTGTATATGCTAATATATTGAGTATTTCAGACCGGCGAAAAACCATTCCGATGCGACCAATGTCAAAAGTTATTCTCTCAATCGAGCAGTTTGTCGGTGCATAAGAGAAAAAATTGTATAGCTAGTCTGACAACGTAAATAAATACTCAAACACTCGCACAACATTCATTTATATTAAGAAGAGAACATATGACTAAGTTCTGCAATGACGATGAACATATCCGCAATAAAATAATTGAACAAAAAAAGTAAATCTTTTTCTTTAATGTTTGAATCGAAATAGCATTTTGAAATGGATCAAATATTCGCCCAACGGATGAATTCAATACTAGTAAAAGACATGTAAGGTAATGTAAATGAATTCTGAAACAATGAAACTTCCTCATTTGAATTACTGGGCGACACTAAAGATTTATTTATTTAAACTCCCACGATCTTATTTCACAAAGAAAAAAAAATCATCGCTCATTTCAAGAGGCTTGTTGCAATAGAGGAAGAGAGGAAGTTATGGTAATGAATTGCTGGAAATATCTTTTTGGTATTCAAATTTTACTATCGATATGGTGCATTGTTTTCTTTCGGTAAAGTGAAGAATTTCTTAAATGACAATGAATGAATAGAACGGATTTGACCTAGAAAGTGATTCAATGCACTTCCATTCCTTTAGAATGCATTCCACCAAAATTTTAGCGCCGTATTTTGCCGCTCAAAATAATCTGAGCATTCATGAATCATGCATACAATTACTGGTATGCAAAACTGAAAAAGAAGCTACTTTTTATTATTTTCTTCACTTGCATAGGCATCAACTATGTTTGAATCCTTTTTCTTTTCAATTTAACGATCTTTTTAACGAAGGTTGTTGTCTTTTATATTCATTCTTCATGGGTTTGTGTGAAACTTCCGGTGTAACGTATAAACATATCAAAAGGCGCACTATCTTCGTGGTTAATGAACTTTAGCAAAAAAGCAGAGATAAAGAGAGAACGAGAGAAAGAGAGAGAGAGAGATAAGTTGACAATGAGTGTCAGGATTATCGCACAATAGAACTACATTCTTGTTAAATAGGTATTGCCTTAGTATTTGTATTCATCATCGATTTTTTTCCTATTAATTTTCGATGCAGGCAAATAGGTAAAAATTGTACGTAATATTTGTCATATTTTATTTAGAAAAAAAAATTCTTTTGTTATTCATTTTCTTCGTGTATTAATGTTTTTTTTTTATATTGTGTCGGGAATGATTGCGATATGAACTGGATTTTTTCTACGTTATAAGGCCATTGTCAACAAGTTTGGTAAGAAAAAAGGGGGCGTGTATTCATTGTTTGCATTATCTGTGTGTGCAAAGAAAAACGCTCTCATTGCATGATCCCTTTTCAAGTGCGGCGAAAAGAGGCAAATTGTATCACTTTAACTGAAATTTCACTCTTCATAACATTCAATTTTCTATTGTCTAGCCACTTCAGGTTTCCCACTTCATCTCACTTCGAATGAAGATGATTCCAAAGAAATCGGTACGATTTAATTTCGTCCTTTGCAATTTACATGCAGATGTATGTGTTGGTTTCGATCTATTTTTCACGTAGTGGGGGTTCAGAAAATTTGTCTATAAAAGGGTTTATTGAATGAGCATGCGCTCAGTTACCATCAGCAAAGTAAATAGATACGAGTTTCAGTTTTGTGCGTTTGAAAAAACCATTTTTTTAAGATGTCTGAAAAAGCATTTAACTCGACGAAAAGTTTAACACCAAATAATATCGTCGACATGAATTTAAAATTGAGCCCGCTACGAAAAAATCGAAAACCATTGATGGAAAAGAAGCGGCGTGCACGCATTAACGATTCGCTGGAGACACTCAAAGAAATTTTATTGAAAAATACAGTCGCTGTAACGCAAGGTACTCGACCAACGAAATTGGAAAAAGCAGATATTCTTGAAATGACTGTAAGATATTTACAAATGTTGCATAAACGTAATGCGATGCCAAGTGCAAAATCATCAGAGTGTTGTGTTGTTACATCGACCACACCGATTCGAAATTCAGCCATGAAACCGAAATCGATTTCCAATATTGAATACTTTGATCGACCATTTAAACAAGTCAAAACTAAACGAAACGTCGTCGACAGTGCTGACAAAGAAAACATGCCAGCCACCAAATTAATTCGATCAAATGGTAGCAACACCTTTCGAACCAGTGAAAGAAGTGCGTTCAGAGTCATTTCAAATGCAAACTATTCCGAAAGAAAATGTGAAAACCATCACAGAAATAACAACGAACATTGGCGGCCTTGGTGAAAATTGACACCCAAAAATTCATTTAATTATTTGTATTTCTCTCCAGAGGCTGTGATCTATTAGACGTATAAGTGATTAAGTTTGATTTGTATATATAATTTAACATTCAGTTTTGAATTCAAATGACTTTGAATTCTTATTATAATCTTTCTTTTATAGAAAATAAGTATTGCAAACAATTCAGTATTGAACTTTAATTTTTTTGATAATTTATTTAATGTTTCTGTTACAATTTTATGCTTAAACAATGTTCGGACGAACTATTTTGCACTGTTTTTTTTTATACTGATAATATAAACGCTTGAAATCTGTTTAATATTTATGTGAATTGTATCGTTTGAAGAGATTAGGTAACATTTCACAACTTTTCCGTTTTGATATCGAATTTTCTCTCTTTATTTATTTTTTTTAATATAAAAGAACCTTTTTTTATGTACAGTCTAGTTGTTTGTAAATATAAAAGTAGAACGAACATATTCAAATAAATAAATAAATAAATTATTAAATTAAAAAAAGTGTAGAGTAATGTCTCGACCCTTTCTTTACATCTATTGCGACTATACATTTTTTACATTAAATACTAGAATGCTATTTCTGTTTAAGAGAAGAAATTAAAAAATCTTCCAAATAAATTAAACGAACTGGTTACTTTCTTCTTTTTGCTTGGTTTTGCTTCTGTTGGCTTAACATCGCTTGTCTCTGTTTTGTCTTCTTTGTAATCATTGTATTCCTAAAAATAAAACATTTTTTTTTTTGATATACATCACAAATAAGATTTAAAAAAAACTTACATCATCATCTTCGTCTTCATCATCATCGTATTCTTTCTCAGAATCTTCTTTTTCTTCATCTTGTTCGGCGTCATCAGGTTCGGCCTTTTCGGTGGTGCTGTCGGTCGATGGCTCATCATCTGCCGTCAAATTTTCAATTGTCTCTTCAATTGTTTCAATAACTGATTCTTCTTTTTCATCTGCATCGGCTTTCAATTTACTTGCCCCGTTTTTGGGTGTCTTTTTTACGATATCAGGTTTCTTTTTGTTCTTTTCATCATTCTTACGATCGATATTGATACTTTCGTTTGGCTTTTTCTTTCCATTACTATTGCCACCCAGGAAATCTGTCACAAAATCACTGGCACTGCCAAGGAAACGTGTCAAACCAAAGTCATCGTCGTCATCACCACCACCGCCACCACCTAGAAATCCACCTAAAAAATATAAGTATAATTTTATAATTCATTTCGCTGCCAACTATAGTTGGCTGAACTTACCTAAAATATCACCAACAAATCCACCTGGACCCGGTGCTTCATCCGAGTCGTCATCGTCATCATCATCATCGTCGTCTCCTCCGGCAACTAAAGTAAAAATAGCCGACAACATCAATATTTGAATACAGTCCGTTTCAAATGTTTCGATAAAAGAAATCAAATTAATAACTTACGTTCTCCAATGCCCAATGGGTCGTCATCATCATCGTCATCGTCGTCGTCGTCATCGTCGTCGGTAAGGGTTGGAGGTAAGGGTTCGGCCTCCATTGTGGCTAAACCTTTTGGTCCAAATTGGAAACACGAAACGCGAAGAGAGGCCTCAACATCGTCATCAGCGCGAAGCTCCAAACCTAAACATGCTTTGAAGTTTTCATCTTCACGTGAAATTCCTTCGAAAAAAAGTGTTTATAAATAATCATCGCATTCCACATAAAAAAAATTAATCCAAATATGAACATAAACGACAAAAATATATACCATAAACTCGGCCGCAAAAACGATTGTAACCGCCTGGCAAAGGAAGACAAATTGGGGTTGGGCGACGGCTATCAACTGTCCTCGAAGCCAAAACTAAGTCACCGTATTTAATTCCAATCGATAAACGATCGTTATCTAAATACCGAACGGTAGCACAACCAGGTCCACGGATTGGAATCAACGGAATTGAAAAATCGCGACAACATTTACACGATGCTGACGAGCACGAACAGTATTTATTAATTGGATTTGGATCATTTTCATTAACTGGTTTTTCTGTTGTTGGTTTCGCTTCAATTTCGTTGGTCTCCTCCGATAATGGTTTTAAATCGATGTTTGGATTAACAACAACCTCCGATTCAACTGGATTGGTTGCTGCTTCTTGTGAATCAGTCAACTCTTGAACAATTTGTATATCTTGGACGACATCATCTTGACGAACGGAATTTTCAGCCGATGAAATATTTGATTTGAGTGTAGTTACCTCAAGAATTGGATCAACACGAGCTATTTGAATAAATAGTTTTTAATTTTTAATTCTAGCATAGTTAAAAATTGAACAAAACATACGGAGTAGAGAAGAAAATTAAAAATTACCTATTCGTCTATTAACATGCTTCGATGAAACAAACGCGATGAGTGCGCTTATTAATAGGAATTCCAGCACCAGTGGTATTTTCATATTTATTTATTTTTTCGCTATGATGGTGAAAAATGCAAAAAAAAAAACACAAATAAGCTGATTTAATTGATTTATCTAGAAAGGTAAAAGTATCGATTTCAGACCACAAACAGTAATTTACGCAAAGAAAGATTATTGTAATGGGTAGTTTGAAAGTGTTTATAACAATAGATGGCTAATTTGTAAATGGAAGAAAGATTTATTGAAATGCGAGATATTTCAAATGTTTATTCTTTTCTCTTTTCGTGTGTCTCCATTCTAACTATTTTTCTCACTTTTGTGTATAGTCGACATATATTTTGCCGTTATTTCACCATTTTCGTTTCTTCACATCGTTTTTTTCTTTCATTTGAAAAATGATAAACGACGAATGAAGAAATACACACGGCGATTTTGGTGGAAATTATTCAAACGATTGGTCTCAAAAAACGTGAAATGTTTCTAAACAAAACCGAAAGTTTTGAAGAAAAATAAGTAGATCACGAATTATTGACGTGTAAAGCCAACACTCACGCATAATATCAAGCTGAATAATAATCAAAAATTTATTTCTGATCAACAGATTTTATTTTTCTTTTCATTTTTTTTTATAGTTCGATTTCTAACTGTTAAAAAGATCGATCAATTTATTGATTTACACATTACACACATTTTTTTTTATATATTTAGAAACTTTATGTGTTCTCTTTTTTATCATTTTGCTTTCTCGCACCTAGAAGTATGCATTTTTTGCGTTCGCTTTGTATGGTGAACGCATATAAAGAGAGTTTCAAAAATTGATTTTTAAACTATCGTCTGTCAGTCGGGCCAAACTGTAGAATGAATGTCATGCATTCATGTATTTATTTGGGTCAGTATCCACAATTAAATATGTAAATATCCAATAATAGCAAACCATTTGCATAAAAGTCTACATGGATAACGGTCTCGTAAATGGCAAATGATTTAAACTGTAAAACAAATCAATGCCAATGTGTTAGAATGTGTGTTCGGTCATATGTGTCTTTGTGTGCGTTCGAACATCGGAAAGCAATTCTTCGAACGATTTTCAATTGCAGATAATGTAATTTTGTTGATTTTGCACGAAACTAACAACTTCGCTATTACAACATAAAATTATGATCTTCATCTATTATTTCATGTGTATGATCTCTGCTCCCGCAGATTTTCGTTCAACGGTGAGGCGATTATCGCTGCACAAAACGTAGAATGAACAGTTTTTTCTTGATCTGAAAAGTCTTATTTTGTTCAACAAAAGCAGTTGAATATATTTTAAGAGCTGCTTCTGCAGTCATTACAAAGAACATTGCTTTGAATTATAGTTCAATTGAAAACGGTATTGAATTGGCTGAAACGTTTAAAGGTACGAAAGTATTTCAAAATGAAATACAATCATCCATCGTAATATTTTCAAAACAATTATTATGAGTTGTAATTAAGTTGTTACTTGTTTTGAGCAATTATATTATGTTCTTTATCTCATGCTTTTTACGCAATTCAATTCAACTCAGTAACTCAGTTTTTGAGTGAAATTTTTTTTTTCATGTAATCCACACGCGAGGCTAAAATTAAGAATTTTATTATATAATAATATAACTGATCATTTAACGGTAACATTGTTAAATTGTTCAATTGCACTGTGTTATTTTCGGTTATTTTAAACGCAAAAACTTTTGAAATTTTGTGGAATATTGTTGTTTCTTTCTTGTTGAGAAAATGTTTGTTCGGTTTTTGTCAATTTTTTAAACAATGATAAGGGATTTTGGACAATTCTCAACATTTTTTTTACATATTTTCTTTTAAAAAATCACTATATTCAATTTTTTATCGCTTAAATTATTATCGCCGTTATAATTTTGATAAATAATTTTCATCGTCGATGATTTTTCAATCAATTCCGTTAAACTCATTTCTTTCTAAAAACATTGTTGCTTAAAAAGTTTCGATGAAAAGCGTCCAAAGAACCAAATTCACCTTTTACGGATAATTTTAAATGAAATGACTCACGATCAGACTTCCACGATTGAAGAATTCAACGTCTATCGACACTTATCGTCTAAAGTCGACTGACTACTTGATGAGTATCTTCTTATGTTGAAACGTTGTCTTCAAGTTTGATGATCGGCCACAACACGAACCAAACCAAAGGTAAAAAAAGTAAGTGTAAGCAAGAAAAAAGAGAAAAGAAAAGAATACCAATTCCGAATAAAAACTCGAAAGCGTCTATGTTTACATTTACTTAAAACGTTTCGCTGTCCATACGTTCGAACGCGTTCGAATGAGATAATATGATATTCGGCACATTCTTTTTATTATAATGCAACATACTTCAAATTAAACGGTTGTATCGAGTGTGCTAAGGTTTTAAATCATTTAGTTTTGCTTTCATCTCGTTGAATATTCAAATCACAAAAGAAGAAGAGGAAATAAAAATCGGTAAATTTCATGAAAATTTGGTCAATTGGCCCAATTATGATTTCACCAAATTCAATATTTCGCCAGAGTTTCTATCGATAAATTTGATATATATTTTGTTTGCTTTGTTTTTTATTGGAATGAATCGGAAATATAATGTGATTTATGTACTTACATTAAAATGACAATAACCGAATTAAGACATATCAAACATGATATAGCTTAACTGTTCGTCATTAATATGACAGCTATTCAGAAGAAGATGAATGTGGGAATATGAAATCAGTTATACGTAGTGTAGTAAATAGCTTTCAAAATATTGAAAACATTCGATTCTTCTTCAAAAATGTTTTTTTGGTTATTCATTGTGTACTGAACGAAATAGAAACCAAAGAGAAATTTGTGTCATTGTGTATCATTGCTGTGACGCATTCGGAGTCAATAGTCTACATACAAGGTGTAACTGTAGACCGCACGCGCACATATTCACTGTGTGATGAAAAAGAACTGAAACCGAAAGCCCCAAAATATACGCTTTTAAATGAATAGAAATTAAGAAAAAGTGATACAAATTTGTCATTTGAATTTACCCATTTATTTAACATTACTTTTTTTATTTGTCGCCAAGCAAACGCGATTTGGTTTTACTTAATTATAGATTGGAATTCAATTCCGCAGAGTTTCTACGCTACAAAAAAGAAAGAAAAAACCAATTAAAAAGACTTTGGTCCACCAAAAAAAGTTCTTGAACAATTTGAACACCTTGTAAGTAAGCCAAAGTCACTAAGACTTCGATATACTATGAAATTAATAGAAGATTTCTTTCTCTTCCACTTCATTTCGAATCGATTGCATACAGATAGTAGATTTATTTTCTGTTGTTCTTTGGCTCATTGTCATTCAAAATATGTCAAAACATTTAATGTGCCATGAATTTGTTCGACAGTTATTATTATGTATTGAGAACAAATCTACTCAATTGAGGCATAACGCACTCACAGCATTCTTTTGCATACGCACCATATTTACTTAACGTTTAATCGCAAAAATTATGCATTGCACGAATAGCGCATTGCACGTTATATATAAATCTTACATGTATATAGTATAAAATATGTTACGCCGAAAAAATCTGTACATCGATTTCTATGGCTTACTTTGCTTCGTAATGGATTTCAAACAAAAAAAATAATTCAAAACACTTTTTGGCAATGAAAAAGCAAATTTGTTTGATTATCGGTCAAATTAATGACTCTTGGCAAGTGTTGACCTGCTATCACAACGATTAGAACATGTGATTCAATCTAGGATTCAATAATATAAAATTGTGATGAGCGGTATCAATTTTAATAGCGATGTGTTAACTAAAAAAGTGGCACAACAGGTCGAAAGATAGATAGAAACCGGTTGGTCATCGAGTTCATCACCGGTACATATTAACAACATTAGTCGTTAAAAACTGATAATTTTGGTATGCAATATTTTTCGCTCTCAAATAGATTTGTAGAGGAAACACATTTCGGTGAGTTCATGATATTTTTTAACGGTCTATCTTTTAATCTCATAATTTTACGGTTTAGATTGAATTTATGTTCTAGATTTTCGCAATAAGAATGATGGTTTTAAATTTTATGCCGATTCCGCCATAGACAGCGAGCACGAGTACGAGTATCATGCAATAATATTTTCGTTCTATAAGTTTAACTTACATAATATCTAACTGAACCATAGAATTTCCAGAATGTGCATCCAACTGCAAATTGCGCCTCATCGCGTCTCCGCTTCAGAATCATTACATAGAAAATGTGTTCTTTGTGTTAAGAATTATTAGTGCATTGAGACTATAAAAAATTAAAATACAGACATAAACTGTGATAATATAACCATGAAAATCACTTTTTACGAATCTATCTGATAATGTGCGCACATTTGCTTCGCTTGTTACTATGATCAATTTTTTGCAATAGTTGTAGATTGCGTCGCATTCAGTTATTCATAACACTTATCCGACAAATAAATCATAAATGAACAGTGATTTATCACGTTTTTTTTTTTCACTAAATATTTATTTACATTTGATAGTAATGATTTTCAATATAAAATACAAGTACGAATTAGAGGGTAAAGAGAAATGGACAAAATTAAGAATGTGTATGATCAATTAGGTATATTGCTTTTACATCAACTCAAACAAATTACCAGTATACTTAATAAACACCATTTATCGCAATAGTTATTTTAGTTAATAAAATTGAATGCAAAACAATTATTCCACGTTTATATTTGGGTAGACATTAGAAATTAATAAATAATAAAAAAATTTTTTTGCGAAAAAGTACATTTTTTATTATTTGGCCATATCACACACTGAGATTAAGAGTTTGATTAACAACTGACTAGAAAGTAAATAGTTTCATTGATAATTTGGCAAACGTTGAAGAACGACGATGATCATTTCAATTTCGTTGCTGATTTTTACATCTGATTGTTATCCACCGGAAAATCATATTTCGACGCAAAGATTTTTGATCGTGGATCTTCTGGTGTCCAAATGCGTGCAAAAAGTTTGCAGCCAGCAATTCGGTCTCCTTTTCGGTGCCATGATAATGAATGTATCATTCCATTACCTATGAATTAAAAAGCATTACATTTTTTACTCCGTCTATTCAATTGAAATCATTTTATATATACAATAACAGCTCCTATAATTTTCTTTCACCGCTATCTCTTCAAGTCGAAGGTTTTTCATGAACTTCAACGCAAACATCATGCATGAATAGATATAATCACAAATGAACATAAACGAAAATTTCCTATTTTATCGCTTAAAAATTGATTGTGGTATATTATTTAGTGTTTATAATCTCATTCAAATGTGAATATCACATTAATATGGTAGGACGCAAGAGGAACCCCCCAATATTTCATAGCAATTGTTACATATATATACAAAATCAACGTGTGTATCTTTTGTGTTTATAGTGTATCGGCTAATCCTGCCCTTCAAATTCTACGCTTATAAATGTTTCCCCTATATCGCGCCTATGTAATTATTTGTTGCTCGAACATGTGAAATTTGCTACGGTCCTCCAGATGTTATACTATATCAGGCGACCGTGTAAAAATGGTATTAGATTGATTGCTTGTCGCATTGATGATATGTAGTTTGTATGTATATTATAGTGTACAATTGCTTAATGATGAATCTTCAGCCGCAAATTATCTAAAACGGAAGTTTTTGAGTGATATAAGTGCAAAAAAGTTGCACATACAAGATATTGAATAAAATTCTTTCGAAATTATGAGTAGAAACTTCGGTTTTTATTTGCGATGTCTGTTGTTTTCTTTTCTTTCGCGGTTGTTGCTGTTGTTTTTATTTAGAATTGATAATTCCCAATTTATTTTGCCCTTGCATCGCAAGCAACCACCAACGCAACGTTTTTATGTGAATAGCGACCCGAAAATGTTATGTTTTTCTACGGTTTAGAATGCATTTAGAAACTCATTTGTGTTTTTCTAATTTCTTCATGTTTATGCTCTACTCAATGTTGTTAATGCTCTTCGGCAGTAACAACAAAAACATTTCAGACGATGAACCGTGTTTGGACCGCAAAAAATAAGATATTTAGTCTCAGTCACGCAATTCTTGCTACGGAAAAATAATACACGAACAATATCAACAAAAGAAAGAATACAAAGGGATGTTCATATAATAAATACAATTTGTTTGCAATTGATTCTGTTTCAGAGGCTATTAACACAAGGGTAAATGTTTTGAGCTATGATTCGCATTTTATGTTTACACGATATAAATGAATGGGGTCTGAATTCTGGCACTTTATTCATCATCACATATTTAGAGCCCATTCAATGAAATAAAACACAAAGTGTACACGTGAAATGAGCATTCGTCATATTGAAGCGACAGCATTGGACTTTAATGTTGTACGAATGATAAGTGCTTTATTTTACGCATATTGCATCCACTTTACATTTTAACTAAAAATTGGGTTGCATTTATTTTTAAGCCTTCTAATCTGTTCTTAAAAAAATCGAAATCAATTTATTCACTTTTCATCTGAAGATTAATGTAGGATTTTTTTCGCAAAATCCATCTCAATTCAAATGACTTGATTTTAAACTGAATATTTAGTTTTGGACTCTCAATTCCATATCGTATTTTGAAAAAGTTTTAATACGTATTATTTGGAAAGAGAAAAAACGTTCATGGAATTATTGAACTTGTTATCGTTGAATTATTAATTTTGGAAAAAAAAAATGTATCGATGTTAGAGCGTTCGAAAGTAAATATGAATCTTTTTAAACTTTGATGTCGCAAAGGAAGTGATATCAAAAATTCAATACTTCCTCAATTTATTTTACATTAATATATTGAAATGTATAATTATTGACAGATCATGAAGTATATGTCGCTTTTGGATTGGACAGAACTCACGGAAATCTACTTTTTTTTTGTTCAGCTGCAGTGAAACAAAGGACAGGGGTTCCGAATGATTTCCCCTTTTAATTGTAACAATACTGAAACGGTTCAAATCTATTATTTTATTATTCAACCCTCAAAATTGTTTTTTAATGTTACAATAATCATAGTCATATGATATGAATATGTGGTGTTATTGATTGAAAAGAAATATCCGACCGAAAAGATACATTACAATTTCAGTATCTCCCATTTGTTCTTATCGCACCTACACGATGACAAATGTCAATCACATATTTGAATAGAGAAAAAGTTATCGAATTCATTTTAAATCGATGTCAGCACATATTGTGAAACCGAATTGGTCTTTAATTGAGATCAAAACAATATGTTTTTTAACGAATAAGTGTTTGATATGATAATAAAAAGGGGAAACTTTTTGTTATTTATTTTATCATTGTTATTGTATTGACGTTGTTTCCACTTGAATCAATATTGTTCGAGGCTATTGTTGTTCTTGTTTGTCTGTTTTTTTTTTCACAGTTAGTGCACGTGTGCACAATTTAATCAACCCCATAAACGATTTTTATAAACCACGTAAAAAACTGCATTACAAACATTAATAAATAATAACAAATAATAATTTTTTGTGCCGTGCGGAAATATGACCCGAATAGTCGTAACTTTATGCAATTGTTGCAATCCACGATAATCAAAAATTGTTTGTTAAATGTTTCAAAATATCAAGTTGACTGATGTCTGTTTCAAACAAACAATGAAGTTATAGTGCTCTTTTATGGTCGCTATTGAAAGTAGAACAATTCAATCTTGAAAATTGGAACATCTTTGAATTAGTTCTTATGCATTATAACTTTGGATAATGTTCAATAAATGTTTAAGTGGATTGGCCAGATTTCATTTAGTAGAACATGTGCCAGCGAACGTTCACCATGGGAAATCGGTGGTAGCGGCATGTGTCATCAATTAGCGACATTACACTTGTTTGAAGTTTTCAAGCCTTAACATTTTTCACACACGTTTCACTTGTTTGATGTTTTGATTACAAACACAAATGAAAATTATTACTCACTTCGACACCTCAAAATGGTCTTTTTCGGTGGTATCTTAACAGTTTGCTTTTGAATTCCGATGATATTTGATGTATTGCCATTTTTGTCTTTTCTCACCATTTCACCGAGAAATGAGATGTATCCGATTGCTAATCGTAATATATCAACTTTACTCAATTTCTTTTCATATGGCAATGTTGGAATGTGAGCACGAAGGCCCTCAAATGCTTCATTTATATTCTGCATCCGACGGCGTTCTCGTAAGTTTGCCGCTTGTCGTTGCTGTGATTGTAGACTGTGCGAACGTCGCGATTTTGTTGGCCTAGAAATATATATATGTGTCAAATTAAATTCTGATCAAATGTTGTTGTTGAACGGCGTAAAAATTCTGATGATTTTAATAAAATCACAAAACACCGATTAAATTCGAAAAAATGTTTATTTTCAGCGTATTAACATTATTTAAAAACAATATGTTCTGATTTTATTCAATTTGGTGATTTTTTTAAATTTAATTTTTTTTTTTCAACAAACAAAGTTTTATGAAATATTTTATTAAACTATGCTTTGAATTGCATGTCAAAAAATCAAATATGATCAAATTAGTAAAAATTGATGAACATTGGTTTTCTTTTAAATGGTAAATACGCACGAATGTGAAATTGATAATTTTGCGTAAACGATACATTTTGTTTGATTACTCACAATTTATCTAGATTATTTTCTTGGTCACTATTGTACGAGCTATATAGGTCACTATCCGATGAGTTTTCATTGCACAAAAATAAGTCAGACGTCGACGCGGATTGATAGTCAAATAAATGTCGATTTGCTAAAGTTTCAAATTCAAATGCATCAATCGAAAACATTTCTAGTGTCCTTTCTTGTATTTTTTTAACTAACAAATCTTTTTTTTTTTCAATTTTTTATTCCTATATAGTCATTCCTGTTTTCACACAAAATTCTTGGAATTTAACGATAAATCGCCCAGCACAAAAACACCAAACTATTTGTTTTGTCCACTTTTATGTGTGTAACCACTGAGCGACACCAGATGAGAGTGTAGACTAAAATCGAATGAAATGTGGTTTTCATTTGGTTTTATCAGGAAATTCGTACGCTGACTCGTTGGAAACTATATCGACATGTGATCAGCGAGGAAAATCGGGGGCGTGGTTTCACAATGAAAACCACCAATAGAACAATGATGTTGAAATAGGGGAAAGTAACTGTTTCTCTTTTTGTGAGGGTGCCAACACGAATACACGGTGCTTTTGACGAATTATTTTGTTATACGCTTCATACATTTATTAGAATACAGAGAAAGAGATGTGTGTACTCATATTACAAAGAAAATGACATTATTTTTATGTAATTTTTGTTTGCAACATCTTTATTCAAAATTTACTTTTTTTAAATTATATTTGGACAAGAAATTGTTGGAATTGAAATTAAATCTCACTTAAAATTATAGTACATTTTATTCGAACATTATAATAACAATTCAATCTGTCTTTGTTTCGGCAGTTGTTGTTTCGGTAGTTGTTGTTTCCGTTGGTGTTGATTTATTATCGTTATCATCAGCTTCGAGAAATTCATCCCATTTGGACAAGCGTTCTTTGAGTTCATCTTCCGTTTCGTTAGCCTTAAACTTTGTTTTACCGTCCCACAGTTCTGCCGAAAGCATACGCTTCCCAAAATATCTCCTGTGCATCATTTGAACGACTAAATCGGCCTCTTCTGGATCGCTCATTCGAACTTCAGCAACACCTTCGGCTTCACCGCTATAAATAACAACCTTCTTCACAGTGCCACATTTCGAGCATTCATCGCGAAGATCATTTTTGTACTCAATTATTAAATCGACATGATTGTGAAATATTTCCGGTTCGAACAGATTTTTAAGGATAACAACGCGTTCATGTTTACCACGTTCGCCGCGCATTCTATCCGGTCTCCAATCCAACAGTTTATCTTGTAACTTTTTCACCTTTTCCTTATCTTGTTTTTTTCGCTTTGGTTTCAGTGCTGGATTGTATTCACCGCGCATTTGGAATTGTGCTCGTTGAACTTTAATTTTACGTCCACGTACTTCGTAACCATCCAGCATGTCGATTGCCAATTTGACCGATTCAACACGTATATAATGAACTAAACCATCACCTTTCAATTGTCCGCTTGGCTCAGCATATAGTTTTATTTTTAGCTTTTTTGTTTTTGGGTCCCGAAATATCATTCCGCATTTGGACATAACCTCAGCGAATTCATCTTCCGTGATGTCATCAGGTAAATCGGATACGTAAACTTTTGTGCATTGGTCGGGCGACTCATCAAACCATTGCGGTTGATTTGCTTTTCGTTTGCCGGTTGATTGATCTTTCTCTGATTGATCTGTTGTTATTGCTGCTGATGTTGCGGCTTTAGTTTCCTCAACGTGACCAGACGATGGAGTTGTTTCTTTTGTTGAAGTATTATCAATGAATCCATAATTAGTTTGATAAATTGCCATGAAATCGTCATCGATTTTTGGAAACCATGCCTTTTTCTCGTCATCCCAAAAGAAGACAGTCCCATCTGCGTCCGTGTATAAATGCTGACCATCAACAAATACCGAAGTGGCAAATCGCTGATCACCATTTTTTGCATCCCATTTATTTGTTTCAGGATTCCATTTGTAGTGTTCATTCACATATGGATTTTCTTCTTGTTCTGATGCACCGTCTTTCAATATCCATTCTTTTGTTTTCGTACACCATCGATAATGTTCGGTTTCATACGGATTACTTGCGGACGTTTCAGAATCTTTGGGAACCCATTGATTCTTTTCCTTATCAAAGACATATTGATAATTTGTAGCTGGGTTGGTATAAATAGCCATTCCATCCTCTCCATACGTGATAAACTTTTCATAATCTGCATAGCTGCCAGCAGTATCATTTAATGCGCTTTTATTGCTATCATTATTATGATTAGCTTCACTTTCGGTGCTTATGTTTGCGCTATTTTTCGGTTCGTTCAATCCATTCTCTGGAATCACTTCACCTTTGGTCTCAACTTGCGACAATGCATCCGACATTTTTGATTTAGATGGAGAAGTACGAAATTTTATTGTATATTATTTAAAAGGGTTCTGCTTTCACTTTTTAATTGAATGAAAAATCAGCTTTTTAACTTTAAAACATTTTTGAATAGTTTCTTTTTAGCTTCAGTGAAAAAATATCTGTATAAACATACGAATACCATTGTTTGACGTTTATGAGTTTGACAAACCGATTTCAAAGCATGCATATTGGCCACATGGAATTTTACAGCAGTTTATATAACCTTTAAATTATTGCTGTCATTTTCGCAGTTCAATTCGCTGTATTTTATTTTCACTCATACCACAACATCACATTGCACGAGATAAATATATCTGGTGTTTATTTTCATTTATTTTTGCTTAAACAGCATTAACAGCACACAATGTGTTTATCAATGAAAAATACGCTTTATTTTCTACAAATACTCAACTCGATACAAAACGTCATTTATATTTTGTTTGGAAGAATAAATTTTATTTTTAACAAGAACATTTGTCGATATGAGGAACTTAAAAATCATTCATTACTTTCAATTTTTTATGGGAATATAATATAATATCAAGTCTTCTGGGAAAAATGAATCAAAATATTTTTTTGCAAGGAATTTCTAAATTCAAAATTAGCGCCAAATTCAAATAAAAACCGTCTTTTCAAGCAATATCAAATTGCAATACTATTGCAGCGATTATCTTATGAGGCCGAATGAATGGTAAAATACTAATAAACATTTTGATGAGTCAGGAGACTCGATTGCCGTTGCAAAATTTCAGACAACATGATAAAATCATTTATCAGTAAAAATAGTCAAAAGATAAATAAAATTAAAAATAGATACTGAATATATTCCAAAATGTCCAAAATGCAAAAATGATTTCGCAAATCATTCGATACATTTCGATAATAATTTATAAACAATTTGCGGTTCATTTAGAGGTTAGGCGCATTAACACATAGTTTACAATCGAAATGCTACGAGGCGAAATAGAAAAAGCGCGCCCACTTTACGTTTACCCACGCACACAGTCTTAGTTCCGCTTTCATCTTTGTATCGTCGACAGTGAAAAAAAAATACCTTACATTGCTATGCTACTATAAATGAGAACGTCTTAAGCAAAACATGCACCAATACACTTGCACAACATGCGTCTAGAATTCAAAATAATACCGGCAGCTGCTGTATTATTGCGTCTGTGTGAATGTGTTGGAATGGTCGCCATGATAATTTTGCTGATGCAACACTTTCCGTATAGACGATATTGTGCAAAGCGATTGAGAGGAAAAACACTTCATTCAATTCGTTCTTACAGACACGTGGATAACCATAGTGTTCGCGAGCAAATAAAAACGCTTGAAAAAGAATGAAAATTACGATTAAAGTGAATTAAATTAGAATCGTCTGATAAAAAAGCAAATAGTGAACATTTTGAATAATTAAAAATTAAAAATTTAAAGACAAAAAAAGTCGTGAATTAAGTTATTGTCGCAGGTCCCGAAAATATCAAGCGTAAATTAAAAACGAAGGCACATTGCAAGCGATTTCCGAAAAAGGACATAGTGCGGATATAAAAAAAAGTCACATAGTGTGAATTGCGTAGCAAGATCGTACCATCGAAAAAGAGCAAACATACCGAATATCTCTTTATTTTGTTTAAAGAAACGTCACGTAAGTGCAGAATAAAAAATTGATATGAAGTTAATTTTTGCAATGACATTTTGATGCCACATTTACTCCATGATAAAAACGGGTAAAAAAGTGAATGCCCAACGAAATGGAGACAAGCGAATGTATGACGAATGAACCACATGCACGCAGTTCACAAAATCGAAAAAAATCTTATACATACCATACATACAAAGAGCGACCCAAAAAATCAGTTCAAATCAGTTGAATTTGAACGGTGAAAAGAACCATCAGAGAGAAAAAAAATGTGACGATCGCCAGTAAATGTAGAATATTCATGTATAGCTTGGTGATGCATGCACAGTGTTGTTATAAATATAACAATCTGTTTCGCATAGCAAACTCTGGCTAACGAAAAAAAAATAGTCGAAAAGATTCATCACTATTGAGTCTGTATGTATGTGTTTCTCGACTCCTTCGCGTGTTGTTGGATCTAGTTTTTGCGGTATTTCCGCGAAAGAATAAAAAAAATATATTGCGCACGTGTTGCGAATGCTTAACAATAAGTGAAGAAAAATATATATTTGATGGAATTTGGTCATCGAATTAAGCGACACCTCTGCATGCATGAATATATGAATGAATGGTATGGCGAGAAAAAAATTGCTAAAAATGTGCCCGCTTGAAGCAATAAGTTTGTTGACCAAGCAAATTTGATTTAAAACGGTGTGACTAGAAATTCCGTCTTAAATAACATAATGAAATAACACATTCGTCAGCGAATTCCGTACGTTAAGTTCTAATTCGCTTTCTGTCGAACTTGGGTGCGAGAATGAATGAAATCAGTAGTTCATTTAACAATAAGTTCGCATCCAATTAGCAAACAAAACGCAAGTGATAGCGACTGCAAAAGTATATACTTCAAAAATGATTTGCGCAATAGTCTTTTCAACGTTTCCCCCCAAAATATAAAACAAAGAACAATTCGATGCAAGTCATCGTTCCTCTTTTCGGAAAAAATAATCATTCAGTATAAATGTTGGATTAAACAAATGTCAAATATAAACAATTGTCGAAGGAAAAATGCGATTATTCAACAAGATTTACAAACAAAAATAACAACAGTCATTCTCATCGATTTATATGAGAGTTCTGGCAAAACAGATTGTTTCGAATCGAATCAACGAAATTATATTGTTGATATTTTTGCTCAGTCTTCTTTTCGCAACCTTTTCGCCAATACACCGGAATTTCTCTTATGTTTATCCAATGGCATTTGTTTATTTACTCGAAGACAGAGAGAAAGTACAGTTTGTCCAACGTGGTTTATTTTAACCATAATAAATAAAGCTTGAGTTTGCGTTATGATCAATGAAACATAAATTCACCATATATTTTGTTGAAATCACTTCGTTCTGAATACTTCTTATCAGCGGATTTCAATGCGTGCTAATTGGTTGTAACCGCTTATTTCAGTTTTTTTTTGACGAATGTGTTATTGATTCGTATGCCAATCAATGTTGATCGAATTAAATCGAAATCAACTTTTTTGGTTACTGTAATAGCCAAATCCCGGGTAAGATTTTTTTTGATTATGAGTAATGAGCAAATGTTTCACTTTTTCACCATCCATAGTTTGTCTTTTTTTTCATCTATCTTATCATTCACAACTTATTATCATCGCCATAGGAAGTATATACATTTTCGCTTCAGGTTTGATTCTTATCAATGTGACATATAAAAAATACATATGCTCCCATTGCTCGCCATTTTTCACTTAGTTATCTCAATGCCAAAATACATCCATTTCAAAACTAATATGGTGAAACCATTTTTTTATTGAATAGTTCAAGTTGCCGCACAGTCAATATACTATTTCATTGTAACATTTTCCAGAAAGTTCGGTGGTGTGACATCCTCTATCTAGTTATTAACAGAAATGATTATTATAATAACATCTTTATGACTAAAACCAGAACGCGCACATTTTTTTAAATTTAAATTTGCTGTTATCAATTTTATGTTAGATCTCATTGAAGTGGTAATCTGTGTGGTTGAATAACATTTTTCCATGATCCTGACCTCGTCTGATTTGATTTCAAAATAATTGTTTATGCTTTAACTTGTACCCATTTGCTGCGAAATAGATTTAAATAATCTTATTTGGTGACATTTTGATACATCTCATGCATCTCTCATTCGATTAGGTTGAATAGTGAAAGTGATATTGTTTAAATAGCCTACGAATATATGTATGCAAATTAACATTGGTTTTATGATTTTTTTTTGAAATAGTTTCGCAAAACAATATCCATTCAAATTGCAATATTTCATAGCATGGTAACAATTATCATCAAACATGCTTCTCGGTAGATTCAAGCATAAATCGTTTAAAGTGTAAGGATGAAGAAACTTTTATGATATTTTTTTTTTTTTTGAAATTATAAAATGACAACGTGCGATTAAGAGAGAATAGAGATAAGGTATAAAATGTGCACTGAAAAAGCGTTCCAAAATGAAACAACTATCTATTGGAGCCACATTTTCTCATTCATTTTGCTTTATTTTTCTTCGTAAAAAAAAACGATAAAAATCTCCAACTCAAGAAACGTTGTAGCCGATATATCAAGTTTTGGTGGCACTTGATCGTATGCTGATTTAAAAAGTGTTGTGCGCAGTTTTCGTTTTCTGGTCCTGTTCGGTGTCGACCGTATTATACCGTTTGGAGCGTTTTCGTTTCTTTATTTTATTGGTCCCACACCAATCTAACACATACGTTTTTGTATTGAAATACTTCAATGTATTCGTTCAACGATGTTTTTTTTTTGTCATATGCAACGTTGTGTGTAGTATTTTGATCAAGGTTTTCTCTTTCCATACCTTTACTAAATGAGTTGAACGTTTCCACTCATCAAACCCGAACGGGACTCAGCGGTGTTTAGTTACATTTCATTATTTCGTCCATTCGGTTTGGTGTGACACAATCAGGAAACACGCAAAAGAAGTTGTGTCATATTTTACACGCGTTCAAAAATAGAAGCTCCAAAGTCAATCGTCTCTTATCGCATTCACAATTTTTTTTTTCTTTTTTTTTTGAATTTATTTGTCTTTAGTTCTCTTTTCAAACTTGAAGTAGACGCAGCCGGTTTTCGACGTTAATATTGTTTTCATCTAATTTGAATTTTTTTTCGGACGAATTAAGTTTATTGTGATAGGCATTTTCATAGAAATTGATTAACGACGAGAACAAAAAGTTTGAAAATCAGTTACGAGATTATTGTTTGTTTTCATAATTTTTTTTTTCTATTGTTCTTGTTTTTTTTGCATCGGATTTTTTAATTTGTTGTTAAAATGTACGCACCACACAAAATTAACAATGGAGTAAGTAATTGATAACATAAATATAATCGAATCATTGTATTTTATAATGGGTTTTCCGGTGAATTCACATTGAATCCAATCATTTGGATCAGAATTCAAACCGCATGTCCGAAATATACCGGTTTGGGTAAAGAGTAAAAGCAAGTTTAAATTATTACCTTTTATCTCGCATTCGTCTGTTCTCTCTATCTCCTGCTCCACTACTTCACATGTGCTTTTTTTCTTCTCTTCAATATGAGTTCATATCATTGCTGTTATAGTTACGAGTTGCACTCACCGTGCCACGTTGAAGCCACGTAATAATATTCACTAAAATATAGCAGACAATTTTATTTAGTGGTACAGAACACATGCGATGTATGTTCGGATCTCTGTCTGACTTTTTATTTGAATTTAGTGTGTTTGTTCAGACACTCTATAAAAGTGTATTTTTTTTTTTTTGAAATATATTCTAAACCTTGTGACTTACAAAACTGGTTCTGCTAATCTCTTTTGTATTGAGAGAGAGAAAAAGTTATTACTATTATAAGTATATTACTTTGATCGATTGCCGGTTTCTCAATGAGTGTTATTTTTTGTTTGTCGGCGAACATGTGGTTTGTTAGATTTTATTGTTGTATAGTATTTAATTGTAGAAAGATTTTGTACTTTCCTTTTTCGCGTGGAGAATTCGAAAGTTCAGAATATTGTCATTTGGCATGTAGAAATGTACCATTAACGCCAAAATTTAATTTATATGACTAATTTTACTTGTTTGTTAGTTTGTTCTAATTTTCTGATTTGTATTTATTTTTGCAGCATTCTGAAGCAACATGGTTTTGAAAAATCCACTCTTACTTGTTACAATACCATTAGCATTGGCATTGAGCTTGATTTGGTTTCGCAGAAAAAAAATTCATTGTGATTCAGGTGGTGACAAAGGGTCGACAAGTGACAAGACAATAAATCCAAATTTCGAATCGAATAGTGAAAAAATTGAACCGCGTATCGATTTAAAGCATAGCATATCCATGCCAATCGAAAGTACGCCGATGAAACGATCTTCATTAGCTCTCAATAATAACGATTCATTTGATTTTAAATTTGGTAAATCGGCACCCATTGATATAACGCCACATAAAACATCACCAACACGCTCGAAAAACGGTTCAAACGAAAGCGATAAAAATAAAGACGACGGTTCAGAATACAAAGCATTGAACTCGATTGAAGAGAATTCGGTGGAATCGGTTGATTTGCCCGGATCCATTGATTGTCGCCGTCGTTTTTCATTTACTATTAAAACAAACGAGCCGGCTGTTGTTGTTAAAGCATCCACAATGGATGTCAATAAATCGCCACAAAGTTCCTTTGAAACGTTGAATACGTCACCACCATCAAATGCACCAGCTCCAGTTAGCATCAAAACCACACCGTCTGCCAACAAATCAGCAAAAAATAGTGAAAAGAAATCGAAAGCTGGAAAGCAATCGAACGCCAATGACGTTGCCAGTGACAAAGGTGTGAAGAAACAAGAACGTGTTTTGCCAGTTGCAAGCCCACCGCTTAGCTTGTGCAGCAATAAATCGAATCAATCTCACGATTCCGGTGACTCAGGCAAAGGTTCAAGTCCAGCCAATTCAGAGGGTGGCCAAACATTGTCGTCAATTCAATCGTACGACTTTGAATTACCTCAGACAATAGTCGGATGTCTCGTTGGCAAGAATGGCGTAACGGTGAAAAAGATTCGCGATGAATGCAATGTTAATATTATGATCAAACGGCATCCAATTAAACATCGAAAATACAAGCTGTGTACAGTGCAAGGCACACAACAACAAATTGACACCGCACTCGCCATGATCAAGGTAGACTTATTTTCTATGAACGATATTTGATATAGATTTTAAAATGTATATATTGTCAAGCAAACATGAAACCCATATATAACTCATTTTTTGTTTTTATTTTCATGATCAAGTCTAAAATGCCACATAAAATGAATTTAGAACGGGTTGATATCGAGAATGAAACAGCTGAAATGTTGGCAGCCATATCACAAATTGATTCTAACCGATTGCAGGTAGATTTTATTTATTGCATTTTTCTTACCTAGATTCACGACCATTTTTATTTCAAAACTTAATATTAGCTCAACAAAGTTTAATATCGAATAAAAATCCATCAAATTGAATTACAATCACGTAATAGCGATAAATTTTCAAATTGAATGTATTCATTTCTTCTTCCATAAAAAAAATAGCTCAACTTGATCGACGGCATAAATAACGACGTGGCCGTGTGTGCTGTTATCAATGGCGGTCATTTGTTCTTGCAACAACCGTTGCATCCTAGCTATATGTCATTGAATGTATTGCAAAATTGTATGAACCAAAGTTACTCATCATTCGAGTCACCCGTACTTCCAAACTTTAGCATCGGCACAGTGTGCGTTGGTCAAATTGACGGTCATTGGTATCGTTATCAAATTATTGACTATACACCAGGAGCCACAACCTGTGTTGCTAAGTATTTAGATTTTGGTGGATACTGTGAAATTCAAACGACTGAGCTTAGGCAAATTAGAACCGATTTTATGACAGTTCCATTCCAAGCTATCGAATGTCTTTTAGGTGACATCAAACCAAAAGGTAATCATCAGCACAAGTCACAACCTTCATACAATCGTATACAGGATTTGGTTTTAATTATATATATGATTTTCGACGTATTTGATAGGTGGAGAATGGTGTATAGAAGCTTCTCAGGCTATAGTGGAATTAACCCAATATAGAACAATACAAGCGCAAATAACTAATTACACGGAAACTGGAGTGCCAGAAGTCCACCTATATTCATTTCTAAGTCCAAATGTAAGTATATTTGTCAAATAATGCCATCAATGATGAGTTTTGACCGAATTTAAATTGAATTCAATTTATTCTTTTCAGAACGTTGTATTCATCAATCAAGAGCTAGTGGCTAGAAATTATGCTGAATGGTGTGAGCCAACGGTTTCTGCGTAAACAAACGCGTAAGATATATTTTATAATAAGGCGTATAAAAATCCATCATTTCACATATTTTCAAAACGAAAATCATACCCCACAAGCATTACGCGTACGAGAAATGAAAGCAAGAAAAAGAAAAAAGAAAAACTGATAATTATTATTGATTAATAACCAATTCAAACAAAATGATATATACAAATTGTTATATGCTCCGTTAATGAATGGTTAATCTCTGTTATTCGTGAACGTGACTCAAATTAAGTTTTAAACAGAAGAAATCCAAGAAAAATTTACTAAAAAAACAATCAATGATGATACATTTTTTAGAATAAAAAACTATAAAATTGGAGGTAAACAAAACAACTCTATCTCACTAGAAAAATGGCAAAATTTAAAAATGCACTTCAAATGCAGCAAAAAAAAAACAAACAAACAAGAATCAATACGAAGAACGATTGAGCTCAACAAGTTTTAGTTCAATTTGCCTTTGATCACAGATGAAACGCTTTTTTACCATAACTGATTTTAATATTATAACAAAAGAGAATTTATACAAATTCTCCATTTGATTTTTGATAATTTCGGATTGGATCACTCGAAATATATACTTTTTCCATTTTCTTTTCTTAAATTTATGAATTCAGAAAAGCCAACGATTGATATTTTTACTACATTTCTTTCTTTTTTACTTACTTTTACTGTCTGCATTTTGCCCGATTCAATATCAATATTAACTTACCGAGAATAATGAGGCTTTAAGTCTAATTAAATTGTTGATGATATATAAATATTTAATTTCAGCGTTATTTATTTCGGTTCAATTCTATTCTATTCAAATTTATTATTATAATTTGCAAATTACAAAGAAAAACTTCAGTCTATCATAATCTCAAAATATTTGATTTCATTTCTACCGTAATTATTTCCATTAAATTTTATTACGTTCAATGTTACTGACTCTTTTTTTCTCGTTTGGTTTCAATTCAAAGTTCAATCTTTTTTAGTTATCAACAGGAAAAGATATTCGTTCTATTGAAAATCCTAATTTTTAAGGTTAGCTAAGAATTCATAAAATTAAAAATGTAAATAATTATGATAATTAAAGATTTTCATTGGTTTTCATTATAAAATGTGTTGGGTTTTTTTATTAATTCAATGCCCTTGTGGTTCTTGTGAATTTGAATGTTCTACGTCATCTCCAAGAAGGTCCATCATGACGACAGTATTCAGATGAAAAACAAATACCAATTTTTTTTTCTCAAGAAATGGAATTTTTAATTTGAATAAATAACTTTCTCACATTTCATAGCACAATTGTATGCACAGCTGTGTCAGCGATATTGCTTCATATCACTTTTTTTTATTTTGCTTTCAATAGAGTTTGAGTTGTTGACAGTAAGTATTCAAATTGAAAGCGAATTCAGGTGTTTGTTTTTATTAGAATATTTGTTTTTATAAAAATGCCGAACGAATCAATTCTTTTGAAAGGCGTCGGAAGTTTAAAAGTAAACAAAAGCATTGTTAATATTACATCAACAATCTTATCTGCGTCAATTTTTTTTGTATATATATTTATTCGGCTGCGTTCAAAAATAGATCAATAAACATGAAATTGCGTTGACCAGCAAAAAACTGTGACAGATTATCCAAGTTAATTCTTTTGGATGAGTAGTTAAAAAAACTAAAAATTTCAAAAAATCGTTTATACCACTAAAATTTACAAATTATGTACATTGTACACCAATTATCATGAATATTATTTGATCAGTCTCTGTATGGATGATGGCTGGGCGAAGCGCGAAATTCTTGTAACCAAGTTTTCGGTAGCTGTCAAATGTGATTGGACTAGCAATTGGAATATTGAAGCGAAATCGCCACTTGCCTCGTATTCTATGCAGCTGGTTTAGCAATTTTGATTTAAATTTTTTGAATAATAAGACTGAAAAATAAAGAATTGCATATAACAGATTTGAGCTGTACATATTTTGTACATTTTCATACAACACACTTTGTTGTAGTAATATATATAGTTAAAAGTTGCATATAATATGCAACATGCCAATTGATATTTTCAATTTTAAAAAAGCCACATTTTGAAAAAAAAAAAACATGTTTGTACATAATTTGTACATTTTAGTGGTATAAACGATTTTTTGAAATTTGAAGTCGACCGGAATTTGACTACCCATCCAATTCTTTTTGCATGTTTCAAATCTAATATTCTTTCTGGCGATTGAATATACAAAATAATATGTAATACATCATAGTAAACCAGTATTCGAATGAAACGCATATGTACGGTATGTTTTAAATGTAACTTTATTCACAAAATTAAATGGAGAATTGTTTCCACATGAGTTCAAAAGCAAATACTTTCTCTCAAAATATAAGAAATCTTTGTGGATTTCGACACATGAATCAAAACAATATTCAAGGTGTTTGCAAACTCATGAACTCTTCAGAAAGAACCAAAATGATTTTCATACGAAGAAAACATATTTTGAACAAAATCAATCATTCTATATTCAAAAACTGTTTATTGAATAACTTTTTTAACAAGTAAACATAGGCTTTCTACATATCAAAAAGTCAATTTTTCACAAATTTCAAATCAAGTGAAGAAAATATTATTCAAAAGCAACGGCTAATTGAAAAAACCCTGACTATGAATGTGAATGTTCAAATGTCAAAACTCTATTGGTTTTATATGTGGAATTTGATAAATTCAAAAAAAAAAAATATATATTTGTGAACACCGACGAATTTATTTTTAAGAATATCGTAAATTTGTTTAAAGGCAGTTTTGAATTATTATTAATAAAAACATAGGTGTTTGAGTCGATAAATAAAATTTAATTAAGCCCCAACTGTCGATTGTGGCGCCGAGACATCAACCACATCATTGGATTGAAGACGTTCGAGAAACTTCTTCATGGAAATCGGTTTGAGTTTTTTGTGAACGCCAAACATTTTCTGGATGCGACGCTTTCGTTTTTGTTTCAACGTTTTCGAGGGTTTCCGGTCGTCAGTGTATGAAAGGCTTCGCTTTATTTTTCTTTTTCCAAACACTTTTGATTCATCGATGGCATTTTCGTTGGCATCAGTTTCTTCTTCAAGCTCGAAGATGGTTTCCAGTTGTGTGTGTTTCAAACGTCCCAATGACTTGTTCAAATAGAGTTTTTCTATTGCCTTTGAATTCATGTTCTTTTTCTTCAAATTGTTGGATGGTGGCTTCGCGGGCTCCGACGAACTGTTTCGTCTAAGCTGACGCATGATTCGGGCGCCAATTCCCACCTTGTCCCTTGGTTGGAATGTTTGGGGTGCCATTGATTCGCATAAATTTAATGTGGACATGTTTTTTTCTATGATGTTTATTGTGTGCGATGTAATGTGATTTGGAAATGTGAAGTGTTGACTACATAAACAACAGCAAAAAGAAAAAAAAAACATGGAAATTTCATATATGCAAACTACAATATTTGACAAAAATAGTAGATTCAAATAATAAATTTACACGTTTTGGTACTCACTGATTGAACAAATGAATGATGTTTTCTAAGGTCGTTTCATTCTCGTTCAGCATAATAATTGGTAATAATCAGTTTCTATTGGGCACCGTTGACCTGGGCGCATAACTTTTCTAGTCTTAATTTTCCGTTAAATATCTACTTACTTTTAAATACTACGTTTTGTAATGGATGCTAACAATACAAAGAAACTTTATTTCGTAACAAAACAAAAATGCATTGTGAGATCGCAAATTGTTTCAGACAAACACTTTCGATTGATTTCTTTCTTTCGTTTTTCTGTTTAGTTTAAACTGTCAAATTGGTGTTGCTTGAGAGTTGCATTTTCGAAAATCGAAAAATTTATGAGAAATGGCATTGAAACTACTTGAAAATTGAAAATTAATTTACTTTTTTTGATTTTTATACGCAACATTCCTTTTTATTCAACATATTCAATAAAAAAATTGAAATAAACGAGAAAAAATCTATAATTTTCCCGGCAAAACATTGACACTTTATGTTTCGCGCCAAGACATCATTCTTTTTGCTGCGACAACACTATCAGCATTCCCACTATTTCGATTTTAAGCCTATCTTTATAGTGTTTGTTTTGACAGTTCAAAGTACTTTTTTTTCTTTTGATACAATACTAAAGTGACACAATGAACAGTATTTGTTTATGAAATACAAAGCATTACGCAAAATAATAGAAACATATTTTTGCCCTATTGGCAATCAAAATGAGCACAGAAAATGATTTTAATGTGAACAAATTATGGAAGTCATTTTATTCAGATGTTCTTGTCTTATCTATATCAGTTGTGATATTGCTTTTTTCGTGTGTCCTTAGTGTCCATCTCAGGTGATTGTTCTAGTTTGTTCTCTCATTCACGATTTGAACGATAAAAACAAAACAAATAACTAATGAAATTCCAATTGATTTCAGTATTTTCTTTGGGCTGATCATAAGCTTTTCGTTTGCGGCTGGTTGTACGTCTATTATTGTTGCATTACAGCATAAAGCGAGCATAGCAAATTACTTCCAAAAAGTGCAAAAATATTTAGGTTTGAAACAGGAACCAAAGTCCAAACCCATAGACTGTGATATATGTGGCATTATCAAGTGCAATCGTCACTTGACGGTTATACCTGATAGGTAAGTCCAAACTTGTGATAAGTGATGCACATGTATAAACAAACAAATAACAAACTTACCTTCTTACATTGTAGAGAGCCATGGCGAAGACTATTTATTTCGAATGAATTAAATGAAGCATTAGCCAGCGTAGGTTTCAAAAATTAAAAGTCATTTTAGATTAAAAATGTCTATAGCTCTCTCTTTTTTTGGTTGCAGTTTTATACAAAGATACTGAATGCATTCGTTGAGAGTTGGTTTTCACTTCTGTCAAAAAACGAAGATTTCGTTACTGCATTGAAACATATTCTGCGTGAGGCGACATGCCGCTTAATACTTAAAATTAAAGATGTAAGTTCGACTAGAATGGGGCTCGAGGAAAAGAAACCAAGCCAAAGAAAAAACTTACATACATTTTTTCTATCTCGAAATTTCAGTTGGACATTTCAAAAATAATTGCATACAAGCTGCTACCATGCATCTTAAATCACCACGAAATTGTTCAGAAAATGATAAACAATGGTGTAACTCTGGATAAACTTGCGGATCAATTTTATGTAAATGAGTATCAGATTCATCCCGCCGTTCGAAATCGTCAATCCGAATTGGATTATTTGCGTGCTGTTGCCAGATGCTTATTGCCAAGGATTTGTATCAATCAAAATCTCGATAGCAAAGTATTTTTCAGTCTTGGACGTGAATTGGTTGCCTGTTGGGTGCTTTTACCATTGATGGACGTGCTTGCAAATCCAAACTGGCTCAATGCAATGATAATTGAAGCGACCCAAAAACGATCCGAAAGCTCAACAAAACTGGTTGACTCAAAAGGTGATAGAGTCATGTTTTTGACAAATTTTATCGATAAAACCAATGGAAATGGCATAATATTATCTAAAGAAGATAACGACCATGCGTCAAATCATGGAACTGACTTTCTGACCGATCAACATCAGTTGTACATGTTTATGCAATTCTTAAAACGAGAAGGTGCCGTTGACATTCTTCGATTTTACTTGGACGTGGACAGTTTGAATGCTGAATTAATGGATCCAAAGATCACAACCGATCCGGCAAAGCTATCTTCACTTCAGCAACAATCGGAAACTCTTTTAAAAGCATACAAGGCTATGATGGAGCGAGATTTCAAGAAATCGGTAGAGAGTCTGGCCGAAGCTCAAGAAGACGTAAAGAAAAGTTTAAAAGGCAAATGGCAACGTGCATTCCACCAAACTCCCGAATATTTCAAAATGACTTACGGCGGACGTGAGATCTCAGAATCGGATGAACCAAAGTAAGTTTTTAATTAAATTTTGTTCAAAATTATATGATTTAAAAAATGTCTTTTTTGCAGAGCAACTGATGTTCAAACTGGAACCGTATCTCGATTTAGTTCAAAATTGAAAGGTGCAATACGAGGGGCCATCGACGGGGCACCGTTAGAAGCTACTGAGGTTCCAACGGTATGGGACGCTTTCGCCACAGATGAACCGCAGGTATTGGAGAATTTCAGTCACTAAAAGATGTTCCCATATAATCTTTCATATTTTGTTTTGGATATGCAGCCAAATAGCTCAAATTTGGCCGGTAATTCAACAATTTACAGTTCAGTTACACAGAAATTGCGAAAAGAGCGCGGTCAAAATTTGGATGCATTTATCTGTAACTTCATGCAATCCATTGAACAATCAACAGACGTTGGGGAAGATGTCATCGAAATGAAAGAGACTAAACCAAATGATATAAAGCCACATCCACCTGGTGTGTCTTTGGTATTCGGTGATCTTTTTGGTGTGAAATTGTCTTTCAAGCAGCCAAACAAAGAAGCATTCGCTCAGCAGATGCGATGGCTCGAAGGACCGTCAGAATGTTTAATTTACATTCGTAAGTTTAAGTTTAAAAATGCCTTCCAATATCTCTTCAAATGGTTTTTCTAAACGAATGTCATTTTCCCTTTTTAGTAATGCACGTTGTGGATGTGAGCCGATTCATTGTTCGTTTCATTCTGGGTGTTATTAATATATCGAAATCCATCGTTGACTCTCTACTATGCAAAGGGATCGATAAATTGCTACAAATGGCACTGTATGAGCCGCGTTTAACGCTTTTGGTGCGAACGGTCGATGAACAGTTATTTGGTAAAGAGAAGAAAACCGATCCAAGTTTCACGGAGTTGCTTGAACAACAACGGCAAGCGAGAAATCGTCTTGCAAAAATATCGCCAAAACTTGCAAATTGTGCAGACATACTGCAGTCACCCATTTTAAATAAACATCTGTCATATTGTCTATTAGATTTAATAATTGCCGAACTTTATCCAGAATTGGCCAATAATATGGCCAAAAATTGAACCAGTTACAAATTACCAAAAATAATGGTAAAATTCCGCTAACTATTTTTTAAATATGTGTTTATAATCATGTATGAATCTCAAATAAAAATCCAATAATTATAACGAAATTTGTCTCTTATCATTGAGTGAACGATTCAAATGTACTAACGAAAGAATACTCCGAAAAAAAGTGTTGCCAGCGCTGAAAAACTATTTAAGCCTGTAATTGGAATGTCATGAGAAATAGAAGAGAAAAAAAAATCAAAATAAACACCCAAAAATAGCTGTGCACTGTTGACATTTATTAATTTACATTGAAACAAAGAAAGAAAATTTTCAATTAATTAAATAACAACGAAATAGGTTCCAAATTTTAAAAAAATCGATTCAATACGGTGATAAGGTAAATTTTGTAAAATTGATAAGTCAAAATTTAAAGGGAAACAGCCGAAGACACAATGAACACCACAAATGATTGGCAGACGTCTTGTGCGAAAATAAAAAATCGCGGTGATCATCTCTTCAAAAGTGGTATTTGGGCCGATTGTCGTTTTCTCGTCGGTGGATCGGAAAATAATCAACAAATTGTATCAGGCCATAAGTTAATTCTAGCCATGGCTAGTCCAGTTTTTGATGCAATGTTCAATGGTACGCTTCCTGAGAAAAATGATCCAATTCCTATACTTGATGTGCAACCGGAAGCTTTTATTGCTCTAATGGAGTGAGTGTAAAATCGACGAAAGAAATTGACATATCTATAAAGAATTTCACAAAATAAAATGTGTTGCAAAATACTTTCAGGTACATTTATACTGATCGAATTGAGATAACATCGATGGATAAAGCATGTGAACTCTGTTATGTTGCGAAAAAATACATGTTGCCAGTCGTTGTTCAGCGCTGCACTGAATTCTTATGGTCCGATCTGAATGCAAAGAATGTGTGCCGTGGTAATTATTCTTTCTTTTTATCTATCCCCCCGCGTGTGTCAATCATTTTCTGTTTTTTCATCATTATGCGTCATTTTTCTTATTAGCATTTGAGTTCGCAAAACTTTTTGAAGAACCTGCATTGGCCGAAAGATGTTTACAGGTACGTCATAGTTATTCGAATACTCTTAATAATATATATTAATGTGGATACAATTGATAGATTATATGCAGTCAAACCACTGACGTCTTATCATCACCCAGCTTCGAAGAGGTAGAATTATCCACAGTTTTAACTATACTTGACCAAGATTGCTTACACATTGATTCGGAATTGAATTTATTCTCTGCATTGGTACGATATGCAGAAAAGCATGGACATGGTAAATTAATATGTGAGTATATATCGAAAACAAAGCAGGCTGTAGCTATCCCGCTAGAATTATCAGTGCCTGCTGAAATCATACCGAACACACAGCCTGAAACAAAGTGAGTGAATTGAATAAAATTTTACGTAAATTCACTTTCAATTTTAGCCAAAGAAGAAGCTGATATGATTGATGTGGATGCCACGGAAGGTGGACCATCCAATCCACCAGCAAATGCAGGGCCAACATTTCGAGATGCATTGAAGAAAATTCGCTTTCTATTGATGACACCCAAGCAATTTGCTGAAAATGTACCGCGCACAAATCTTCTTTCTACAGCCGAATCGTTTGCAATTTTAATGAACATCGCTGCATCCAATAATGACATCCATCCAATGCCACCTGGATTCTCAACATCTTCAGAATGTCGGTCGATCTCTCAAACTTCTCCTCATGCCAATTCGAATGCATTGAACTATTATCATGAGAATTCATCTGATGGCCATCCAATGTTTCCGCTCCCGTCATCGTCACATGTCTATATGCCATTGGCAAATTCAAGCCTAAATAACTTTCATGTGCGTACACGAACCAATCCATCGAATAAATTTCGTGAACAACAAGCACAGCCATTATCGCGCGATATGCTTATCGACGTAACAGAAACACGACGCTTTTACTGTGTACGACCGATTAGAGAGCAAATTGACTATTTCAATACAAGTGTGTCTGATTGTGCCCTGACTTTCACCGTCGATCGAAATATTTGCATCACTGGCATTCAGGTATCGACTCAAGTTTTGGGCGAACAATCAATGCAACAGGGAAGTCTTCCCGAACGATATTCTGAATTGCTCTATGCTCATTTGTTGGATTCATATGGAACACGCTTGACATACACACATTGCACATCAAATGTGCGTTTCGATTCTGTACTGGAAATTTCATTCGATCATCCCGTACAAATACACCGAAATCGATTCTATAAAGTTGGTGTGGCTTTCAATAAAGTGGGCTGGTACCCGGTAATTATCATTAATTAATTATTTTGTGTAAAAAAATTGTAATCAATTAATTTTGTTTTGTTGGTTGTTTTTTTTTTTTAGATGTGTACCTGTGTTCCGTCGGTGACATGCGAGGGAGTTTGTTTCGATTTTCGAGTTGATGGACCAAATGGTGAATCGCTTCGCGATGGTTTGATTCGTTCGATTGTTTTTACCTATCCGCCACGCGGAGAAAACGACTGAGAATCCCTTCATTTGAGCCATTGTGCAAAAGTTCGACGAAAGAACTTACATAACTAAATAAACGCGTACAGATAAGAGACTGATATTGATGCAATATGTTCCTCTTTCATTTGGGGATATCACACTGTAATTTCATAATGTAGTATGTATAGGTATACTAATATATGCGTGGCTTATATTTTCTACTTCAGTTCTGGTATATTGAAATTGTGCTTAACTCCATTGATCAAGCTGCATGATTGAAAAATCATTTGTGTTTTTTTTTAAAGATTAAAAATCAAAAAACAAATCAAAGTGCTTCATTAAATTGAATATATTATTAACTTCATTTTCGAATTCATTTTATTTAGAAAGCAATAGTATAGAGAAAACTAATGCTAATCCATCTATTGTGATAACTATTATTTGTTTGCACTTAAAGTAATAAAATAAAACGATGTTTATTATGTCTAAATAATAATATTCTACGAATCGTTTTTCTTTCTTGTTTCTTTTGCACTGTTATTATGATTTGCCAGGTTTCTGTACCATTGCCATAGCGTTTTCATTGGCAATCATCTGGAATTCTTGAAACCGTTGCGATATACGTTGGTTCATCTTCAAGTATTTTTCCATACAATTCAATGCACACAAGTCCTATTGATGAAAATTATAGAATAATTTGAATCATTGTTTATGAATCGTAACCTTCTTAAGTGAACCAACTAAACTACCTCGTTTTTGCGAATGTCGCGGGACGTAAAATCATTGACACAATCCATGAAACATATTTCTGATAACTTATTATACGACTGAAGGAAATCGGAAAACTAAAGCAGAAGAAAGGAAAAAAATACATTACATGAGAATCGAAAAGTGAGGTTAAGCATAAAAATATGTAATTAATATTGTATTTAAACTTAAAAAAAACATACAGTTTTGAGTTGATCCTTGTCAAGAGACTCCAATGGGACACCACCTGCGGCCATCTTTATACACAATCAGTTAAAAAGAAAGACTTTTACCACTCAAAGGAAGAGTGGAATCTATTGTCTTACAGTGACTGGTTGAATGAAAATATCAGAAGATACGAAATGACATATGTGTGTCCGTCAATATTTTTTGTAGTATTGCCTGATTGGAATTGGAGTAATTTTTGTTTCAATCGAAATCAATTTGATTTGAATAAAAATGCGTTTCTTTTTTTTGCAAAACCAACAAACAACTATAAATGTTTCAAATTAATTTAAACTTTATTTCATTTCACTTCAATTCAATTTACAAATGTTTATTTCAACTAAGTTCTTTCGGATCTAATGATTAGAACTCTTAATTTATAAAAGATGAATTATAAAATAGTTTTATTATCAATATTCAATGTTATGTTTTTTTGATCATTTTATGTTCCATTACAGTGGAACATGCGTGTTTTTTTTTTTTTTTGGTTTGATTTGTGATCATTTGTTATTATTGTTGATTTGATGTAAATGAATAAATAAATGAATTATTAAATGCACAAATCATTGAGAGTTTCGTGTTAAAATGTCGATTTTTTATGAAATAAAAGAAGCATTCCGTCAATTTATTCCACAGAGTTCTTTCAGAATTACGATATAAACAGAAATCAATCGAATGTTTTACAATATATTTAAAATGATGATAAAAGCACATTCAATGCTATAACAAGTCCAAACACATGTTAAAAGCCACATTTTCCTTTCACACAGAGGAAGTGAACCAAACAAATTCTTTCAGTTTGTTCGACGTTTTCAAATATATATATATATAGATATACAGAGTGTGTAACACACAAACAGAACATTATTTTACCTTAGTTCAAGCGAACAATTGGACTCATTCGATTACTTTGTTTTTCTTTGAATTTCAGAGAAATGATCGTCGTCAGTTTTGTACATTTTTTTTAGTATAAATCCTAATATCTTTAGATTGCTATAAATCAATGTTTCAATGCTCTCTCTCTCAATCTCATCTAATTCTCATGTGTGTGGTAAAGACAACGCATTGTAAATCTTTAAACTTAACCACTAAAATTGTGTATAACTGGATTTGCCTATCGCTTTACAATTTTTGGTTTCATAATTATCTACCTGAAAAGTAAAGTTTATTAAATAAGCTGTTGCTAGTGTTATTTGTGTTCGTATTGCTGTTACTGGCCCAACGATTTTCATTTGATGTGGATGAATAAGTGTTTGGTGCATTGTAAGTATTCGCCGATGAATACGATGTTTGTTGCACTGAAACTGATTGCTGCTCGGCATTCGTATTTGCTTCGTCATTCGGATGTAAATCACAATCTTTCATGAATTGAATGATTCGTTTGGTCTCTTTCATATGCTTTACATGAATTTGCTCCGACTATGGTGTTACAAACGAAATCCATTAATCATTATTATCATTTTGATCAAGAATCTAGCAATAAATCAAACTACTTACACTGGCCGTTAGATTCAAGAAATTGTAGTATTTTTCGGTGATTTGAACCATGTCGACGAAACTTTGACTGCGTAACATTTTTCGCACCTCCACCTCGTGCTGCTTGCATTCCATTATCAAATTTCCAATCAGTAAGCAAACGTAACTCGCTAAAAATGTGTGTTCCATATGATTCCCAGCTTTTTGCAACACTGAAATCCGAAATTTAATTAGTTTCTTATTCCATTACTGTTCAAATCAAAAGATTAAAAAAGTGTGTCCAAAAATACGTACGCTTTGAAACCGTTTCTTCCACATCTTCCTGAGATTTGTATTTGTTTTTGTCACATTTTTCTGGATTGTTCAAAATGTCGTCGGTGTTTTGTTCAACAAGTCTGATCAAAGGTTGAAGAAAATCGTTTGTATAAATAAAATGTCATTTTTTTTATTAGTAATAGATAATTGCTTACCTTGCCAATTCTTCGTATTTGTAGAAGTAGTCGATGAGAGCTCGGGTAGCCAGTGTTTTATTGTGCTGATTTCCAAAATCAGTGGGAGCATTGGCTTCCATAATGATTTTGCGATTTTCGACCGAGTATGAAACTAAGTTAATGAGCAACAATAATACCTATTTATGAAGAAAAAAGAGAGATTTTCGTTAAAAATGCTATTTAAATTATGATTCGGTATAGATTGATTCCAAAATACTCACTAAAAGACTCAGTTCAAAAACGCATTTTTCTGGTATGTATTGATGTGCTTGGAACAGTAAATGTAAACACGTATCGAAAATAATTGGTTTTTGTCCAAATAGAACAGATCCCAAAGGCTTATTGTTGAATGTATGTGTTAAATTGATAAGAACTTTTAGCGTAGGCACAAGAGCTTCACGTAGCACGACACCTGGTTCGCCGGCCGCTGATGCATCATTTGTTGGAAACATAGCAATTTCACTATCGCACAATTTATAAAATTTAACAAGTGTTTCGATCGCTTCTCCATTTTTGTAATGCAGAATATACTTCTGATTCTCTTCATTCCGTTCCGATACATTTTCCAATACCCGTAAGCAACGTTCGATTTTTCGCAATTTTTCCAACAATGTTTCAGTCCACTCCATCACATAATCCGAGATCTGTTTACAACATTCACATATCGTATTGATGATATGTTCAAGGCCACCAAGCTTGCGCATTTCATCCTTAAACCATTCGCCAGCCCGTTTTGATGTTAGTGTCAACAGTGTTTCCATGGCCAATGTACCAATAGAAATGTTGTCCAAATTCAAATGTTCAGCTTTGCCTTGATTCTTAATTTCACGACAAATTTCAATGACTTTTTGTTCATTTCGGTGCGATTGTTCGTCAGTGAGACCGGTTTCTTTATAATTATTCTTACGACTTATGTCAGAGTCCAGCAAATTCAACATCAATTCAAGCGAATGTTTGTCCAAATCCATATTTAAATTGTCTTGAATCAATACAAACATAATTGTTGCGGTGCATAAGCCCAAACTTTGGTTTTGTGTTGCATCGTGTAGAGCGCTGAAGAATTTTGTGGCCGTACCATGGGCTCTGACATGCATACGAAATGCGGGCGTCATACATTTCAATGCCAATTGAATTGCGGCCAAGCTTCGTGTGGCTATTGGATTTTGTGATTTTAGCGATTCGAGAATGTATTCAACATCGTCATCCATTTCTTGGAATTCGCCGATTTCCTGCATTTGATGCGCTTTCTTAACATTTCGAATGCGCAAATCATCATCAGGTACATTTCGTGTGAATTTTGACAATGTATTTGAATTTGAACCGCTCAGTGAGCCCAACGATGGCGTATCATCTTCCATATCAAAATCAGCTTCGAATGTATTGCTTGGCGGATTGCCACCTTTCGGATCATTGGCTGATCCTTTTTCTTCGGGCGAATCATCGTCCCATTTATGTTTGTACACATGTCGTTTTTGTTTGGTACTTTCACCTGAATCGGTTTCAATTGCACGGCTCTTGAAAATGCTACCTTTTTTCTTCGATATAACTAGTTTTACAGGCTTTTCGAAGTTCTCTTCATTTTTTTCCGTCTGATCGACTTCAAATGATGTCGATGTATCGTTATTGTTCGATGCTTTTTGTTGTTGGTCATGACTGCCGTTAAATTGGTTTTGATTTTGTCGTTTCGTTCGGTTTCGCACTTTCTTTTGTTCATCGTGTGATTCATTTGGTGGTTCTTCGAATGGCAATTGCAAATTGATTGCATTTGAGTCAGTTTGTTTGTCAGACTTTGGTAACGATAATGATGTGGTGTCTGATGATGATTGTGTGTTTGTTTGTGGTACTGGTGCTGAATCAGACGTTTCTTCTGAAACCAATTTACGTTTACGTCCATAGCTTCTTGTTGTAGTTAACGGTACTGATTCGGGAATTTGGTCCTTTTCCTATTTGATAGAATATGTTTTAAATAGAGAGAAAATTCATACACAAAGTCTACAAAAAATAAATGCAATCTTACTCTGGTCATATTTCCATTGGCGGTGTGTCTCGTTATACGAGTTGGTCGATTTGAAACCTCTGATTGTGACATTTGGTCGGTGTTTGCTGTATTTTGATTAACTTTTCCCTTGGCCTTTCTTCCACGACGATTGACCGTTGTTCGTTCACTGTTTGTTATTTCTTCGGTTTGAGGTGTGTCCACAATTTGTGGCGGCAAAATAACCGTTTGTTCCGTCAAAAATACGTCTTCGTCTTTGTATTGCTTCTTTGCTGCAGCGGTGATTCGTTTCTTCGGGTAATTTTCGCTGACTTCTTCAATTGGTTGATTTTGACTTTGATAAATATTAACAAATTCGTTTGATGGTACAGTGGGTTCGATCACCTCGGTGGGCAATTGATCATCGTGCTTCCTTCGGCCACGTTGCTTCTTCTGTACAGGCTCTTGTTGAACTGTTTCCGTATTTGTGTCAAACTTTGTTTTATTCCTTCCCCTTCGTTTTTTCGGTAAAATGCCACGTTCTGTATCGCTATTTGTATTACTAGTTTGTGCATCAATTTCTGGTGATTGATTATTTGCTTGATTTAATTGTGAAGTGGTGAAATTTTGATATTCCGGTGAAAATTGATTTGGATTTGATGAGTAGCTGCTCGCGTAATGTAATTGTGTTGGATCTGATTGGGGCTGTGGAGGCGGTGATTCGGTAAGCGTTCGATAGAGTTCGTAATTGGCTGTTCCATGCGCTGGAATAAATTCTTCTGACAAATTTCCTGTCGCCGTATGTTGTGGTGTGGTACGCCTCGTACTTCGTGCTCTGTACGGTTCTGGTTCTTCGGTCGGTTCCGCCAAATCAGAATTATTCCTTAAACGAGCATTTGTCTTGATTTTTAATTTAATTGGCTCGGCTTTTGGTTTGGCCTTTTCTCTCTTTGTCTTTGTTGTGACAACAGTTGTAGTTGTTTGTTCGAATGGTGCTTCGTTAGGTGTATAGCTGATAGAAGTGCTGGTCGTTTGTTTTTGAACGCTTGAATCGTCTGATAAAACTGCTACTAAGGATGCAGATGTCGAATAATTAGGATTTGATTGTTGTGGATTTGTAACGGTTTGTTGAGTTGGTGATAAATATGGTGGTGATCCGGCTATGCCCTCACTATCTGTACTGATAAGTCGAGAGGTACCCTACACACAAAAAGGAAAGAAACATTCAAAAATGCACAGTTAAATAAAAATCAACAACAATGAACTCTATTCAATGAGCATATTTTGATGAACAAAACGCTTTTAAAAAGTAAAATTTGGCTTAAAAGATGATGAGACACGGTTGTTCCATGTATTCCGTTACGTTTTTATAATATAGATATATATTTTTGTGTGTGTGTATGTATGTGTTTGTGTGTGCGATTGCGAGTAACAATGTGAGCATTTACAAAACTATTCGCTCATTATGGTAACATGTTCTTTTTTTCTGTGGTACTGAACAATGCGCGTAATTTATAAAAAATGTCGAAGGATTTTTCTTATTTAAGTTTTTAATTTTTTTTTTTTCATTATAATTTAACTCGAAAAAAAAATCGAAATGGTTTTTTTTTATTTTGATTTTTGTACGATAAGAACAGTTTGTTGTATCAAGGCCATAGTTTTCTTACGTATCAAACATCATATTTTTGTTTATGTGTCTTTGCGTTATAGTGTATGTCACATTATTTTTCAATATTTTTTTATTGGTTAATATTTTACCTTCAAATTAAAAAAAATTCCAATAAATTAAAAGAAACACATTTTTTATGGAATTCGAACAAAATACACGGACAGAAGTTTTTTAAAAATAACAGATACAAATTTTTGCACTTTACACTTTCAATAATAAACTCAAAATGAATATGATGTGAACGAGTAACCAATTCAAAGAAGAAAAAAATACAAGCAGATGCTTTTTTGCCACCAAATAGACAAATAATGTTGACACTTCACACACATAATGTTTTTCTTTTTTTTTTCAGTTGATGTTGATGTTATTATACTATATATCATACAAATGAACCGATACACTAACATGAAATTTCTACGAATGTGGTGGTATTACACATCTGTGAGGGAGCGTTAACACTCTTGTAAAGCGCGCGTACACAAATATAAGAAAAATGGCGGAAAAAAAATCATTCAACGTCAAATCATATCGTAGTAGCTGTGTTGTTGATTTACGATTGTTTTGACATTTGATATGGGTGCGTTCACACGAGAATAATCCATCAGTTGACAAACGTATTTTTCTATCACAAATCACATACAATATTTTGAAGATAAAAGAAAACTTACTTTTGAAATTCGCAAAACGATTGGCGGTCCACAATGTTTTGACGGTGAATCACCTGGATTCGGTTGTTCATCTTGATATGGTTGCGTTGGAATTGCTGATAAATTCTGTTCATTTGAATTATAGTAATTGTTTGAGATTGTTTCGGCTCCATGAATTGACGATGTCACAACATCGTTCGAAAAATGTTCCGTATTTGGTGTATCGTTTGATATTTTTGAACTTCGTGGCGGGCTTCGACTTTGATCTTCGGAATAATTAACAACTTTCCTCGTTCGAGACAACACCCGTGTCGGTTTCGGCGCTTCGACAATTTTTTCATTTGCTTTTGGCTTTTTCTTCGTTGCCTTTGGCAATTTTTCTGGTTTCGCCGGTTTTGGTGCTTTTTCCACTTTCGGTGGCTTTTCAGCCTTCAATTTCTTTGCAGGTTCTCCAACTTTTTTCTTTCGCTTTTTCTTTTCGGCATACGGCTGCTGATGGTGTTGTTGGAATTCTTGTTGCTGTTGATACGCTGCAGCTGGACTGGAATAATATGATGTAACATTCGATGGTGAGCCCATGACGGCTGCTGCCACCTGAGATTCAGATAATGCAGCGACAAGCGCATTTGCATCAGGCACTGAATTACGACTTTTGAAAAACTTTTTTGGTTTTGCAACCGTATTGCTATTAGTATTGGTTGGTGATTGAACCGTATTCGTGATTCCACCTTCGATCAACGATTTCGGCGAAAATTGTGCATACTGCAATGATGCATCTTGATTTGGGCTAAACGATGCGAATCCTATAAGTGAATAAGATTTTTGATTAAAGAAATGGCGTATTTCCTTGCCGGCACCGAAAAAGAGAATTTAAGTTTTTTTAAAAAAACTTACCGTAAACCGGACGTGCTCGCATTGATGTAAAACTTGTGACACCCCATTTTCCCACAGTTCCAGCTGATCGGGCGGCAACTGGACGATTTGTGTTTTCCTTTTCTTTGAGTAAAGCATCTAATGGCAACGCATACGATGGTACTGTGCGGCTTTTACCCCAACGTGACATCTAAATTTCGAAACCAAATTCAACGTAAAAAAAATTGTTAGAAAACGATTTTTTGTAGTACTGTTGATTTGTTTATATTTATTTAAATGGAGCAAAGAAGATTTGGTGATAAATAAACGAAATGCAAACATAAACAAATATAATTATAACGACGCATATTAGTTCTTAGTCACTTGAAGCAATTAAATCGATAAGCATAATTGGAACCACTTGAGTCTGGTCATATCGCCCATACCATCGCACAGAACATACAATACCGTCGATTGATTTAGTCAAAAATATTACTATGAAGAAATGTGTGTTGAAAAAACGAGTTTTTTAAATGCATTTAGTTTGATCTTAACAAACATTCAATACTGTGTGTGTGCGTTACACCAGATCATTGCATACATAAAGAAAGTGTAGAAAGAAAATACAGAATAAACAATAAAAACAATAACAATCCACTAAAACAGAGCGCTCTGGCCAAGGTTTTTTTCGTTTGGAAAATCTAGTACAATTCCATCATAACATCCACACACAACCATTATGTAAATGTTTATGTACACAATCAATATATGCATGTATATAAATATACGTATAAACATATATAAATATATATATATCATATGTCATACACTATGCCGAACATAGAGCTCACATACCGACCCACTGAGATAAAATATTCACATAAAAATTTCACGCACAACTAAAAAAAATGAAATGAAAAAAAAAATCAAGCGAAAAACTTGACATTCATGCCATTTTGATTAAATTTCTTCTTCCGACATTCATTGATACATGAAGTGATTTTGTTCCGAAAAAAATGTCTTTTACTTCAATGATTCAATTTTTTTCCGCTCATTTGTATAATGCATAGAATCGTTAAAAATCAATCGGATGAAAAGAATGTATATAAACACATTCAATAACCTCATCAAAACTGTTAAGCACAAATAAAAATGTCCACAGTATGTTTTCACTTGCACCATAAAATAGTAGTTAGAATATAAATTGAATCGAATCGAATATTGAACATCTTACGTCAGTTTGTTTGAAAGTTCAAAATTTACGTGAATATTTGGTAGAAAAAATCGCAAATCACATTTTTGATAACAAATTTAAATAAATGCTTTTTAAATAGATGCCCACTGAATACATTTAAATATAACACGAATTGAAAGGAAATTCTTTTGACATTAAATGTGCAGCAAAAATATAATAGCGACGACTGAATGAGCGTGAATGAGCGGCGGTCTTGTTGAATAACCCAAACAACGAGCATGTATTCTATCCCATTTACACTCATTAATTGTGTGCTTTGTATTTGACTCTGTCCATCTTTCAATAAAAAAAATTCTCGTTTGTGCGCAAATATGAATGTTTGGTCTTCGCAAAACCTGCTGTTTGCTTTAGTATTGGTGGCGAATGTTAAGTATGTATATTTCTCTTGGCACTTTCATTTTACTTCTTCGTTTCCTACGTACGCTCGTTCGTTCTGTGCATGCATGTACAGATGCAAGGAATACGACTCGATTTGGTGAACTCATTCTGTTCGTTGCTGTTGCTGTCGTCGTCGTCGTCGTCACTGTCGCTGTCGCTGTCGTAGTTGTTGTTGTTATTGTTCTTCAATGGACGACACAATCACTATAAACAATGCATATATTGAAAATTTACGTGGATGGAGCAAACGTTTTTTTTTTTCTTCTTCTTTTTGTACATCCACTAAAGACGTAATTAATACCGATGGCGATTCTTTGCACCGTCTACTGATGTTTTATTCGAACTAATCGAATGTTTAGCTGATAAACGGACCAAACATTTACATTTGAACGATGTAAATTAATGCATACATCAAATAGCATCGACATCAAAATGAATTTTTAAGTTTCAATCGATATTCAAGGCTTTTTTTTCATAATGCGAAAAATTGCATCAATAATTTTCACTTTACCCTAACGATTTGAGGCTGATTGAATTTCTGCACATAGATTATATAGTATAAATGAAATAAACATTGATATCGGTCAATTCGCACCTTACACTGATGATGATGGTGTTGTCGATTGCGATGATTATGATGATTTCACCGATTGATTGATTCTTTACAAAAAGATCTTGTGGTTAATGTTTTAGTCGAAATTTAAATAAATGACCACATTTATACAAACAATACACTTTGTGCACTTTAATTTTGCGCTTGTTATTTTTTTTTCACGCAATTTAATTACAAAATTAAGTCTAAGTAAGTAAATACGGCCATTTTGGGAATGCACTATGAAGTTGATTCTCACTCACGATTTGTTTTTCGCTTTTGTTACGGTGCTGCTTCTAATTTGTATATATGGTTATACTTTGTATATACATGAATATAAGCTGAGTCGCGTTTCATCCGTACGCAAAAATATTCAGTTGTCTATGTGTACATGCACACACGGCGGAGATGTTGAGAAAAAGGAGAATCATTCGTTTGAACGTACTAGATGCCACACATATCCATTGATACAAGCACATCTTATGTGGAAAAACAACAAACAAATGTGAATGTGACGGTGAGTGTAATTGTGTGTATGTGTATGTGTTTTACTAGTTCTTCGTTTGTTTTCACTTCAACTGATGCTGAATACAAGTATTGGTTGGTTTTCATTCAATGAATTCAATGTGTTCGCACATTCAATTAACGCAAGTTAATACATACATCTAGGCGCATTCAGTAAATTGAAATCGATGACCAGATTTTTTTTTTTGTCTTTCAAAACCAAACTGAACAAAATTTTATTGGAAATAGGTCTCATTTTTTACAATTTTTTTACAGTTTTCTTGATCTATTGGAAACATAAATTCGATATCGATGTCGTATCGTGGTAGTTTTTCTCTAGAAATGAAAAATAAACAGAATTTCAGTTAAATTATAATCAGAAATTGAATGATGAAATCGAACCTGAGGAAATTTATAACATTTACACCAACTGTGGGCGTTCGGGAGAGCATATATGCTGATAAATAACGATTTGACTTCGGTTTTTCCGCGCAATGCATTATTAATGCCCATTCTCGGTAGTCTGTATCGATGACGTATGTATTATAAACTCCCTCGTCTAAACCAAGAATTTAAACATCGATTTAAAAAAAAAAAAATAGGAAAATTAAATGTCGGAAAATGTATACAAATATATTCAGCGTGTATCCAATGGGCAGGAATTTCAACATTTGGCACAATCCACGTAATATTTCCGTATAGTAAATCCATTTCTGGGTCATCTTTGAATGAATACGTGAAATTCATTGTTATCTACAACAGAAATGAAGTATACACTTTATGATAAGTGTTGATTTGAAATGAAATGTGTGTAAAAAAAACGAACGTAAGCATTTTCTGTCGAAATCGAAAAGTTGCATTTCATGCATGCATATTCGGGTGCTTCCTCTGATGATGCATAATATTCAATAACGTACCACGTACCTAGGGGAGAATCACAAAAGAAGAGAATAGAATTAATTCAAAATAATCGACAAATAATCGAAAAAGAATCAATAACAAATATTAAATAATAGAAAGGCAATTTTTAAGTGAATTGCCCCTACCACGTACCCATCATATCATTTATATTGAAATTTCGCATCGCTTTCACCTACAGTAGAAGGAAATTAAAGCACACAAGAAATGAACAAAACATACAAAAAATCACCGAGTTCTCGAGTTCAATTCATTTAACTTCATTACAATACGGAAATTTCGCTTGCATTTGGTTTCTCTCGCCATTTTTTTTTTTTTTTTTTTTTTTTTTTTGAATGAAACAATGTGTATCAGTGTTCTTTGTATGTTTCTTTAGTATGTTTGTTTGGCTCGCTGACCGCTGCTAACCTGTGGACAGTATTCTTGTAAGTCAGGTCGAAAAGGCACCGGATGGAATTTATTGTAGTCGAAAAAAGCAACGACAAGAGGGGCACGGAAATCGCCAAACCACAATGCCAACGTCAACACAATGAGACATTTTATTTGATTTCGCATATCTATTTTAAATTCACTTGCTATTTTAAATCACTTAAAATACCACAACAATATCGTGCGGCAGACGGAATAAAAAGTGAAAATATCTATTCAGATGAAAAACCGCAACAAAAGAACACTCCAAAACCAATCGTAACTTATCGTACGTGCACGTCAATTGTAACGCCCGAATGTAAATAACAATATGTTTTCGGTTTCTTTGTTGATTATAGAAGTGACCCGTTACAAAATTCATATGTGACTGATTCAGTTTTATTAGGTATAATAAATTTACATTCTGAATGCTCAATTGCTCATAGAGAGTTTTTTTTATCAGAACAATTTTTTTTTTCTTGTTGTTGACAGGAATTACTGGGTGAGTTTTATCTATAACGGATGCTAAGAGTCATGGTCTTTTTTAATTCCACATTTAAATAATGTATAACATGATATAATTGTTTTCCGATGACCAAATAAAAAAACGTACCAAATATAATATTTTTACATTCATAAAGTTAGAGCTTCATAGATTCATTACTATAAAATTGGTTGTTTAATTTGAAAAATTCATTGACGCGTTTACATTTCGATCCTACTATTCAATGTGTAAGAAACGGTTAATCAAAATCCGTACAACTGAATTGCTCCATAGACTGGTTTTGTACTTTTAATTTTAAATAACTTGAACTGTTTTACGATGAAGATCGTATGAAAAGCGTGTATAATATGTTTATCGCGTCATTTATTTCTTTTTCTTTGCGACTTTCTTATGTGCATTCTTCGAATTCGCGTTGCTCCAGAATGTCGAATGTTCAAGAGCAGCCGACATCGCTATACACAACCGCATTGGATCCATGAGCAATATTTTGAATATACTCCTATGATACTGTCAATGTATGTTGATTCTTAAGGCGATACTCGCAATGGATGAATAATAATGAATGATCGTTGAAATTATCAAACACTTAAAATCACCATCCCAAGATATTGACCTTGTTATAAATTCGGTACGTTTACATGAATTATGATTGCTAGCACAATAGAGGTGAATAAATTTTATGTGATATATTTCAACAGATTGATCCTTTATGCAAAATGTGTAGTTTCTCATGATAAACGCGAATTGAATTAGGCATAAAAATCAAGTTTTAATCTTTTCTTTGTTCCCGAATTTATGTTACCGCGTTTCGTTGCCGTTGTTTTCACAGTCAGCATAAAATCCGAATGAACCATTTCTCACACATCGAATAACCGATTTAAATTTTCTGCGATTCTCTTTCAACATTCATCTTTTGTGATATGCAATTGGATGTACGCATTGACGATGCGATTTCCAACGACGATGTGTTGAATGTTCGCTTTTTCAAGAGCACACTGGTCAGCAAGCGACGTTCGAAGTATTCGCGGAAAAGAAAGGAAACTGCAATGTTGAGAAGAAAGAGTGAATATACTGATAATATAACCATAAAAACAATAATAATAAAACGCTAAATAACTTCGAAATTCTGTGTCAACAGACTTCGTTGAATCGCCTGTGTCACACATTCAATGGCGAACGAGTGATTGCAATTGCAATACCGATGCGTTTGTTTCTTTCATTTATTATTATTCAGGTTCAAATCGTCTCTGGACCGACTTGTTTGTTCACTGGCTGACTTCGCTCAAGCGAAATGAGTATGAGCGCATGTGCGGCTGTGTTTCGATGCGTATGAAACTTTGTGCAGGTAAGCAGTGGTTAATAACCATAATTAGTTGATGTGTGAAATTTCTTTAGCTAAAAATAGATGAAAACTTGAGGAAAAAGAGACAATAAAGAAGCCTTTTTCACGATGCTCTTTGTCATTATTTATGCGTTTTAATACTGTTGCAACGATTGATGGAATGGCCGTGGTTCAAAACTGAAAATCTAATATCCATCACAAATATAGTTGTTTCTCGATATTTTCTTTCTTCAGATCACACTGTATTTTAAAGTCTAATCAGTTGGATTTTCGATTCGGTTTTACGCCTCGCCAGCACAGATCATCAAAATTAATTAAGATAAACACGTGGTGTACCTATTCAACTTGTGCGCTTCAAAACGCTTTGCAAAATGTATGTACGTATTGTAGATGCAATCTTTAGTTCTTGGTTTTTGTTGTATACTTTTGCACTCCGAGTCAAGCAACGCATATGTATGATTTTTAGCTCGATCATTTCTCTTTTCGCTGGCTCTTGCTCTCGGAGGCATATACGTACACATTCGCAACATTGAACAGTCATGCGCGTCGACATGAAACAACTGAATCACAACAAAAATCGCGTTTTCCCGCGAACACACTGAGTGTCTGTTGCAAACGACGTGTGTATCGTTGATAGCAAACAGGTGGACAAAACATTCTTACATTAACCGTCGTACGGTGCAGACGAGAGTGCCTTTCATTACACGACCTACAGAAAGTATACGTCAACATTCGTTTTTTGATAAAGCATAAAAAATAGCTTTTGTTCTACGGCTTGCATTATCGATTTGGTGAAGACTTTGTTTTTGGATTTTGATTTTGAAGAATTCAACGACCGTTTATACGTTTTATTTTTTTTGAGTGCATTAAAAAAACAATTGAATATAATTAAAGATGTAAAAATACTCTCTGGAAATAAACTTTAGAAATATTTAAAAAGTTAAGGAATAAAAACTGGCTCGATTTTAATTGTGCACAAGAGGAATAAATTATCAAAATCGGATTTACAGTGACACAAATATCGATTGGATTTACTTTTCAAGCACGTGCGGTTCGGGTAAGTTTTTCTTCATTTATACCACCTGACTGATAATCATAAATGTTGATCGAAAATTAAGTGATTGTCTGCTTTATGCTCTTCTTTCACGATATACGCAATTCATAAAACGAATCGGAAAAAACATAATGAAAAGCAGAACGAAACAACAATTCTCAACTGTCACCATAATGGAAAATTGATCTAAATGTCAATTTACCATAAGCAGCGATTACAATCAACGAACAAAAATTGTGATATGATTGTTTTTCTGATGAAGCGGCGGCTGTCTTGCATCAAGACATAGACAACATAATGGGCTCAATGATCTACTGATCTACACCTATATTGATCGATGTCATACGAATGTGGTTTTCGTTCCTTTTTTGCAGAACTTGAACGCAATTGCAATTTTTCAACCTCTTCATTGCCTTTTTTTCCATCTCAATTGTTCTCAATTTGTTTTTATGATTCATTTATAAATGCAAACGTATGCGTCTTTCATTGCATCTTTCGGCTCACGTTATTATTATGATCAAACTTTTATTTTGGTGAACAAAAAAATGATTTATTTTCGGAACAATTTCCATGCCATTTTGGTTGTGTTTTTGTGATGATGTCAACGATATTTTTTTTATTCATTCAGTTGTCATCTGTTTTTCTTTTTCGAATTTGATTCTTTCTCTCAGAAGTATTTTGACTTCAACTGATTGCATCTAGAGCGTTTTTATGAAAACAGATTTAAAGAAATAGTTGAATTCAAAGTACATTAAATTCAAACTTTCAAATGTTGAAATAAAAATTAGAGCCAATTTCAGCAAATATGCTCTCTTTCATTCTTCTCATTGGCAAAAGTTTTCGAAATTTTTCAAAATAAATTTTTCGCAAGTGCCTATCACATATGCTTTTGTGAGTGTGTTCCAATGAATCCATTACAAATATTTTTTTCTTCACCGATCACAAGAATCGAAGAGAAACTAGTTGATATCAAAAACTTGTGCAATACATATTCCCATTCGCACATCAATGTTGACATCTGATCTGTTGTGCGACTATTTTCCCCGTGTCAATCAAATAATTAAATTCATTTTTACGTGCGACATTAAAGCAACTGACATTTGATGATGTCTCTTTTTTTGTTTTGTTTAAAAGGAAATGCGCGAATGATAGCGAACGTAATTTTTATTTTTTATTATCTTTTTTCTTCGTTTTTTGTGTTCGTACGGCGTGTTTTTTTGCTTCTAATGAATAGGATGCAACTTGATTAATAATAATAATCTTTATTAATATCGCACATGATCAAAGAAAAGAGAAACTTGATGAAGTTTCACAAATGATGTATGCAGTGTGGGAGAAATCATTTGCAAAATGTGGTTCAGTTAATGTTCAGTCTGTCTTCGTTGGCATTAGATTGTGGAATAAAAAAAAATTAAACTTGTATGAGCTAATTATCATGGTTCATACATCACCATCATAGTGAAAAGTTCTGAGCATCCGTTGAATTCAAATTACGTTTGAATTGTGCAATCACAATGGTACAAAATAAATAGGTCAGGTTTTGCTATCAGCAAAATTGCACATACGAATCACGAGAACAATGCCTAACAATTTGATCCATATTGTATTTCCAGTTCCAAGAATGCGAAATAATGATACAACATTCCAAATATAATAACAGAAAAAAAGAAGAAGAAGAACTTATTCGGGATGGAACACGCGAAAAACAGGTTCTGAATGGAACGCGAATCATGTAATTTTGCGATAATTCAAATTAAACCACTTGTTAAATACTTGCTTTAAGATGCGTGCAAGAATGAAATGATTGGTACAGTATAGGCCAAAAATGTATGAACTCATTAATAATGGTTACTGTGGTTGTGTTAAACTGTTAGTTCAAGAATGTTGAATAGAAAATCAGATATATTAAAACACAAAAAATTTAATTAGTGAAATATATCTAAAATTGGTTTACTACAGTCATTTGGGCCTGTGTTGTACAAACTCAGTAAATTTTATTCACAAAACTCAAAGAAACTTCTGAATAATATACCGCATGCTGGAGAGGTAAAAACCAAGTGAATGTAGAACGAATTAAATGTCTAGATCTGAATATAAAAAAAAAACAAATACGTCAACGGCGAAGAATTATGAAATATTCTCGCGATCAGAATTTATACTTGTTTCACTTATCATTCACACAATTGTTACTCCATATTTCAATTGTTTCCCATAATTTCAACATTTACCCTTGTTTCCGTAGTCTTTATGTAACATATTTGAATCTTATTTTTTTTTTCAACACAAATTTACAGTAGAGACAAAAAGCAACTAAATCGCACACGGTTCCGTTGTGAAGTTGGCACGCTAATAAAAAAGAGTCTGGATTTAATTGTTGAATCAGTTTAGAATCGGGATTCTTTGAGTCACAAATATAGCGATAAATGTGTAACAAGCGGTTTCGGTTGTCAGTGTTCAATTGTCGTCGTCATTCAGTCCACAAATTCAAGTTTTTGTCTTGAACTTGATTAAAAAAAAAAAATTCATTTCATAAGATGTTAAGCGAAAAATACAAATTGCTTCTATAATAAAAACATGAATTCATGTTTCCAACCACATTCACTCGTCCCATTCAATTACAAGAGTGAATTGTTTTTATTTTCATTTACATTAATTTCCGCTTGTGGTTGAGAAAGGGTGTAGTGTATATACCTTGAGCATCGGTAACGGTACTTGTCATGTGTGCATACCAAAGTATTGCATGTCATTGCGAAAACGAAGATGTGTGTACGCGTACGGTGTTTTTCAATGCTTCTTCTCTCCAGCACACATCACATCAATATATTGATAGCGATATGTTGGCATTTCACGTTCAATTCGCTTCTAGGTTCGTTGGGTTTTCTTTCGTGTTCTGGATAATTATAAATACCCAATAAAAGCATACAGGTGCGCCGTAGGAGCAAATTGCTTGTATTGCGTATTCCAGCATTTCAGTAATGCAAAAAAAAATATGTTGATCGAATTGAATGTGTATATTCATAATGTTGTGACCGACTTTGGTTCACCACAGTAACCGCAGCATAGCAGCAAGAATAAAAAGGCGCCAATTAATAGAATATTTCACTCTTTCTGTGCAATTTGTATGCCATTCAATCCGAATAAAATGCAAATTAATAACATTTTGGTCATTGCGATTTTGATCAAATGATAAAAGAAAGGGTAAGCTGAGTCACTTGAACGGAAATATTCACTTCATGATCGACGCCACATGTGATTTAATAACTGTTGAATGGGGTACAAATAATCAATTGATTTTTCTCTTTCATTCATCCAACACAATTTATGTCCACAAAAATTGGGTCACATCACATTTGCTTATGAAAGGAAAAGCAAATATTTACATTTCATCTTGAAGTTAATTTATGCATAATCTTTTCTTTCCGTTCGCTGTCGTTAATGTTGTGTACGAGTCGGTGCGGTGTCTCATTGATACTCGTTCGTTTAATTTGATTTTCTATTTCTACATTTCAATACATCCATTCCAGTACATCAATTCAACATATAAATTGCAAGTAGATTGAATAACATTCAGTATCATTTTATTGAAATATTTTTGTGCACAAGTGAACGAAATGACTAAAAGAACAAAGAGAAAGATCCGATGCCAGTCGAGAAATGAACAAAAAAAAATGATGCAAAAAGTAAATTATTGCAAGACGTATAGCTAAAGAAAGCGTGTTTCTGCTTTATCATACTGTTTCACTTGGCACATGAAGTACTCATTTCAAAAAGCGTACCAATCCACCTCTTTAGGTCGCCCATATCATGTTAAATGCTCAACACAACTCTTCAACATGAGCATAAATATACAAACAAAACTAATATCGGCTGCGAAAAACGATTAAGTTCTATGCAATTGCTGGCGAAGAATGTAGCCAGCAGTGGAGTGCGTCTCTTTAAAACAGAAGCATCTGTTTTACCAACTACTATGCACATATTTACAATCATTTTCTCGGATGCATCATGATTTCGACGTTTCGCAAGAAAATCATCAAAATAACTGGTCATCGAGAATAAGAAGAAAACAAACGATAGTGAGACACAAGTGCATGTTATACAGCACTCGTATATATGAAGAAAAAAAAAACAGAACCAATTGGTTACAACCCAACTCAAAGTGAATGAGAGAAGTGAAAACGTATGAATATAGAATATGTTATGTTTACCGAAAATATTTAACCGATAATTTTGTGTCAATTGACCCATTTTTTTTTTTCAATTATATGAGATAAATACGAGGAATGCGTTGCCTGACGGAAAGTGTCCTGTTTTTTTCTCCTTGAAAATATTTATTTGAGTTGACTGACGATGTGTAAGCTTCAATACTTTTACATTCTTAAAGGCAATTTTAGACTATTAGAGACCATTGAACTAGCCGATAGATTTATTGCATAGGTGCTCATGAGTGAACTGTACTTGAGAAGAGAAAAAACCCAAGAGAAACGTATTAAATTGCAAATAAAATAGTGGATTTCAATTGAAATCCAATAAATTCCAACAATACGCATTCGTTACCGAGACGCAAGGCCTTTCTACATGAAAAAAATGGTTTTCCGCCATGCTTTCTTCTGTTTAGTGTCTGTTGTTTTGAGAGCAAATTCAATACAACAATCATATCAATGACCAAAGTGCATTAAAAAAATGACTAAGCATACATTGCCTTCCCGAATCAATAAAAGAAGAAAGCAGTCACAAAACGAAGAACAATAAAACACGTATAATGCCCATAAAATCGCTTTGTAGCTATAAATCGCCACACTTGCGCCGATATAGTCCAGTATTGAGAAAAAAAGCGTCTTCACATTCGTACAAACCACAGAAAAAAAAATCGAAAGCCTCTTTTAAATCAGTACAAAAGTAAACACGATTTACGATTTCTGTGTAACACTGAATGAACCAGCGTAGAGAAAAAAAATAGAAGTCATAGGAAATGTAAATGGGAAAAAGAGTGCACGTATATTTGCTAGACAAAAACCAATTAGAGGTTTTGATGGAAATAGAATTCATTTGAAAAATATCGAAATGTGTCGGCACACACACAGAGAAAGTGTGCAAAATGAACCACTAATCGAATATCTTGCTGATCATATTCAGTTGAAAGCAACGCTGACTCAAAACGAAACGAAATCGTTGGCACATCAATTGAGGTAATAGTTAGTAAATTATTAGCACAAAACATTATGCGCATGGCACAAAGGAAAAAAAAACAACCAAGAGAGAAATGAACGAACGGTGAATATATCATTGACATCAAGTCAAGCGGAGAATCAACTGATCAATTTATGTGAAGCGGAAATTTCATGTGTGAATTTCGGACTTTACACATATTTCAATTGAATTGAGACCAACGATAATGGCGTAGCACATAAAATCAATTTAACTTTCAAGCAATAATAATCAAAGCACATATTAGACTTCATTACCTATTTAATTCATGATCAAATTATATTGGCTCTCATGCCAAACAATCCATCTGTGGCAAGAAAAAGTATTTTTTTTTTGGCGTGCAACTGTAGACGCTGCGTAGTTCCATTTAAACGACAGAACTTTACACTTTTTTCTTTGAATTTTGAATGGGTATTCACAGCTAAATGGAACAAGATGCTGATCAAATTCATTTGAAGCTACATTATTCAGAGTATATTTACTCCATTCACTTGGTTTTATTCAATTGCAACCAATCAACTCACAATTGCTTCCGAAAATGAAGATGCTTAATCACAAACTTTTGAAATAAAGAAAATCCACCTGTATGTGTTTTTAAATGAACCAATTTTATGTTTTATAAAAGAGATCAAAACAATCATATAAAACGATCGAATTTCATTTCATCAGAATCCATCTTAACCACAAAAATGGTTAATAAAATCTATACATTGTTTTTTTTAACCAAATTATTACAAATTTCATTGATCTAAGGCATCAAATTGACTTGAAAAAATTTCTCTTCATTTGAATGGATCATAAAAGCATAAATTGCAGAATAGTTTCCGCGGGAAAAAATGCGTACTCGTTGCTGTATGTTAACATCAATATTTAGGCAAATTTTAATTGATTCACCGTGGTTATATGCGAACTTGTTTTGTATTCCAATCACAACATTTTCCTTACATCTACTTAATAACTATAATAACAATGATAATTAAAAAAAGTGCGTGCTAATGAGCCGCCGGTAATCGATAGTGAACAATGCAACCCAACAAAAGCACGTATGTAGCAAATCTCCGTAGTTGATCTTGCAATGTAAATTAATTGCACTTGAAATACTTATGCGATATACTGACAAAAGCATAACTGTGAATTGTAAACAAAGCGTTGAAAGGGAGTCGTCAAATAATACAGAATATATTAGACGTTGAAAACAGAAATGATGCTATTGTTCGTGTGGCCCATATTTTCTGGGATCATTCGGAAATTACACAGTAATTCATTTGCTTTTCACAGCGTCTGTTCAATAACAGTGTCGATGAATATCGTTCAGCAGCAATTCAAACCGTCTACAAATGCAACATGCATTCTGTTGGAGTTTTGTTCTATTTTTATTTTCTTCCATTCGGGGTTTCTATGTCTCAACACGAAAAAAAAAATGAAACAAACCAATTGCGACTGTCTTTAGTCACTTTTCTATTCTGCGCACACTTCCGTAACGATGCAGAGAATAAACTAAACAATGTCAAGAGGCATATTTCACACACCTTTTCGCCATATTTATTGTTTTTGCTTCTCTTGTTATTTTCTCTTGCAATGACACATAAAATTGATACGATTTTGCCGTATGTCATAAAAATGCGTTGCAAGACGCGAGACGACTCTCTCTGTGTGTGTGCTTGTGTGCCGTCGTTACCATTTCAGATTTTAGAAGAGAAGAGACATTAATGAATGGTATTTGGAATAATATGTGGTGTTAAGTATACATTAAAAGTCTTTTTATGTTAAGGTGTGTAACACATTTAGCCAAGCATTCGCACAATGCGCATAACTATTACCTTAAATTTGCTATTTTTTATTGCATCGTGGGACACTTCTTTCTTGACATTTTTGTTTTATTTTGTATTGTTTTAAACAGAAGACCGATCACCATTGAATTCATTGTTTTCGGGTTAAGTGCCATTTTATTGGTTTTGTTGCCCTTGAATTATACAGTTGTTTTCAGTTAAGCTGAATTCCAATTAAAACGAATTAAAAAAGATTAAGAACTGTATCTAATTGTAAGATTAAACAAAAATACCCAAACATAATTAAAGAAATCTATTAAAGACCTATTCTTATTTATAAATGTCATTTCTATTGTTTTATTATTGCAGATTGTAGACGTATGAAAAATGAGAACTCTCCTCGCTATACATGTTATGTTGATGCTGATCTTGACACAGGTAAATAAAATTCATCAGTTTGTAGTAATAAAAGTATATATTATATTGATGAGCGCGCGACTGGACGGACGTCGGATGCAAATAACGGAATTAGAAGAAGAAAGTGAAAATAAGATGGTTTATAAAGTCATTTGTCATTTGAATTGTTTACCTTTAAATGCAACAAATTATATTGTCATCCAACTCTTTTATCGCTCGAATTCTGTGCTTTCAATGACATTCACTTCGAATCATTTCGATCCAATCCAATCTGATCTCGCGATTACCATTTTACTTATTACCTATGTACCGTTATGCGATTTTCTTTTCTCATATGTAACGTGTGCCCGAGCGACCAATCACATTTCGCTCTTTTCACGACAAACGCATTTGCAAACTTCACACGCGAAATAAGCGACAAACATGATTAATCTAATTTTATTTTAATTTTTTCTGCGTCGTCTGCTTGGCATCGACTTATATACTTTTACCGTATTTGCCCGAATAAAGAACCAAACGAACGAAATGATCAATTCCGTGGATTGCGCAAACTACAAGTTCAATTAATTCTATTCAAAAAGAATAATTTTCTGATTAAATGAGTGCCAGGTGAGAAAATTCCTGCGTATTTTATGTAATTGGTCTATCTATACCGTGCAGAGAGTACTGAAACATGCAATAATAATTTGTGAACTAAATTTTGAAAAAACTCTTTTTACACATTTCATTTCTTGTAATCCGATTGAATTGACTTCTGGTTACTACGATCGATTTTTTTCGCTCATTATACCCTTCTTTTTAACAATATGTTTTTTGTATGATATTCAATCGAGAATTAAAACGAAATGAAAAGAACAAGGTTAAGTCATTACTACAAACGGTGATAAACCGACTCCCTCAAATTTCGGCAAAACAGAGCATGACTAATGAACGCATTAGCTATAATTTGGTGGTATTTCTTTGTAAGCATGGTGCAAGTGACACCTGTAATATATCTTCGGCTTCTGTTAATCAAAAAATAAAAGAATTTATCATTGACGTTTCTATTCATCCTCTCATGAAAATTTTCCTGATCATTGCACCATTCTATTAAGAAATTCGAAAGTATCATTTCGCATGCATTGACGAAGGCTTTTCATTTCACGAAACAACAATTTAAATGGTATAAAATAAATAATAAAGAATATCAATTCAAACATGAAATTAATTCATCACAAATGGATTCCATTTATGAAACGAAAATACCGCAATGAATTGACGTTTTTTTTATTATATCTAGAGAAAAGAATCTCACGGCACATCTTGTTCATTATATTCATTGCCCTAAAAATAACTTAATAATGCGATATACCCAGATATCATTCCATTTTGCGTTTGCGGTTTGAATTGGCATCGAAAATGATCCAAAACCAAATAATAATATTATATGCATAGAGAAAATGTGTAATTTAATTTTCGATGAAAATAGAAGCTGACATTGAAGTGAAAAAGAAATCAAATCATTCATACCCATTCATTGAGAATCATTTGATGTTTGCGAACAACAAAGCGAAAAGAAAAATAAACTCAGCAAATGATCATGAGGTTTTCGAGGAACAAATAAAAGAATGTAAAAGTCATGTGCGCACACACTGTCGAAATCGGAATATTTATGGATATATACATATACAACAGTTGCTCTCAGCACTGTGCACTTAGGAAGAAGTTAAATGCCGCAGGGAATTTACATTCCAATTGCGCGAATTTATGCGGTCATTTCAGCTTCATTCGTACAGACTACAGAGGCAAGCATATACTTTTCACATTATTTAAACCCAAGAAAACGAGCACATGCGACTCAAACGATTCACTTCGATCTTCTTTCACAGGTTCGGTTTTTTATGTTTGGTATATATTTTATAAATGGTCCGAACCAATGATGACGTTAAATATTTCGTTATATTTTGTGAAGCGAAACAAGTTACTCGGGTCAACATCAAAATTTAACATCTTATAACGACATGTAGAGTGTAATACACACTTTTTAAATTTACGGTACAAACAAATAAGATAAGATCCATTTACAAATGATAAAAATCCAAAGTCAAGGTCGTCTTCATCCTATCTTCATCTTATGCGGTCTTACCTGAATGCAGTAACATTTGCTCAAGAACCTTTGACAATTTATTTGGAATTGCTTTTTAGTTTTGACTCACCTTAAAGATGAAATCGAAGAAAATAACGTTGATTTTTTGCCAACTCACCGTACAACATACGATGTATGCCGTTTTGACTTTCCATACCGAAGAAGAAAGGAATCAAATGTGCGCATATTTATGAAAGCAATTTGTTGTGGATGTGAACACGTTTGGTAGAACACTTTAAAAATGAACTTGTTGCTACACATGTTTATATGTAAATTGCAACAATAAACATTTCACACGGCTAAATAAAATCATTAACATTTACATTAACAGGAAATTATTTAATTTTCCATAATTAATTAAACGATAGCCGCGATCGAATTTGGTGAGCATCAAAACCTGTGACTTTGTTGAACTTGTGAACTTTGGTGGTTAAAAAAGATATTATCGATGCAACATTTTGCGGTGACCGAATTACCAAAAATGGATGGGTCCAAGATCACTTGACATTTTGGTCAAAGTTGTGGTTACAGTCAACGTATACGTTCTGTCCGAATGTTGCTGAAGAGAGATAAATTGCAGTTTATTCCAGTCACATCCAAATGCAAGACGCAAAAGCTGAAAAAGATAAAACTGTAAAAGAGAAAATATTTGCTCCACTTTTTTTCCGGCGCGTATATTTATGCCTGCATATGAAATTGATTTTGGTTGATGCGTGCTTTCGATGTTTTTGTTTCGCCATTTCGTTTGGATGTGAATATTCTGAGGCGCACATTCATGATCGCATCAGCGTATATCAGGGAGAGTGGAATCGATTTTGCTTAGCTGTGAAGTCAAAATGAAACTCTTTTCTTCTTCTGCATTTCTGCCTGCTTTTGGTAGCCGATGATGACGATAGAGATGGTTCAGTAAGCAGCGAATTAATAAAGAATTTCAGAAAAAATTCCGTTGGTTGGTTATTCTCATAAACCTGAATTTTAATGATCAATGGAATACAATTTACAGCCTCATATTTTTGATAACCAGTCGATGCACATTCTTGTTTTCATTTTTTGTATTCTTTTTACACTTGTTAATTTAAAATTGAATCACAGGCATACGATCGTGTGGATAAGGGAAAACATTTTAAAATGAGTCATAAATTCATACAAATTTCAATTCTACTTTGGAAAGCATTCCGTGAAAATAACTTTAACTACTTTCAAAAGAATTACAATTTCAATTTTTTTCAAAATACAAAACAAACAACTGTTCAACAAAAATTCTCCCAATGATTAAATTTCAATCAAGTTTTACCGCAAAAGACATTGTACTGCATTCTAACCGTCCGTATGCCATATGACAACACTTTCTAATTTTTTTGAAAATTTATGTCACCATCCGACGAATATATGCGTGCATGAGTTGCACGTTGATCAGCACCAGCATGAGCTTAAATATAAACACAATCTTAAATATCCATACATTTTAATAATTTCACGTAATTTCATTGAAAAAGAATGCGTGCCTTTGGTTTATGAACAAATGCAACTGGTAATTTAAAAGAGAATTTTTTTATGATCATACACATTCTGTGAAATCATCGTAGTAATTGTGGTGAAAAACCAAGAGTGTGGTAAAGATGATGGCACCAACATTTCAACAATGTGACCGCACAGAAATTTTGCAAAAAGATTATTATATTTTAATAATAGCATTTCTGTGATTGGCTCAGATATATAATACAAATCGTGTATATACGTATTTGTTTTCGTTTATGCACTTTCTTTCAAGTTTATGTGTTTCTATAGAGCCGTCGGTGTTGTTGTTGTCAAGGCTGTAGCTAAATCACTAAGCTATCATCAAACTGACCGTAAAATTCCGCTTTTGAACATCAACAAAGTTCTGAGTGTTGATCCGTCTATGTGCCGCAGTCTGTACGATCGTAAAATTGATGTTAATGGCACCAACACGGAACACGCGTGTTCATACCCACTTATGAATCGAAAGTCATACACGATGTATAGACCGAGTTGTTGATCACTTGTTGAATCTCTGATAATATCACGATGTAGCAGTTATCCATGCTGTGAGATTGAGTTGTTCTCATCATAAAGATTATTTTTCCATTATTTATGATGCTGACCATTTTCACGCCGTCTTTATTTACTCTCCCATATTGAATATATACTCTATTGACAATTTTATTTTAAAGTTTTACTTTTTTTCAAACTCTGTATCGGATTTTATATTATTTCACCATAGATTTATGCTGCTGACGATGGTGTCGAAATTGTGAAGGCTATTTCACCTGATATGAAACAATTAAACGACCCGGAAAAGGAACAAGATCAAGTGGCACTTGAATCACAAGATCAGGACTCTCCACCAGCCATTCTATTGCCACATCCACCTCCTCCTGGTTCGTAAATTATTCACATAAAAATAGTGAAATTATAAAGACACTTACATAATTGATTCATAAAAATGATTTTGATTTTCACTTCAATTTACGCCAAACAGTTGGTGGTAATCGAGCAAATATTGGTCAACCTTTTGTGGCACCCTCGCAGCATATGGCTTACCATGGTCCACCACCTCCACCTCCGCCACATTTGGCTCACATGCGTCTTCAACATCCACCGGCTCCACAGTATCCGAAAAAGCATCACCCAAATGAAATTCCCGATGAAAAGCAATTGGCTTCCGCATCGGCACCAAATGAATTGTGGGCATCACCCGCTACCGATACACCAAAAATTATTTCACTTGATGTCAAATGCGAAAAGAAAGGAATGAAAGTATTTCTGCAATTCGATAAACCATTCTATGGCATTGTATTTTCGAAAGGACATTACAGTAATATAAACTGTGTATACTTGCCGGCTGGTTTGGGAAGAACGTCGGCCACATTTGAAATAGGTATTTTAATCTCACCGAGTTACACTCATTTCAAATCGAGTTGACACTATTTCACAATTTTTGTATTTATTTAGGTATTCATGCTTGTGGTACATCCGGAAATTTCGAAACTGGCCTATATGGATATGGAGGTGACACCAATTCCGGAACGTTTTTTGAAAATATCATTGTCATTCAGTATGATCCACAAGTGCAAGAAGTTTGGGATCAAGCACGAAAATTACGTTGCACGTGGCATGATCAATATGAAAAAAGCGTGACATTTCGACCTTTTCCCGTTGATATGTTGGACATTGTTCGGGCCGATTTTGCCGGAGATAATGTTGGCTGTTGGATGCAAATTCAAGTGGGCAAAGGACCTTGGGCGTCTGAAGTATCAGGCCTTGTGAAAATTGGCCAAACAATGACAATGGTACTGGCTATCAAAGACGATGACAGTAAATTCGATATGTTAGTCCGAAATTGTGTTGCGCACGATGGAAAACGAGCCCCAATTCAATTGGTCGATCAACGTGGTTGCGTAACACGTCCGAAATTAATGTCACGTTTTACGAAAATTAAAAATTTCGGAGCCAGTGCATCCGTTTTGTCGTATGCTCATTTTCAAGCTTTCAAATTTCCCGACTCGATGGAAGTTCATTTCCAATGCACCATTCAAATCTGTCGATTCAGCTGTCCTGATCAGTGTTCGGATGGTAATGTTGGTTTGGACGTGCATCACTTGTCTGTTGGCCCCGAATCACAATATGGTCCACCTCCGCCGCAATTGCCCTTCCTGAATGCTGTTGCTCGCAACGATCGACGCATTCGTCGAACCAGAGCCATCGATGACGATCCAGAGAAAGAAATTGGCTTAAATCGAATCATTAAAGTTGTTTCATCTGGCGATTTAACATTCCCAATTGCAGCACCGTTAAATGCGAGCGAAGAACAGCCAACGGTTGTAATTTCCGGTCATGAAGAAGGTCTGATTTGTATGACTACTCCTGGATTCACAATTTCATTAGTGGTTCTATTGAGCATTTTATTTTCGTCGTGCATGCTGTCTGCATTCCTATACATCAGACTTCGTCCATATTCAATCAGTGTCAAAGAGCGTGGAATTGCATTCACTCCAACGCCATCGCCAACACATGCAATTCCAACCGTAAAACGAGTTGCTGGAAATACATTACCAAAAAAACGCTACGCAGTCGCATATTCCACATGAACAAAATTTAAAACGAATATAGAATATGTTTATGCATGCAAATAAGACCGGAACATTTCGAAAAGCAATTTGAAATTTATCAATTGATCGAATTGTTCCATTTGTATTCAACACATTTTCATCAAATCAAAGGAAATGTTCTCCGACATTTCCTGTTTTCAATAATTTGAAATTTAACGATCAACTCAGTTTTTCAGAAGGTGTTGTGCCATTTTAATACTTCGCTTTGCTTGGCTTTTATTCTTTTTACTTGTCAGATTATGTATGCAGATTAAAAAAGAAAAGAAAATGAACCAAATCAAACACATTAAAAGCTTTTCATGGACATTATTTTTCATTACTCATCGAAAATGCAATCAAGAATTTTTTTTAACCGATTTAAAAAAAAAAAAAGAAATTAAATTAATTCAATTATTTTAAATTTGAAGGACAGTTTAATGAAAAAAACAACAACAACAAAAACAGTAACAGTACCAAATAAGTGAATAAGTAATTAAGTTTAAATTATTTTAAGAAAATTCTCTTTTATTAAAATGCAATGTATGTAAATGCTCTGATTTTTATACCTGCACTTCTTGTGTCAGATGCACAATGGTTGCTTGAAAAAACAATAACGTTACAAGCATATAGCATTTTCAGACATTGTATAATTATACTTTTTCGGGCATTATTAAATACGGATAAATTCAAAATTCTCGAATCAAATTGTTTGCTACTAATTTATTTCACTTTAGATATACTCACATAAAATTTGATTTCAATCCATCCCGGAAATAAAACAGCTTAATAAGGAAATTATTCGAAAAGGAGAACAAAATTGATCCATCACAAAATGTTCTATTATTGCTATGACCAGTATTGTTTGAGTTTAGCAAATATATTCTGATTTTTTATTTTGAGTGAACTAATTAAAAAAACAGTTTTTAAGTTGTCGATTCTCAATCAACTATAGACAACAATTAGTAATCGAATTTTGTTTCGAGACCGCACAAAATTTCCGTTTCCCCATCTTATTAGTATCAGTTCTATTATTTAAATTATGAATAAAACTGTAACTTAATAATTAACCATTATTTATTGTGTGCATGTAAAAAGTATGAAAGTTATTGCATATGAAGACTTAATGATTGAATAATTTACACTATAAGTCCAAATGATGTAATACATTGAACAGTTTAAAAAATAAATAAATAGTTTTAAAACTCGAATGCGATGTTCGTTTTTATTTATGAAAATTTGTTTTGATACTCATAGAAAAATGTGCACGAGTCCGGAAGTACCAAAAACTGATCACATGTGCGATTCTGGTACAATGTGAACAGTGTTATGGCATGATGTTGGTTTTGTAGTCGAAAATACATCTATATGAATTTGATTATAGATCCGAACAAAATTGTTCATTACTTACTTTGAGAGTTCTTTTCCAAAATGAATCATTTCACAAATCTATAACGAATCAATTAAATTAAAAAAAAATAATTTATTTAATTTCATTTATTTTTCTCTGTGTTGATATTCGTTAGCGAAATATCGTTACAAATTTATTAATTATAAATAATTTCTGAATAAATAGCTCTCTAATTAAATAACTATGAAGCGATACATATGAACAAAGTTTCTTTTCACTAAATAATAGGATTTTTGATTGAACATTGTAATAGAGCGCGAGATTCGGAAAAACCAATCAGAATTTGCCATATTTGCTGCAATAAAGTGAGTGTTGTTCGATATTAGCTAGATGTCACTTCATTGTGAATTTCAAATGGCAAATTCTCAAAATGTTCTTTTGCCCACGTTGGAATTTTTTTTTCGTCCAAGTAAATATAAGGTGAAATGTTTATTTTGTGTTGCCCCAGCCAAGCTAATGAACACTCATTCCATTTAGAAGATAATCAAAGTCGATCGACTGGTCGCACAATTTTTGCAAATGAATGAAGCATCTTCAATGTTTTTTTTTTTTTCACACGAAAGACTAGTAACAATGCTTTCTTTTAAACTTTTTGTTTGATTATTATTCAACTCGATAGGTACACTTTTTCAATTTTTTTATATTTGAAGAGGTTCATTTTATCAAATTCATTCATATAAAGTCTACAACTAAATAAATTATGTACGATCTATGGGCAGAACAAACGTAATGTTAACAACATCAATAGTTTTTATATCGAATATGAATCTTATGAAAGCATTAAAAACTTTATTATATGCTTATGAATAATGGATTTTCTTTCAATTTTATTTTTATTTTGTTAAAGCCGGGCTTAATCTCTTTAGTTTTTGATTATTGCTTTTTCTTCCTCTTTCTATTGCTCTCTGACATTTTAAATGAAAAATAATAAACTGGTGATTGGCCAGAGTGAAATGCTTTGGCGGTTTTGCTATTCAATCCTAATATTCATGTCGTTTTTTTTTACTGCTATTCATCCGGCAAATTCTGGCTTTCATTTGCGTTAATATTGCAGATATTCAGTCAAAAGTCATGAAAATTCTAATTTTAATTTGGTGGCATGACTCTTTTATTATGTTTACAGAAAATGTTGCGTTGTTTTCTTACTGTGGCGTTGTTAAACCGGGATTGCCAACACCGGCATCGCACGCATGTATATTATTCATGCGAAATAGTCGAAGGGTCATCCAAGATGCAAATGTATGGGGATTCATACTGTTGTTTTGTGCTTCAAAAGCAGCCTTCTGCAGTTGATAGCGGTAGAGTAGCGAGCCGGCAATGAGAGCAGATACAACGGTTGCCGATGTAACCAAAATAAATAGAACACTGAAGCCCGGAACCGGCATACAAATGCCATACACAACTTCTTCTGCGATTTTACCTTGGAATACAGTTTCAGTTTCTTGTTTTCCTTCACGTGGACTGAATGCCAAATCAGCTTCCGAAATAACATCAAATACACCAGTCACACCAATATCAGCGCTTCGTGCTTGTCGATCGGACACAACGACGGATCGTCGGTGTCGAGCCCGATATGTTCGATTTGCGGCTGTGAATGTGCGGAAAAATGGACGAACTTCTTCGCCAAGATTTAATGATCTTGGTCCAGCCATTGGTGGCAAACCCATTCGATCTTTTCCAAGGTGGCGTGGTCCTGTTAAAAATATCATTGATATTTATGTTAATAACATTTAATTTTATTTATTTTAATGAAGAATTGAACATACCCTGCGGGAATTTTTCTGCCTTTTCTGCCTGTGCCTGTTTCGCCTCAAGATATGCCTGACGCAACATTTCGTGCATTGGTGGATCTTCTGGCAAAATATCATCAATATTATCTTCATATACTTCATGTACTTGATGTGCTTCAGGGGCAACGGATGTCGGTTGCTGTAATGCAAGATTTTGTGGATTCATCGACATTTCATTAACCTGTGCCTGAGCCTGTGGTTGATCAACTTCAGTTCGAACAAATTGTGGTGGCTGTTGAGTTTGTTGTGTTTGTGGTTGTGGTGGTAGCGGTGGTAATGGTTTTTCTTCATTTTGTTTTTGCTGCTGAATTTTTTGTTGAATCTGTTGGTGGATCTGTTGTTGAAGTTTCTGTTGTTGTTGTTGCTGCTGTTGTTGCTGCTGTTGTTGCTGCTGTTGTTGCTGCTGTTGTTGCTGCTGTTGTTGCTGCTGCTGCTGTTGTTGATGATGATGATGATGCTGCGGTTGCATTTCTAACATTGGTCCATGTTGATGTTGTTGCTGTTGCTTTTCGGATATACTGGACACATCCTTTGAATTACTCTTGCTCTTCAAACCAACAACTTCGGCAATTTGATCATAGAATGATGTTTCTTCCTCATCTTCGTCGTCGATGATGTCACTGTCCTGATCGATATTGTCATGAACTGCGTTATGATGATCGACATCCAAACGATTATTTTCGTGCTCAATTGCCGGTTCAATCAGTTCTTGTTCAACTATATCATGACGTTCATTGCTTCCGGTCGCTTGACAATGATCTAAACAACCGTGTCGACAAATTTCCACTTTACATTTGATATGCACACTTAAAGCGTCCGGAAATTTAAAAGCATGGAAAAATGCATAAGTTATAACTGTTGCTTTTTCATCGGGAGCGCGAGCCTTCAATACAAATTTCGATTATTATTATAAAAAAATACAATTTTTATTTCTTCATCGTTTACCTTCAAAAATCGCGAAATCATTTTTGGACGGAGAACACAACCATACTCATCAGACAGATTTATTACGTGACCGGCACCATCGGACGCAACACACGATTTTACACGCATATCAAATTCACCTGAAAACATATGGCATGTTATTCACAGTAATCAATCATTGTGGTTAAATTAGATAGATTGCTCCAAAAATTCATTTTTTAACGTTTCAAAGTAGATCGTGAGAAATGATTCATTCATTTTTAAATTAATGGAGGCTTTATTGAATTATCTCGAAATTACTACAAAATGTATTTTCCAACAAACAGATGAAGATCAACATCATGAAAATAAATTAATTACCTCGGTAGTCGTTAATAGCCACAACAAGAGTTAAGGTGGATCCAATCGGAACAATACCACTTACAGGGGGTGCCCATGGACCTTTACCACTTTGTATTTCCATCCAACAATCGACATTATCGCCTACAAATCAATAAGGTTAATGTCAACATTAAATCAGATCGTTCCCTTAAAAAAGAGTCATAATATTACCTCTAAAGTCCAATTGTATTACATCCAAATCAGCAATAACCATCGGTGGCTTCGATGCGGTCTTCTCATAATCATTGAACCATTCACATCGTAGTCGTTTTGCCTCATCCCAAACTTCGAGCAAATCTTTGTCGTATTGAATAACAATCTAAACGAAATTATATATTAAATATATGAAATTTCCATTAAGCAAAAACGAAATGCTATCAAGTTATCGACCTATCAATAATAATTTTGAAATTAACGAGTAAACTCAGTATGTAAATTTCTCTAATTATTGGTTTTTTGATAGTGAACTCAGTTTTCTCGTTTTTTTTCTCTATTCATCAACTTTCTTATGTTTAATGTTGAAAATTTTCAATGTTTTGCAAATAACATTTAAAAAGGTTAATGGAAAAACTTTATAAAATTCTTAGAAAATCATTTACTACAAAGAAAAAAGAAGAAAAAGCTTAGTTCGAATACACCGTTTTAGAATCAATAACAATAATAGTCGTCAATAATGTATGCAGTGTTTGCTCCAATTTTTTGTTTGAATGAAATAAAATAATTTGTGATTATGAAGGACATTTGTTAGTATTTTGCGCATGCGATGATGGTAAACTCAACCCGTTAACATACTTAAAATAGTGCTTAAGCCAATATTTACAGTAAAAATGACCCCAATTTGGAATCGATGAAGATAAAATGCAACAAGTATCGTCGTAAATACAACAAATCGCTTAATCAAGCGACTGTGAATGTCTACGTACGGTATTTTCATAAAATTGACCGTTTAAATCCGGTTTTGTTCCACACCGTGCATACGCTATCCGAAATGCATAGAATGTCTTTCCCGATGATGGAGGCACATAAATACATCTCGGATCGCTGTGTTGACCTACATAATTCCGTCGCGATGCGATAAGAAGAGAACAGAAAAGAGGAATGAATGCGTTTGATATTTTTGCGATAAAAAAAAACAGCAACAAAAGAAACAAGTGGCGTATGAATCGCCGAAGACAATCTCATATATATTATTTCTCTTTTTAAATGGATTCCAATTTTATGCGAAAAAAAATACAATATTGATCTTTTCACCATAATTTTGAAAACGAAAAATAATAGAATATGAAGTCTGTCATATAAGCATACCTTTGGAGCTCACAATACCATCAAATGGGGCTGAAAATGATAGATGCACATCCATGTGATCCTTACCGCACATAACTAATTCAACGGATAATGTTTGATGAAAAAAAATTATGAACGAAATTAATTTTACGTTTCACATGAATATTAACATTATGTTTTTGATCAAATCACCTTCTAAAGAATTTATCGTTGGCATTCCATCTGGTCGATCTAGGGGCCATATTTCGTTACCAGCTAATACTAAATTAATCTGTAAGTGTCAAAATAGAATTATTTTAATCCCGTCAAACATTTACGTTCTACAAGATCCGGAAAGATTTGACTTTATCATACAATGATTATAATATCTAATGTCAATAATAATTTTGTCCCATAATACGTTTCCAAGTTTGTGCTTTTTATTTTTTTTTTATATAAAATATGGGATTTATGAATTTTTTGAGAATTAAACCATTTAAATTAATTAAGCGAAATAAATTGAAATATGGTCGGCAATATTTAAATGTCTTGCCACTTTCTTTTCATTCTTTACATGACAATGATCAATTTTATGAAAAAAAAAAAAAAAAAAAAACAGTTTTATCGCATTACTTTATATCATGTTCGCACTGACGTTGACACCGTGGTTATAAATAACAAAGCTATCATGGTGTTTTGTTTTCGCTTATACTTTATTTTTTGTTTGATTTATTAATTTTTAACTTACCATAAAACTAGAGATTATATAAACGGTTTTTAGATCCCACAACCTCGTAGGATCTCTGTGGGAGCTCCACATTTTGGAGCAAATTTTTGTATTATATTCTGTAAATATGAATCTGAAAAGAAAAAGAAAATGAAGAAGACACTTTCAATTGATGTCACTTGATAAATTGTTCATAGATCAACAGTAGAAAGAGTATAAATTTATACGGCATAAGCCATAAATAGTTTTATTTAAAAAAAAAATTTCATTTCTCGTAAATAACTAATCATCTTTTGTAGATAAACGCTTACACATTTTTCTTATACAAATGAAGAATATTTTCATCATCAAGTTAAAGCAATAAAAAAAGCTCATAGTACTTTGGAAAAATTTCATTGAAAATTGTATACTGGATATTCTGACGTTCTACGCAGACGGCCCAGATTCCATAAAAATGCGACAAGTTTCTTCACAGGTGATTTTATGGTAATTTGACATAGAGACATGAAAATACTTTTCATTTGAATATAATTCTCGATATTAAAATGAGCAGACGGCTGGAAAACATGGAAAAGTTTGTGAACATTTTTTTCACAATGAGTTTTCAAACACCATTGTTATTATATGAGAAAATAAGCAGCTGTTGATGGGCTGATTTTTTCACGTTATGAATATTAACGGTATTTATTAATATGATTAAGTGCAGGGCATATGTTCCAGTTTATATGGCTGAGCGATAACACCCGCGATAGTCTGAAATGGCCGATTTCACCCATGCATTCTATAATATGCATAAAATAGCAAAAAAATATTTTTATGACATGAACTCATAGTTTATTCAGCAAATAAACCGATCTGAAATTATTCATTCATTTCACTAAACATTCGCGAAGTCAATTATTGGTATAATCAACCGTTGCAATCAATACTTATTATTTATTATGTGTCTTTAGTTGATAATTTCAGAATAGAGAATATCAGAACATAGAAGTAAATAAATGATTTGAATTGTTTTATTCATTCGAAGTTGATAAATTGTTGTGTGTAGTTATTTTCTTCTCATTCTTCTTTCTTCGTTTGATTCAAACTGGTTTGAAGTCTGATCGTACAGGTGAATTACTACAGAACTGTGTTGCCCATTTCGCACAGACGAGCTACTGAATTGCTCCAAAGAAGGAAATTAAATAACCCATAGCCATAATCATTCTAATATAACAATATAGAATTTTCCCGATGTAGTGCCAAGTTAATGTGAAATATCTATTTTTATTACTTGGCTTTACCTCGCCGTTGGCATGCGACGTCTTAATTGAATATGCTCTTGCGAACGATCAGAAAAATATTATTATTTGGTTTTATTTGTACCATTTTATATGGCCGGGAGATGAAGCACCAGAACACAACCAATGAGTTGTGGCTTTTTTGTAAAAAATTTCTTTAGAAAATTCTTCAGTTCAATTACTTAATTTAACTTTATAAGAAACTTTTTTTTAACTTTGTTTTTTATCCATTTTGTGTGACAAAATCATTTTATCTTTCGGAAAAAAATTTTAACATAGAAGTAACTAACATAGGATTCATATGCGAATGGCGTGTGAGTGGAGTGTGTCATGCAAAATTTTGTCTACCAAAAATATTAGATTCACTTTACATGTACACAGCTTTGTTTTGTTGATTTTGTGTTTGAGCAAAAAATCATTCTGTTCGTCATTGTTTTCACGCCCATGAAATAATCAACCATTCTGTTTGTTAATTTCTCTTCAATTCCTCTTTCAATTGTAACATTCTGACAATTGTGTTGCATGATATCGTCTACTATGTGTATCATGTCACGAACGATATCACTATAGTATTCATGCAATCAAGATGAAGTAATTCCAAAATAATAATTCTATTGTTGAAAAAATTGCTTTGTTCTAATCTCTGACCATCATTTTGCATTGCTTTTTAAGTGTGTGTTAATATACACGAGATGCATTTAAGAAACAGAAAAACCGACTTAAATGGCATAAAAATATGTATGTATAGACTTGTTATTTTTTGATGATGCTGAAGAAATGTTCAGTAAACACTTAAACACATTTGGCCGACAAGATCATATGCTGTTTGAAATTGTCAAATAAACCAGATTTTTGTTTATACCACAAAAACTTGTTAATTCGTAAAAAATATATAACCGTTGAAATGACCGCAGTGATACGCCGCGACTTGCGCCGTGGAACGAAGAAAGTGAATGAACTCACTTTCTTCACGAATTTGTTTTCTTCCAAAATTTGGATAACTATAGAAATTAAACCGTAGTCATTACTTTGGTGAAAAGATGCATTTCAATGCTTGCTGTTCATTCAAAACATGTTTTGTTTCGTTCAAAAATAAACGTGTTTTTGCGAAGTTCGTGTGTTCAAATTTCAGTGAGTCAGCAATCTTTAAACAAATACTTTCCATTTCAAATTTTATATTCTGATTATTATTTTTTTTTCTCGCTACTTCGCCCGTGTTTTTTTTCTTTTTCAAGACATTGGATAGTGAAACTTAGAAGAAAAAAACGTGCAACGAAAGAAGACAATGATTTCGATTCCATTCCTTCACGCATATTCACGGCTTTGAATGTTCATTTTAGTTCATTGAGAATAAAGAAAAATTCTTTGGATCAATTTCATTTTTTATGCTGACGATATTATTTCGTTTTAATGGATGTTAACAAAGCTATTCGCAAAGTTCCATTTGAAACCTAATTGAAAGCCCCTTTGTTTAGGCGATTTGTGGTTTGACCATAATAAAGCTAAGAGACAAGAAAGTATAATGTGTGTACGAGTGGATTGATGTGAATTGATTCATTGTTATTTTGATGCAAATGATCTTTTCACAGATTTGAAAGTCCGGCATAAAGATGCAAATGCGCACGAGCGATCAGATATTGTGAGAGATTAGTGTGAATTAATTAAATCAATACATCAAATCTAACAGTTTCGAGTGAAGTTTCATAAATGTTTTGTATATCCAAATTCTGTTTTCGATAAATGTAAAGAATTTCGTTCAATACATATTTGATTCACCAAATCCCACTTCCACAAATGAATCAATGGAAAATTGAAACGGATACCAATTACTCATCGAGCATGTGCACATATTTGAAATGCTCTAATAGTTAGATGGAAATCTACGAGTTAAGCATGATCGAAATATTTTCGTTCCGTACATGCTTTTTTTATTTTTCGCTCTCTCTGTCTCTCTGTCTCTCTTATTCACTCTTAATAAACGTGTAACGGTTGATTTTCTCCAAACAGAAAAACTGCAGAGTAGAAGCGAAAAGAGAGAGATAAATATATAACCGCAGAGTAGGTATCACATGTGAGTTTTGTGCGCTTTCAAGAGATAGATATACTAATTGTACATGATTTCAGCTGCATGCTCACGCAATGCATATACGAACGATGGTAAACAAGGTGGATTTCTATTGAAAGTTCGAACAAGTTGATTTTCGTCACGAGCACTTCATTTCTGGTGCAAATACGCTGCATTGGAACGGTTGCACTATTCATTGGAACATATTTGCGTATGCGAATTATACTGAGGCGTATCGAACTGAATCTGATCATGAACTTCAAAAACTTGTTTAAAGCCCGTTGATTTGCTCATTTCTTTACATAGACTTTACATTTCTTTTTTGTTTTTTCGTTCCGCTTTAATTTGTTTTAATTGCAAATGATTTTTACTACAATTATCCAAATAAAAATGTGATTGATATATTTTCTGCCAACGCATATTTTGATTGATATCTCTGGTATGTATGCTGAAAATTGTATTTTAACACAAAGCCAATTATAAAATAAGACAGAAATTTGATGAATTGTTAATTAAAGTGGTCCCTGAATCAAAATCCAACTGAATGTTCAAGACATTCATATTATATTATTATTAAATATTGTTTTTGTTGTGTCAATTAAATGGCCTGGTCAATTGAAAGCAATACAAATAGTTTATATTATTGTTTTGATAGTCATTTCTTTCGGCTGTTCGTTTGACGCCTATATGTCATTTGAAAAAGCCTCCGAGATGGCATTTTAAATGACATAAATCAATTTCATGCCTTTATACATCGTAAAGAAAGATTCATGGCGAAATTATACGCGGAGAATGGATCGAAAATTTTCAGTCTTGAATGTTTCTCAAGTGAAAATAAAACTTGTTTTTACTTGTTCTTTTTTTTTATTCGAGCGCGCACGACACCGTGATTTCCTTCATAAAAATGACAAAGCCGATTTTGCCACGGTTGCATTCGTTCATTACTTTGGATAGGAGCGAGAGAGCGTATGTTTCCCATAAGAAACGAGTCAAACTGGTAAACATAACACCTAACTTACATGTAACGAAGAATGAAAAACTTTTCGCACGTATTTATTGTAGAATTGTTTATACAGCGAATCGTCAATTAATGATCGAAACCGAAACATAAAAGCGAAAGAATGTCACTATTTTCCAATAGTGTGTATTGATCGAAAGTTTGACGGAAGAAAATTCAATAGAATCGACAAAAGCGGGCATCATGCTAACGGTAAACACGATCCAATCGAATTCATTCCAAATCCATACACTAGAAAATCATGTTATTTATGCAAATTTTTATTTCAATATAAAATAAAATCCATATGACACCAAATGGATTCGTGCCAAAACAAATTAATTGAATTCGCATTTCCAGTTTATTGCAGCCTCGAACTATCTTTATACGTACGTGGCAAATTGTTACTTGACCACACGCGCGATAAATTGAAGATTGCAAATGTTGCGCGTTTTAAAACGTCAAATCCCAAACACGTTGGATTAAAATCGTTCCGTGATTCAATCGGCATATGTTCAAACATCAGATATCTAATGACATAGGCCGATTGCTTGTGCCCAATTTTTTTTTGTAATCTATTTATCGAAGCGAACTGTTCGCCTGAACGAATCATTTTTTTCTAATGTGGAATATTTTTAATTAGATTTTAAATTAGATGGATTCGTATATGCTGAAAAAAATAATGAGACGACCTGAATAGATGAAACACCTGTGCGATTTATTGACGCAGTGAATTGTAATGTTTAATAGCAAAACAAAATAAAAACAAATGCTGCGAATGGGCTAGATCGTTATTTTTTTCTCGCGATCCGAACCACTTTTCCTTGCCTTAGATTCAAGTGTGTGTGCGTTATGAAATTTAAAATAAATAGAACGAAATGATTCGAGAGTCGAAAAAAAGGGTAAGAAACTGAAAACTTAATGATACACTTTAAATAGCAATTACCGTAAATATTTTCGGTTGATGTTGTTACTCTTCTTTCTGCCGGCGTCACTGACGTTGAATATTTGTTTCTTTGTGTTGAACCAGTTTCACGAAATTGTCCAAAAGTTATTTTCGTTCTGGATCCAAAACTTCAGATGCCCCGGTCAATGTTCCATTCAAGATTTCGTTTCATTCATTAGTAAAAGACCAGCGAGTACAATATCAACACAGTTCTTTTTTAAGTTTATCTCTCTTTTTTTTTGGTTTTTCGATTCTGGATGCTTATTTTGCACTTTTAAAACACTGTGATAACAAAAATTATTAAAGATCAAGTAATGTAAAATTATTTAATCAGTGGCTTTATTTGTTGGATTCTACATAAAAGCGAATGAAATCTTCATTTTCAATATAGCACACTTTTACACCATTGGACTTTCTCCAAATTGCGTCTTACAATATTCTCTCTCGCTCTTTCTTTCATTCCGCGTTGGCTACTTTCGTCACTATTGATATATTTCTTGTGGACAATAGAGGACTTCGATAAATGGGTATTTTGATCGGAATTTTAACATGTTTCGCCAATTCAGAATAATAATAGAGCATATGGATGGGACCTAATAAACTCGTGCTATTTGGTGTTTGCACTTCATTTTTTTTGTTTGCTTTTGTAAGCAAGATCTCCCAAAGTACACTATAATTTTGAAATTATGAATGTGCACACACAAATGATACCGCATAAGAAAAGAAAAATAGCAGAGAAAAAAAAAGAAAAGAAAATAGAGTTGTATGTCGAATTTTGTTATTTATTTGCGTCCGCAACTAACGTAAACAAGACACACTTAGATTGGTAGGTAGGTCAGATGAAGCGCACCAACGATCCAATTGAAACTTCAAAGTCAAGTGAGTGAGCATAGCACATAATTTTTGTATTTCTTCTTCTATCTCTGTGTTATTTGTGTTTGTTTGTTTTTTTCTAATTCTTTCTTTTCGTTCATTTTACGTCTTCAATTCTGGTTGTATTATGTGTTACGTCTATTCTTCGCGTTATACTGCAAAAAGCAGAACGCTCGGGTGAGAAGAATAGCTGGCAAGAGACAGTAAATTGTCCAGAGGGAACAGCGAACGCCTAAATATTGCTGTCAGACAACGGTTTGCATCTCATCTCATTTTAAGCCAAATCGGACATTGATTGAATGAAAAATGTTGAACATGATAGTAAACTTTGGGCGTAACTCTCTTGGCATGAATTGTTTTACTTATCACGCGTTCACCATGGCTAGAGTAATTGATTTTAAAGTAAGATGAAAAGAAACCATCCAACGGAATCACATTTCGGATTCGTTTAGCTCTGATGCCGGTGAATTTGATGGAAAGTTTCTTTGTCACATCGATAGTTTTAGTAACCGGTTGCTTGGTGTATATGTGTGTGTGCCTATGGAATTTCCTATCAAAAGTGGGCGATTGTTTGTATTACGGCTAATCGAAAGAATGACCGCAATTCTCACACAGTCGTTGGAACCTACTCAGTTTCAACCATATGAGAACCTACAAATTTTATACGTCCGTATCTCTATTTCATGTAAATGAAATGAGAATTCACTTTCTACAACGAAATATGAGAAATCATTTGTGAGAATATCTTTTGAATCTTTCTGTCAATGTGTTTATAATAAATTCAAAATTCGATAAAAAATGCGTATTTTATGTGCTTATTTTTTTTTAAATGAAAAATGGAAACAATTAGAATAACAAAGAGATGAGTGAGATTCTGTTTGTACAACATTTCATTTTTCTCTTTCCATAATGATTTTCACCGTTGACAATATGCAAACTAACATAAATTTGTGTTGTTCTTTTTTTTTCTTTTCGTTTCTTCGTTACTTTCTTGTTACAGTTTTATCGAATTTTCTTTCGTTTTTGAGACGATGAATATCGTTGGTATGAATTATAATCAAATACAAAATACAAGACAGATTAGTAATGCCAGCGGCTGTATTTAAGAATCGTATTGTCAAGTAAACGTAATTATCGGAACCACAATGGACTTCTATCCGTTGTTGTTGTTGTGGTTATTTTGAGCAGCAAATATTAATATGTGTGTCAAATTCGGTTAAATTGAATCCAACCAATAATAAAGCCTGGAGTATATAAATCCATTAGCGACCGTATGTGCCTATTGTTTGCCAACCTACTCATTTATCATAAAATAAAATCATTAAAAACAAAATTTGATTGAGTGCTCAAACTGTAGTTCATGAATGAGTTTTTTTTTAATTATTATGTTAAAAATGTAATCCGTTAATATCTATGAGTAACGATGTGAACGTTTAACAATTCCAACTGAAGCGTTCGGTAAATTGATGGTCCTCATTTTGGGTATCCACCGCTTCTTATTATGCCTTTGTTAATCTGATGGGTGGCGCCCAACGAAAACACCATGATTTTGTCATGGAAATTGAGATTCAGCGTAACTCGAACCATTTTACTCAAATTACTGGAGTTTGGTTAAAAAATGAAGCCCATATATTCTTTTTTATCATAAAGCTGCTGCATTTTATCAACACAACAAATATTGAGTATACAGTTTACATTACAAGTACCGTTTAAAAAAAAGAGTAAATTTTCTACTACTTAGTTTCAGTGGCGTGGATTCCATTTTTTGTGCATTAAAATTTCTCCCGGTACTCATATTGACATGGTAAATATTGTAACCGCTGTTTGAAGTGCCATATCTCATGTTTCTCCTCTTGCCATTCATAATTGAATGATTCAAAGCATAACTCACTGCTCTAATATCTGTATATCAGATGGAAAAGTAAATTTCATACAACATTATAATTTCACTTTATCTCTTCTATTTCGTGTTCAAAGAATCTCAACGTAAAAGAAGAGAAAATAAACAATTTGCTTACGCAAAGTGGTGAAATGGCCCTGAACGTCGAAAGAACAACGTTGTGTGTCGATCGCTAAAGACACAAATTTACACACTCATGCACACTGTCACATTTGTTCAATGGGCAAAAAGCATTGTCACCGCGAATCTCACCGTGTTTCTACAACAACACAACAGCATATTGGTGATATTTGTTTTATTTATATGCGTATTTAAATTAAATAGATGGGAGAAATTTTTATTTACAAACGAGTCAAGCTCAAAAGCTTCTTAAATGATACACCGGTTTTTCAACTCGCAGCTATTTAGCTGCTTTCGAGATATGAAATCTTAGCTGCGCGAAATTTTCTCTTATGTTTCTCACCGTGTTGATGTGTCGTGCAACGATATTTCATTCAAATGATCTGGTTGATAATACCAAATTCTGTCAACAATTGCACTGCATCGCCGTGTGCATACGTAAATATGCTGCTATTTTGATGACTCTTTCTCTCTCTCTCTCATACACACACATTGCAATTAATAAATTAGACGAATGAAGGTGATTTATTGCTTTTAACGCGTAGATGTAAAAGCAAACTTTCCAGTTGATCAAATGCACATGGAAAAGGCATAGTCATCCTAAGTCTATCATAATGGAATAATCACATGTTGTAGCAACGAAAGAATGTGTGAATTTATGAGCGGCGGTGATGAGACACTCACATAAATACGTCGATAACACACAACGAGAATAAAGCGCCGACAACACTGACAATGCCAAAAAATATTTTAATAAAGATGAAATAGAGACTAGTTGCTTAAGTGAGCCGAACGGAGTGATCAAACTGCAATTTTTAATCTCGTTACATTTAACATAAGAATTGAGGTCACCGAACAGTTACCATGCACACATTCAGCGTGTACAAAATCACGCATGCCAACATCATTTGCAACGTATCGTCTCTCATACACTCATCGTGTTCGCTCGTTTCGAGATTGTTTGTCAGATGCTAAGAGACGCTGCCACTTTTTTTTTAATATTTCGAATGCTACGGTGCACTTTCATAAACCAGTCATATTCGATCGAATTCTTGACTTGTAATTTTTGTTGCTATTTTCGATGGCTGTTGTGAAAGATTTGATAACGATTTTCTGTATATGTTCCCAATTTCTTTGGTATGGTGTGGTGTGACCAAAGCACGATGGCTTGCATGAGCCAGCGGTTGATACGCTCATATTTTTTTTCGCTCATAGTAATTTATCATTGAAGTTAATGAGTCCGTGAAAAAACAACAACTAATTTTTAATGCTTGTTCGTTTCGAAGGCTCATTTGATTGTTCGAAAGAAATAATATTCAGTTAACTAACTAAAGTTTATCTAAAGTTAAACTAAACTTGTTTGAGAAATCGATCAATGTTGAACAAATTTACATCTTTCCAGAGCGAGAAAGAAAGAAAACAAAAACATGAAAAATGTTGTGCACTAAAAATGATTTTTTTCCGTTTGCCACCAATTAACGGTAGTTTCAATATATTTTTTTAAATTTACTTATTTCAACACAGCAAACCACAAAAATATTTTTTTTTGTCACAAATTAAAAAATAAAATCAAAACTCACACTAAAATATTTTCTCTTGAATTGGAAATTCGATGTTGGGTTGAATTTTTCTTTTAATTTAAAAAAAATCGTAGCTGCACGTGCTTACGTCTAAGCAGTCTACCACAGAGTATTCAATGATGGTGCAAACGAGTCTCGCTTACCTGTTGCTCCAACAAAACAACTGTTTCTTTCGATTCTTTTTTGTATCTTTCTCCCATCGGAAATGCTTGTGCTTCGCATTGCTTTCTTCATTCACCGTTTAAGCTTCTCTCAGAGTCAGACCTGCTGTTGTACTTCTGTACCGCATTTTTTTTATTCTCTCTCTCTCTCTCTCTCTCTCTCTCTCTCTCTCTTTCGTTACTCATTTTGTTCGTCCGCTGAATAGCATTTTGTACAGACGTTACGAAAGAAGATGTGTGCCACTGACGGATCCGAACCAATGTGTACAATACGGCAATTATGTTGCTCCGCTAACCTATACAAAACACATCTTCCAACAGAGACAGATAGAAAAACCGACTCCAATAGAGTAGATGAAATAGAAATAAAACCGACTGACGCAGTTCGGCAGACGCAGAACAAAAGATGCGATCTAGAATGGAATCAATAATTGGATTGTGTTTATAGTTCTTTTATTGCTTTCGTAGCAAACAACACCTTCCAAGTCTTTTCATCGATCGTGTCACGAGACATACTGTTGATGCTGCGATCATGTAATGTACACGCGCAGTTCATTTTGACTGGGTTTATTAAAATACAAAGTCATGAGCATACATTTAATTTCAAATTAAAACTTCCAGTTTGAATTTTGTCCGCAAAATGAAATAGGTGAATTTTTTACAAAGACGATCAAGCCCAAGATTTTGCCAAACACAACATAATAATAATTGTAGAAAAAACATAGTAACGGTCTAAATAGCACGTATTCCACATCAACATTTTTTTTTCATGTATGCGCTCAACAGAACCAATACGAATATGAATCCGTTTGTTTCGTTTCTCTCAGAAACCACACAGCACATACATAGTTTTATGGCTTCTAACCGTACCTACCAGCAAGAATGCATCGATATTGATATCACACGAACATTTCTATTTATGATGATTCTATCTATTTTTGTCGTTGGTTTCACGATGTATAATATAAACCCAACCCATCGAACGCTTGGTTTTAAGAAATATGGTTTTAAAATACAAATTGTCTTTTTTATTTGGCTATTTTCTATCTTTAAATAAGAGAGGTATGTGCTTTCATTTGGAAAATTGAAAAGAACACTTTTCCTAAACACTATATTTTCGGTAAAATGGCAATCTTTCTGAATTTAAATTGGAAGTATAAATATCTTAATCCAATGTTTTGTTTTAAATTGACGAACCCTTCTTATTATTCATCACGAATAATGAAAATTAAGATACAACATTTTCCAATATTGTCATCTTTAAAACACGCAAACACTCAGTTTTAGTGACGTCAGTTCGCCATAATTATTGAAATGTAACTACTGAATCTATCTTAACTGAATTGATTAACTGGAATAATCTGTTGTAATTTAATTGTTGAGTTAAATCATTTTTCATTTAGTTTATCTTTTTTTAAAAAGAGAAAATAAGTGTTGAAACATTTTTGTTTTAGAAAAATTAAATCAAACAATCAGAAGACAGCACTGAAAGCGGGTAAGTTATTGTGTGATTCTCTGCGCTCGCAGTCATTCGTTTGTTTGAATATATGTACTTTCATCGTATATTATTTAAATTATTCTTTGTTTGAGATAATTTATGTTGCATATTCATGTTCTGCAATGATTCTCATCTTTTTTCTAACAGAAAAAATATCATCCATATTATTGTTCTTTGTGTCTGTAATCGTTGAACTGAATTTCTATCAACTGAATGTTAAGTTAATTGGAATTCGAGTGACACGCGGCACAGACTCATTGGTGTTCGTTTTGTTCTTTCAAGAGAATCATATTTGCACGATTTTGATAAAATTTCATCATGTATTTGCTTAACCCACTTTAAATTCGCATAAGTTTCGCTGAAAGAGAGCCATTAGGATGCGAAAATACATGACTTAATATTATAAATGCAATTAAAAGCAAACAATAGTTGAATAATGGCTTATTATATTTACTGCACATATGAATGCACGTCACATGTTACTTATTTCACAGAAACGGCGAAAGACGACAGACAAGAAGTAATGTCAGTGAAGTAAATATTTTGATCCAATTAAATGCAAACTATTCGTAAATTATACTCTATCATAAACGTGTCTGGTGGTGCTTTAAGCTAATAAATTAATCACGTTTTATTTTTTGATATTTCTTTAGACATATTATATTCATATTAACCCGCATTTTTCGCCACAAAAACTTTGACGAATATCAGAATTTATACCATTTATTATAATTAGAACATTTTACAACACCATAAAACCGTTTCTTGTGTGTGAAAAGTGACTTAACATATTACCGCTCAGTACGCATGCATTGATTTTATTATACACAAATAAATCACAACTAATTCAAATATCGTTATTCTTATCAGCCATATATTCTGTTACACTTTACGACAAAATTCTTCAATTAATTTATCTTTCTCAGAAGAAGTGAAGTCACAATTTAGAGAATAACTTCAATGCGCTGTATTCACTGCTCAATATTCTGTCTTCATTGACGATCGAAACGGTTCAAATAATCTTGTTTATCGCACTCAGAAGAAGATAATTAATGAGTGAAGTACAATTTTTGAAAAAACTATAAGCTACTGGAAAATAGGAGATCATTAGAGTTTTGGCCAACCCGCTGGAAATGCTCGAGAAATAAAACCGAATACTGTTTTCAGGTAAAAATTAATACTTTTCAAATACTCACGTGTCGAATCTGAAATCTTGATCAAGGTTATTCATTCCATATCGATTGCGTCAAGATAATAAATTCATTGAAGATAGCGATTTAATATGACTACTTCGAAGAAATTGCTGTAAAAGTCATATTCAATCGTAAAATTGTATAATTTTATAATAATTGTATTTTTTTTTTGTTTTATTGGAATAACCATAGATTTGCTTCTGACCCATAATTCATCCATTTTTTATTTTTCGAATTTACATAGTAAAGAATAAAGATGCGAGAAACATGCAACTTCTGTTTTATTGAATCGCTGTCGTTAACGAATTTTTTTATTAATATAATAGATATTGCCTGGTTAATCATCATAACTAGAATAGAAACATCGTTAATATGATTAAATTAAAATATTGATTTACAGTGAAACCGGCTCTATCTCTCTCCTAATACTGAATATAATTGTGCCAAATGATGTCGCACAGTGTTAATACTAAAATGCGTAAATTATCGTTTACCTATTTTAGAGAATAACTTCAATGAGCTGTACTCACTGCACAGTATTCTATCTTCATTGACGATCGAAACCGTTCAAGTAATCTTTTCATTTACAGAAAACCATGGTTAAAAGTAACAGAATTCCGAAGGGTTTCCTCAACACCAGAACAAATGATGCAGAAGTTCGTGAAGGTATTTTAAAAATTAACATTATTTTTTTTTTACAACAATAACATGGACAAAAACAAATCAAATCACAGCGAACGGCAGTTCGTTCAAGTGCCGAAATCATGGCTAGTTTTATAGTGATTATATCGTCTTTTATGTGGAAGAAAAGACAAGATTATATAGTATGGCTAATATATACTACTGCCAATTCATTAAATTTATTGCAATATTAAGTTTTAATGAACAAGCGAAGCATAGAGCCGTATGTTATATGTAGGCATCGCGAAAGTGTTTAGCTAAAAACTATATCTTTCAATCTATTGGTAGAAAAAATTCAATTATCAGTAGATTTGTAAATTTATAGCGGTAATTGAATAAAAATCCAACACACTACGCACTGTAAATGAAGTTTAATTGAACAGATAAAAATTGACAATAAATATTGGATGAAATAAAAAAATTAATTTGATACAGTATTAAGATGATATATAATGCTGTATACATTTTTATTATTGCAGATGATAAATCAAGTGAAAATATCGGAAAATACTGTATTGAAGATGCCATTCGCGCAACAGGTAACAGGTTTTTTTGTACTTCATCTTTTTATGTTTTTTGTGATCTTCGAAAATTGGATACAGTGAAGAATTTGCCAATTTTTTAGGTCATGGGCGGTTCCATATTTTCCTGTTGTTTGTGTGCGGAATTGGTATGATGAATGTGGTGATTGAAAACGTAAACATTGGCTTTGTTCTGCCCTACGTTCGTTGTGAAATGAAAATATCGACTGCTGAACAAGGACTATTAAATTCTGTCGGATACATTGGCATTGTAATAAGCTCACACCTGTGGGGGTTTTTGGTGAGCGGAACAGACAGTTTTCAAATTATTTCCAGTGTTTTTAAGTTTCGAATGAATGTTGAAATTTTTAGGCTGACACCACTGGTCGAAGACGTGTATTATTAATTTCTATGGTCGGAAGTTTTATTTGCGCACTCTTATCGGCCTTCTCCTTTAACATTTTGTCGCTTATTTTATCACGTTTATTCGTTGGATTTTTGTAAGTTCTCTGTCATTTGGCGATTAAAATCTTTTTACCAAAAAATGTTACAATATTTTTGGTTTGTCAAAAAAACAATTCAAGTGTTTCAGGTGTTCAAGCAGCTACATATAGTTATATCGGAGAATTCCATAGTAACGAGACAAGGACGAAAACTTTATCCTTTGTGGCAATGTTTATGCCAGCTTGTTTCGTCTACTTACCATTGTTGGCCTGGGCCGTTCTACCGATGGAATGGGAATTCCATCTGTCTAATGACATAAAAATATCACCATGGCGTATTTATCTACTTTTAAGTAGTCTTTTAAATGGTATTAATGCCATTTGTTTGTATCATTTGCCTGAAAGTCCGAAATTCTTACTTTCCATCAATCGCAAAGAGGAAACATTGAACGTCCTAAGAAAAATGCATTCGGTAAATATTCGAGACGATCAAAAGGTAACTGAGATACACTTTAAAATGAATGGTTGAGAATAATAATGAAACTTAATTTTTGTTCAAACTGAAGTGTCACTTCGGAATATTTCCAATAAAAGTGTCCCAAGTTTGTATATAGTTTGCCATATAAACTTGGGACACTTTTATTGGAAATATTTCGAAGGGACACTTCAGTTTGAACAAAAATTAAGTTTCATTATTATTCTCAAGCGTTCAAATGAAAGATATACTGAAAAATAGTAAATGTCATTCGCATGTGTACAGTTGTATCCGGTGAAGGATCTAATATCTGAAACCACTGGCACTGCTTTATCAGAAGTGTGCGGCATTTATGGTATTTTCAAATTGGTTTGGTGCCAAACATTGCCGTGTTTTCAACGACCAAATGTTTTAAACACCTCTATGTTATGCTACTTGATGTTTTGCCTATTCAGTGTCGGTCATGGAACATTCATGTGGTATCCAGACTTTTTAATGCAAATGCAAGATTATATCGAGAGTCCATACACTTTGTGTAACATTGTTGGCAGTAGTTTTATTTCCGCAAAGTAAAGAAAAAAATGATTCAAATTGAAATATAGCATTAAAATGTTCAACAATATCATTAATAATGTATTTTCTTCTTTCATTCATAGGAGTTTTAATTTATCTTTTGTCTTGAATGACAGCTCGGCATCGATAGATCGTAATGAATACAGTTGTGTTAACCATTCGAATACAGTAACTTTCAAAATCATTCTAATGATGGGAGTGGTATTCGTCTCGATTTCAGCCGTAGTCAGCTTTTATATTAATAAAGTGAACCGTAAAATGCTTTTAAGTGAGCATTGACCACACTTTTAACATTACTCTCTTTAGATGGATTCAGAGTTTAATTACATTATCTCACTCTTTCAGTTGGATGGCTATTAATTTCATCAGTTTTTTCCGTATCTATTGTGTTCATTCGTAATTTTTATTTAATGGCTGTTGGATTCATGACATTTTTGAGTTGCGGTTTATGTGGCGGCATAATTAGTGCAATATCGATTACAATATTTCCTACAAATATTAGGTAATCATTAAAATTCACATATTTCATTAAAAATTGCAGCAATAAGTTCTTTCTTGTTTTTGTATGCAGGGCGATGGCAACGTGCCTCATTTTGATGTTCGGTAGACTCGGTGCTGTTGGTGGGAGTAATTTTGTGGGATTTCTGTTAAATGGACACTGCGAACTCATTTTCTATTTGTATGGTTTATTAATACTAAGTAAGCTGATCCACTAGCTGCGACAAAAATAACAAATATGTAAACATATACTTTTTCTTATTTTAGGCTGCTCATTCGTGTGCTTTTTCTTAAACACAAATCCAGTTGAACTTTCAGAACAAACCAGAGATAAATCGTTTAAAATGAAATGTAGAGCATGATCGAAATGATTTTATTACTGCGGTTTTTACTTTTTTCTATAATAAGATACACTTCCTATGTACTTGGAAGTAGTACTTGATGTATCGATGTATGGACGAGTTAAAAACATAAAAAATATATCTGACCCCCGGGGGGCTTGCAGACAAACTAAGCTATTTTAATCAAAATCAAGTTTTTTCTTCAGGTACAAATTCTTGCGAAAAACCTCATTTGAAAATAATTTTCCTGGACGAATTTTCCAAAAATAAAAATATTTTTTTGTGGATTGGGCTCAGAAATTCGAAAAAGCTTATTTTAGCTAGGTGCGGGACAAACAACCCAAGCTGATTTTAAAGCATGATCAAGCAAAAATAAAATAAAATACATAAACATTGGCATTTTTCTTTCAATTCAATTTATTTTCTTAAATTATTATTATCCATTAACCAAAATTCAAAGGTCAGAAGAAAAATTTGATTCTGATTTTGTGTCTCAATTAAACTTGGGATGTCTTTCCCAAGGCGTTGTTTTCCTCGAAACTGAAATGAATTTATATTATTTCGAGATGAGTAAAGGGCTCAATTAAATGGAAAATAAATTAGCTGACGAGAACCTTTTATTAGTATCCTTGGATATGTTGTTATTCACATGTTTCCAGGTGGATGTCTTATTTACTTCTTCGGTGATATTGATTGGATTGAGTAGGGTTAATTTTTCATTTGCGATTTCCAAATCTCCAGGATATGGTGGTGGCGGTGCTTGCTTCTAAAGAAATAACAGACAGTTCAAGTTTAATAAACAAAAATCTGATTTTTTTTTTCAAAATAGTCTCAATTTTTGTTTGTAGTTAATGTATTAACTTAAAAAATCAAACAAATGATAACTTACCTCTTCCATTGTCAAATCGTGGACGTCTTTTCTACGCTTCGTTGTTTTGGGCATGATATCATCAAGAATTTCCAATTCACCATAGGTGAACACTCGATCTAGGCATAATTTTCGAATGCCAATCATTACAACCAACATCAATGGGAATAAAATTGAGGTATAAGAAAATGATTTAATCACCCACAAGAATACAAGACACGCAACTTGTATCAGTGTGAAAAGATGAACGCGTTTCAAAGGAACCTAAAGACAAGATGAGCACGATATCATAAATCCGCAAATAATTATTGATTTCGTCAAAAAATCACCTGTCTTAAGTAATTATAATCTGGTTGATATTTCACGGGCATAAACATAATTAAGATACGATCAAATAATTGAAGACCTTTCAATGAATCGACACCCATATACAAAAATACTCCAAATAACACAGGCATGGGAATATGCCTAAGTAACGGTGTAAGAAAAACGGAACATCCAATTGTTAGAAATACCAATATATGTGTGACGCGTTGTTCTCGTACACCCAAAAACTGTGGTTTCTCTCCAGGCGAAACACATTCCGATTGTAGTTTTAATGAATTGACGTGATTAAGCGACATGACCGTGGCTGCCACAAACCTTATTAAAAAAATATTTACATACAATATCTTGGATAATATTCAAAATTTCTAGTTCTTACCATGGCAGACCTAGTGTTGAGCAAATCTGGATAAGAATTGCTAAAACAAACAAATCCAAATGATAACCGCAACCTTTTTTCAATTTGTTTTCTTTGCGATTTACAATAACGGCGGTGATTTGTTGATCCAAAAAAATGAGAATAACACCTAGCAATGCTGGAAAAAATGCAATTAACCACCAACGATAATGATTTACAAACGGACTTATTATCCAGCCGCGAGTGTTAAGAGTTGGCTTGAATTCGGATGGTACTTGGAGTTTTGGCGTGGCTACATTGATATAAATGTCCAAAAGGGTCATTGATGATATAGCGATAAATACGGAAAAGTCACTTAACAATTGACGAACCTGAAGAATGATTCTAGTTTTATATTATTTGGTCGATTTTAAATGAAGAAAACAATTTTTCTTTACCGTTGATGAAAAAAATAGAGCAGTTTTGAAACCTTTTAAGGTTATCGATATGGTGAATGTTCCAAAAAATAGTACAACCGACATGAGAAATACATCTGGAATCGGTTTCGGCTTGGCACAATCTGCACCAATAAGAGTTCCATTTAATGCCTGTTAATTGTAAACACAAAAATTAATCTATTTTATCAAGTCGGTGGAATAATTACTTACATTGCATTCGACATTTGTATATGCATTGGTCGAGTTGAAGTCATTTCCATCGAATTGACAAGCACAATCGTATACTTCATCTGGAGATGCTATCGGATATTTCGCTTTAATTGATAATACATTTAGAATCGCTTCATATACGAAAATAACGGCGACCAAAGTAGCGAAATTTTCTTCAGTGAATCTGGTGATATAGCAAACCAATGCGCTAGCATCAACGGCAACCATAATAAACAGTACGATTGTAATCCAAGTACCGATCCAGAATCTATAAAAAAACACCAATTTTTATGCCCATTGACTTAAAAAGGGAATAATGATTATGCTCCACCTAAATGACATATAATCCAGTTCAGCAACTAAGCAAAAATTGTAAACAATTGTTTCAAAAACCAATACTGGTCCAGTTGATGCCAAGATTGTTAAAGCTATAAAAAGATATAATTTAATGATATTGCTGTTTCGTTATTATATCATAATTTATATTTACGTTGACCAGAGAAGAAACCATAGCCGATGCCGCAAACGAAACCCGATACTATAGATTCCATCGCTGCCATACTGTTTTCGGTCAATGTTCCAATTAGACCACCTTTATTCAAACAAAACTTTTTGTGAATTTAAAAATAAAAGCAACTTTTCGTGATATTTTGTTTAAATTTCTTACCAAATGTGATAATTGGTGATAAACAGGCAAAGTATAAAAATATCCAAGTTGCAATGCATTGAGTGGAAAGAGCGTCTTTAAAATCAGACCAATAAAACGGTACTTTACGACGCAAATCATTTTTTAAACCACCGAACAAGACACCACTTCTGACTAAGCCCGAACTTTCTCTCAATTGCATCGCCACTTTGTCATGATCAACTTCTTTTTCCATTTGTTCGAAGTCGGGTAGTTTTCTTTTTTCTTGACTGGGAATGGCGGCAGGAGGTTCAATACGTATCGTTGGGTCCCATTCGCTGGGAGGAAGTACTGTTACTGTATCTAAAAACTCATCCATCCCCGCCAACAAATCATCACGATTTTTTGCTAGAAGTAGAAAAAGCGAATAAATTAAAACTCTTCACTATGTTGTGTGCATGTCTATTTACCTCGATAAGCAACTTCGTGGAATATTTCATCAGCCATTACTGTTGCCATCGAACGTCCGATTTCACGAAAACTGCTAATACTTCCAACTGGACCGATCAAAATGAACAAGAACCTATGAGAAAAAATTATAAATTATTTCTAAAACAATAGATTCCAAACTGATCATTTTGAATAAAGCATACATTTAGGTGTTCAAAATAATCTTAAAGCAGGTAAATAGCTAATTGTGAATTGTTCTTTTTCTTTTGTTGTTTGTCAATCAATACTGTTATTAAACGGCAATGAATAATATGCTACTATAGATTTATCGCGCAGTATTATATTTGAATGCACAGGTGAAGCATTTTTGCGATCTTTTAAGTTTTTTGGACGCTTTTTTTTAAATATATGCTTACCTTGTGGGAATCAAGACTTCGGTCAAATCACAAATTACTGATGCTTCGTGATGGATTCGTACAAATCCTGATATTGTTCTATCTAGCCATTCAACTTCACCAACGAGAATATTTGAAGCTTCTGTGCCGGTGGGGACTTTCTTCGTGAAGTATTTATTGACTTTGTATGCGTCAAAGTCTCCTGTTTGTTCAATCCGAAACGTTAAATCAATTATCGTGGATAAGAAAAAACTCATAATTAATTATTTGAAATTAAAAGCTTAAACGTTAGAACAAAGCCATTATATAAAATCAAAATGATTGGGTATACCTGAAGTTTTGCCGGTAAGTTTGAGTTTTTGCTCGTGCTGATGTCGATGCCGAAGTAATAAAGTGTCGCGCACTTTTTTACTTGTTGAATTGGTTAAATGGTTGTCATTGAAAACTCGGTCACAAAACGAATCAACGATTTCTTCTAGATTATTTGCAACCATATCCAGTATAACTGTGCCGTTTGTGAGAAAACTTCTTAACTCAAATAACGAATGCAGTGACAATGACGTTACGTATGGTTTTGACCAGCGGCCACCATCTTCGACTTTTTCCTCGAATTTTAACCATCGTGCCGTTTCTTTCCATTCAATGCCATCCTTCGTCAATTCCATCATTTCCGAAAATAACATGTGTGATTCGTGCGCTCCATCATATTCGGAATTTATACGAAGTATAGAACGTACGCGTTGAGCCGGTGGCTTTACTGTTTATCAAAAAAAAATTGCTTGATTTTGGGTACTGGCTATTTATATACTCAAATTCCGATAAAAATAGCATATTCTACTATTTGTATACTCAATCGACGGATATATACATATTCGATTAACGTTTTGCATGTGTTTTGTCACGTTTTGCATTTCAGTTTGGTAATTATAAAAATACATTTTTGGTCGAACGCTGCTTATAAAAATACATTTTGATGTCATAAAACTTCAGATAAACGCCATCTAAATATAGTCGGGTTATCAAAACATCACAATCGAAATGAGCACGTGTCCATTTTTTAAAGAATCGTTGAACTTTGTTTGATTCAGTTCGATGTGTACATAAACGATCTCGCAATATGCCGCTCAAAATTGACATCCGCCAATGGCAATGAAAATATCTAAACATATTTGCATTTTGAAATGTTAATTCGCTTTAATTTGTGATTTATTTTCGTAACAATGTGAAATAAATACTCGTATACTCGCGTCTATATAATGTCTTCTATTTGGTATCGTCCCTCAAAAGTATCACAACATCAAATAGACAAACAAATGACGTAAATTCGTCACCAACATCAAATTGGTTATGTTCAAAATTATTTTTTTAATCGTTTGTTTATTCTTTTGTTCATTGGTTTCATAAAAATAAGGTTTGACAACGTTTTGTAAGGTTTGACAACGTTTCACAGTATTTGTTTCACGGTCTTAAACAGTTTAATTATTACATGACTTTACACCAAACTGAACTGAACACATGCAAAAACTCAATCGAAAATGTATATATTTGAATTCAAATTTAAATTGTATGTCGACGAAGTGTAAATATGCTTTTTTATAGGAATTTGAGACAGTGCTTGATTGTGGTTTATCGGACAAACAATAATTTTTACTTACTTGGCCGATCATATTCCATATCGGTATCGCCTTGTTTGTGATGATGTTTTTTGTGTTGACGAAACGCATGCTGATGGTTGTTTGGTAGAAAAGCCTGGCCTGAACAGGAACAAAATTAGGTAATCCACAGATTCATTGCTTATATTTTTCTTTTCCATCCATATTCCTACCTTCATAATCCTGTTCGTTATACTTTTCATTCAATACGCCTAGATCTTTTGGTGCTTTTGTGTCATTATCCATATTCAAAGGTCTTTAAACAAGAAAAATTGAACAAAATCTAGCCAATACGCTTTCAAACGCTTTCAAACAAACACCTAATAATTTATTTGGAGCAAAAGATTTAAATCAACACAGAAAGAAATAAAAAAAACACCACAATTTTCGAAAGGTTTAATGTTACACCTTGAAACGAACACCTCACAACCTCACAATATCTTGATTAAGACTGAACAAAAAACGAGCATTTTCTCTTTTTTTAACATTAAAAAATCCAGATTGTCTGAAATTTAATTCGTGACACAAATAATCAATGTGTTAAATAGTTTGTGTTGATAATTCCCGGTGTCATTCATTAAAACAAAAAAAATAACGATTCCGTTCATTAATAAGAACGTTTTCGATTTCATTAACAAAAATGAAAGTGATTAACATGTATGTTTTCTAAACAAAACTGCCTACAAATCTGGTCCGTTGAAAAACTTGAGGTGTAAACTACAGCTTACTTGAAAATAAATTATAAGAACGACGATCAATGAATAAAAGTATGGACTAAGTAGACTTTATTCCCTTTTATGGTGGTATCAAATCAGTATAATCTCCAAAGTTTTGACTATAATGGATCTACACCTTTTGTTTAAATGACTTTGTCTCTTAGTCGACTGAACCAAAATTACAAATCAAATAATCACGGTATACGCATCATGTGTTGCTCAGCGTAACCATAATACTAATATTATGTATTTATTTATTACTGATACTTCTAAGCAACCGTTTTAATCAATCCCACTTTTAATTTTAAGTAATCGGTATCGGCAAAAACATAATCAAGCGCTTTACACGTGATGATCCGGTTTTGAAATGGGTTTGATGCAGTTACAGGCAGAAAAAACCAACCAAAAGTGCCTTTGTTTACATTTTCTGTTTGGGTCTTTCTATCAGTATATGAAACATTTTTATATTTTGCTATTTCGTTTTCATTATCAAAAGAACAAAGATGAAGGAAAAAACATATGTGCGATGAATGACAAACCAGACACATTTCATTGCACATAACTTAACGAAACAATTGAAACACGAATTGATTAATTTCATTTTTTTAGGTGTTTTCCTTTTGCCCAATGCTTTCAATTGAAATTTTTTCCAAATAAATGCAACACTGGTTTTATCCAGTTTTGGTGTTTATACAAATTCTATCTGTTTTCGCGTGAAACAACAATAAAATATACGTTTTTTCCGTATTCTATTTTGCGCGGCTACTCTTCCACTCTATTGCGATATTTTCACACAAATATAAAAAAACATATGATTTTTAAGCGTATTTAGTAGATCAGCAAAAATTCCATCTTATTCGCGCATGTGCATTTGTACTAAACGTACAGTGTTGATAGAAAGTTTGGGACGACCTATTTGATTTTCATACAAAGTGCCGTTTTTTTGGGGTTTCAAAAATAATGCTTTTTATCATCCGAAATCAATGATAGCTAAAAATGACAAATACGTATGAAAATGAATTGTTTTTAGCTATTAAAAAAACAAATCGGTGGTTCAAAACTTTCTGTCGGCACTGTATAACAGTCACTTTTTTCAAACAAATTGTTGATACTTGATAAGTATTGTTTATACTTATACATATGTATATATTTAACTTTATAGCTTTTTTGTGTTGTTGATATGATAATATAATTGACCTTTTTCCAATTTTTCTTTCTACTAAAAATAATAATAAATACTTCTTTATAAAATATTAAATTAGTAATTAAAGACGTTACCTAATGATGTAATACGTATATATATGAATATGTTTGTGACAAATTATCAATTATCATCGCTGTTATTAAACAGCATGAAGAAATGTTTCTTTCTCACGAAGTTTAAATTTTGCACTAGTTTTTGTTAAATTATAATTAACTCTGAACGAAATAAAAAATCATTCTCTCTGTTTATGAATAAGAATAAAACTACACTTTCAAATCAGCTCAGCTCATATCCATAGGAAGAATATATAATTATTCTTTGCGCTTGTGTATTCATCAGTGATGGGCACATTAGCTGGCTAATTTGCCACAAATGTATACACTGGCTAACGCACACCATTGCTACAAAGACACTTAGTTATTAGCGCCATCTAGTTCGTGCGAGAAAAAATCTTCACATTTCACACACGTACTATTGAGTTACTTCACTATGCAATACAGTGAGGGCGCCAGTGATACGTGTTTTGCAGCAACCCAGTGGGCTAACGAATGTGTAAACCAGCACTAATACACACATATATACACTGAGTTGTATGTCACTCATAAACGTCAGTGAGAATCGTATGTAGTCACACAGATAGCTGGCTAACGATTGGCATACACCAGTTGTTGGTGTAAGCCAAAGCAAAGACAATGCTGGCTAAAGAGAAACCATCACTGGTATTCATTGTATATATGTATTTTATCGCCGATTTCCTCGACATTCTATTTAAAAGTTTACGGATAATCTGAAATATGACTTGTGAATGTATTCGTAATCTCATTCTCACAAAGATTTTTTTTTATTTGGTAGTTATATTTTTTTTTATTATTTATTTGTTAAGTATACAAATAAATTTATCTTAATTTGTTTATCTGGCAGGATTTTGTTTGGTAAATCGAAATTAGCTCAAACTTCCTCAAAAATTATCTTTTCTCTGAGTCAAATTTTATGAATGACAGAAATTTAATATTTTTATGATCGTTTGGTGTTTTTAACGTATGGAAATGCTACAAATTTAATCACCATCGACGATAGGAAAATTCCATCATTAACAATTCAAATCGAATTCTCGCTATTAAGTAGTCGATTTTGCGTTCCATTTTTTATTAAATTGTTGATTTCAAACACCTGTTTTATTCTTTTGTGTATTTACGTAATAAAGTGATAAATTCTGGGAATATTATAAATTTGTGTCAGTCTTATGTCATTGAAGTATGATCCAAATGTAAGGGATCTATTAGTCAATAGCTTTGTGCGTCAAAGCAAGTTAATACATTTAACTTAACCCACTTGTGAATATTTCATTTTGGAAGTGAAAAAAGTAGATGCATCATGTTTTACTGCGAAATTATTTTTTCTTTACTGTTTATTACTGTACAATTTATAGGTGATATTTATTGAGTTCTTTTCATATATTTTTTTAATAAGAGTCATTTATTTCATTATCAATTCAGGAATAAATTCAGAAAATGGGTTTAAAAAAGAAATTCTAATCTCCTGTGTTTCCAACAAAACGTAAGCTATACTATAAAACTACAGACGATTTGCTAAACTGTCCTTTTAATTTCAGTGCCAAAGAATTCAATAATTTTCACTTGAAATATGATCCAACAATGGCCACACATGATTTTAAATTTGAAGATGGTGAAATGGATAAACTCAAAGAATTGATAGGAAAAAATGATAAAATTATATTCTTTTTCGTCGGACATGAAGATTTTTTAAATAAATTTGGCAAGTATTGAATCTTCTAAAACTATTTGCAAAAAATAATAACTAATTCGAATTTCAGCTGGCAGAAGTTTTATTATAGCAAAACGTATGTAATTTTAAAAAATCTCCGAAGCTTGCCATTCGATTTTATTACAAATCATTTTTAATTTTCGGTTTAATAGATGAAATGATTAGCACGAAAGCCACCACCTGCACAATAAGTTATGAATATTTGTGTGGACCCGGGATTTGCAAACAGATACAATACTTTTCTGCGGTTGAAAATCGCGTTCCAAATGGTACAGTTGTGCTCTTGTCAATGAAGATGATTTTGTTCTTCTCTTTTTAAATGTTTTTGTTCAATAATGAGTCCAATGGAATCATCTTCTCTGTGTTACAATAGTCGTTGATATGGCAACATCCTTTATCCAAAATATTGTGGACTCAAAAGAATTTAAGATTAAATTGGCCAGTGTTTATCTGAATGGATATTGTCTGGGTGGTCATATCGCAGGAAATGTTGGACATGCTTTGAAAAAAATATATAATGGTCAAATGGTATCAGCAATTTGGGGCAAGAAATTTATTAAAGCTAGAAACAGCCAAGTCATAAATTAATGATAATATACAAAACATTTTAGCATACGATCCCCCTCGATTTGCTTTTCCACATCCATCAGTTGAGGGGGAACCGAGACGTGTACAAAAAGGCGATGGCAAATTTGTAGTAGTATTTCATTCATCACAGATTGGTGTCCAAGACAATATTGCTGACGTTGATGTAATTCTCAATGGGGCAAAAAATCAGCCAGGTATTTAGAATAGAATGTTGTATTTTTGGAAGAAGCTTTGTTATTTTATTCTTGGTCTTATATTTGTAGGTTTGAATAAACCAAAGATTGGTGTGTTATTTGATCACTTTGCTGCATTTCTTCTTCGTGAATTTATAATATTGCGCAGCAAAGAAATTGAAAAAAATGAAAGAGGCTTCCCATTTGCCGTAAAGCTTAATCAATCCGATCAATTTTCCCTTGAACTCACAAATCCACCGTCCAACAAAAGTGGCGAATATCATATAAACACTGGTGCAATCTTTGATTTCAAATAAGTAAAATGTTTTGAAAAATGAAGTCAAAATAAATAATTGATTTATAATGTAAAATGTAAAATTATTTTTTCACTTTTATCTATGGGGTAGACACAAACTAGAAAACTTAGCTATACTAAAGCCCGCGTCTCCCTCCTTGACTTTTATGCATTTGCCACTTGACAACAGCTCAAGGGTTTAATTTATTTTCTTTTTGATCGACTTATGTATAAATTTTACGCTTATTTGTTTTCAATATTCCCAATTGGGATACGTAAAGTATCAAAGTCTGTTTTGCAGAATATAATTTCGTCACTTTAAAGAAATTAAGCGCTAATATTTATATATTTTTTGGCAAGCAGATAGAGAAAACAAAATTTTCTCGTTCTATTGCTATTATCTACTTTTTACATTTTTGAGTTAACGTGGCTAAACAACTCAAATGCCAGAAAATACACATGTACATGTAATAATAAATTCTCTGAAGTCTATCATAATTTGATAAAATGAATAATCCAAATAAATTATTAAAGAAATAGTTCAATCGAAATGCGTCATTAAATGAAGAGTATAAAACAAGTTAGCTCACTTGGTTCTTTAATCCAGTTCTAAAAAAGTGTCGTGTGTGGAGTGAAAAGTAAAAAATACTGGCGACTATGAATTACGCCACAAAAATTATTTCTTTACTGTTAATATTGTCGTTTTCATGTGAGTGTCATCGTTTTTAGCGTGTGTTTAATAATGGAATAAGAATTTTATTATTTATATCTTGATAAAGCTGCAGAAATAAAGGCAGAAAACGGTGTTGAAAAAGAGATTCTAATCTCTTGTGTTTCCAATAAAAAGTAATAAATAATAAACCACAAGACAAAGATGCGCACATTATTGAATCTAATATACTAACTAATGTCATTGAAAATTTCAGTGCTAAGGAATTTAGCAATTATCATTTGAAATATGATCCAATGATGAGCACAAATAATTTCACATTTCAAAATGGTGAGATTGCCAAACTCAAACAATTGATCGGAGAAAATGAAAAAATTTCGTTCTTTTTCCTTGGTTACGAGGATTTCTTGCGGAAATATTGTGAGTAAAAGGGATTAAGCGAGAAAATAAAACAAATGATTAATAAAAAAAAAATTCTGTTTCAAATAATTCTCAAGCCGGCAGAAGTTTTTTAATAGCAAGAGGTAAATTCAATTAATACAACTGAGGAATTGTTTAATTTTTTATTCGATTTTTAATTTTCTCTTTAGAAAATATGTTGAATACAGGCGCTACTGCTTGCACCATAAGTTACGATTATTTGTGTGGAATTTCACTTTTGAAAAAACTACAGTATTTTTCCGCGATCGAAAATCGAGTTCCGAAAGGTACACTCCTTTTCAAGCATTTTTTTTCTTTAGTAAATTTGTTCACACCATCTTTCCTGTTTTCTGTATTGTAAAAGTCGTTGCTATGACCAGTGCTCTTATTCAGAATATTGTGGACTCCAAAGAATTTAAAATTAATTTATCTGATGTGTATTTAACGGGTTTTTGTTTGGGTGGACATATCGCTGGAAATGTTGGAAGTAGACTGAAAAAAATTTATAATGGACAAATGGTACCTGCCATTTGGGGTAAATAATACAGTTTTTTGATAACTCTGTGCTTGCTAGAGCAATCAAATCAACTATAATAAAAAATATTGTTTAGCATTCGATCCTCCTGGAATTGGTTTCCCATATCCAATAGAAGTGGGACAACCAGAGCGGGTGCAAAAAGGCGACGGAAAATTTGTCGTTGTGGTACATACATCAAGTCTTGGCGTTCTAGAAAATATTGCCGATGTTGATGTTATCGTAAACTATGGCAGAGATCAGCCGGGTACAAAAATCTATACTTTCATTTGATTGACGATAAAAATATAATTAATTAAAATTATCATAATGTAGGTTGTGAGAACATGTTTTGCGACCATTTTGCTGCGTTTATTCTACTCGAAAATATCCTCTTACTGAATGACGCATTGCCAAAAAATCAAAGAGGGTTCCCACTTGCACATTCTTATGATTATGCCAGTCAATTTTCTTTTGAAATCACCAATCCACCATCCAAGCAAAGCGGCACTTATTATTTGCGCACTGGAAAGATATTCGGAAATGATAAATAACCAGTAATGGCTGATAAACGAAAACAATATTTTTTAAAAAAAAATTTAAAAAATAAACTTTGATACAAATTTAACTGATCATTTCATTCATTATTTATATTTTCTGTCATTTTTCCCTTGAATTGAGTTTTATACAATACATTGCGACTGAAAGAAAAAAATGGATTCAAAATTGATACAATGATCAAATATATTGAAGAATGTTCATACGCCCCATAAAAGTCTTAAAATTCTATCAATTCAATGTGTTGGATTTGTTATTCAAATGAAAAATACCTATTTAAATGAGTTTTCTTAACAGAATTGTTTGGCAAACCCCGACCGATCGCCGTACAAAAAAGTCGGGTTTTTCTTTAATCAATGGTTATTTTTATTTACAACACGCACAACTGTCTATATGATTTTTCCAACTATTGAAGAAATGTCCTTCTGGATTTTTCGTGACACATTAAAACTCATTTACATTCATTACGATTCAGATGTGTTGTTGAATATGATATTTAAATATGGATTCAAATAGATGAAATGAAAATGGTAATGAAGTATTATATTATCAACATATTGTATCAATCACCCAGAGACTAGTATAAAAGGAAGCCTGATATATTGTTTCATTCCATTTGTAAATAAACTCATTTTACAAACTGAAAAAAGTCCTAAGTCATGTTTTGGTGTGGAGTAGTTTTAGCTTCACTGCTTTTAACCGTAAAGCTATCAGGTGAATATCAAAAATTCCGAAAAGATTTTAATGAAAATTTTAATATATTTGGTATCGTAATATATGATAGGAATAGGCGCAATTGTGGATTTCGAGAAAGAAATTCAAGTATCATGCGTTAATAATGAGAAGTAATAATCTTTCAGTGTCATCTATTAAGCACCGTCCATTTTTGGAAAAATCGATTTCATGTGTAACTATTTTAAATACATATATTACAGTGACACAAAATTCCATTTGTTTAACATCAAATACGATCCAAAGATGCACGCACGTACCTATAAATTCAATCAAACTGACGCTGCTAAAATAAAAGAGTTGATGGGAAACTGGGATAAAGTTAACTTCTTTTTCCTTGGTCATGAAGATAGGCTGTATAGTTATTGTACGTTTTAACATCTTTAATTAATAAAAAATTGATTTAATCGATTTTTCGCTTTTAGCCGGCCGAAGTTTTATAATAGCAAGAGGTAAATTTGATTGGAAGTCCATTGGAAAGTCCATTTTTTAATGATGCAATTTTTCATTTAGAGCAAATGTTCAATACAAACTCAGTTTCTTGCACCATAAGTTATGATTTTCTTTGTGGGCCCGATCTCATGAAATATTTACAATACTTCACGACAACGGTTGGTCATAGAATTCCAAAAGTGGTAGAAATGGCTTCGACATTCATACGGCACATTGTAGATTCAACCGACATCAAAATTAATTTGTCTGGTGTATATTTGACTGGCTTTTGTTTGGGTGGACACATCGCTGGAAATGTTGGATATGAATTGAAACGATTTTATAAAGGTCAAATGGTTCCGACCGTATGGGGTACGAAATTTAAAAAGATTCTTTATGTATTACGGAATCAAATTTTATGTTCTTTTTTTTTGTTTGGATAGCTTTTGATCCTCCAGCTCTAGGATTTTCGCATCCATCCAAAGCGGGAGAACCTAGACGAGTCCAAAAAGGGGATGCTCAAGCTGTCGTTGTATTCCATACATCTACACTTGGCGTTAAAAAAACTATCGCCGACGTTGATATAATCGTAAATGAATCCAAGGACCAACCGGGTAACAATTTAATTTGACTTTTTTATGTACTAATCGTAATTTATGATTTGTGATTTTTATCTTGCCTTTTTATTTCATAGGTTGTGAGAAACAAACGATAGGTATGTTTTGTGATCATTACGCAGCATTTATTCTTCGAGAATTAGTTGTGTTGCATAGTGATAAACTACTTCTTAATAAAAATGGAATTCCGTTTGCGTTCGCGTATGATTATTCCGATCAATATCCATTCGATATTATTAATCCTGCTCTTAACAAATCTGGAAAGTATTATTTACGTACTCAAGCTGTTTTTGGAGCCAAGTCATGAGTAAATTATTATATTGGAGAATCTTGAATGTTTTTTTCTTCTTAATTTTATAATTCACTTTGAACTTGAAATAAAAATTGAGAAATGATATCTTAATAGTTTGATTCTATGGTGAGAGAACGAGTGGACCATTTTTCTCGAATTGATGTTATATCAATTTACTAATTGACACTTGCTTCAAACCTTTCTTTCAAACGATCTGTCTTACAATTTTTAATGTTAATTTGTGATCATTTTTTGTATCTTATTATCCGACACCCTTAGTATGTACGGCGTACATAATTTCGATTGAGTCTTTTAAAATTGTTTATTCAAGCTTGGTGAATATGCGCTTGAATTGATCTGCTTTCGAATTTTACGAAATTTGGTATTCAAATGAGATTTAAATGTCACTCTTTATCCTCGTCATCATCCCGACAAAATGGCAAATATAAAATGAATGTCAGCATTATTCTTTCATTCTTCTTGCAATATTCACGTTACAAAGTGATCGAGATTGGTGAATCATGATTTGGGGCAAAATTATTTTATCGTTGATACTTTTCACTGTACAGTTGTCAGGTGATTTCATCAAAAGAAATTTATCATCAAGTCGAACATACAATATTTGGTGTTACTTTTAGGGAAAAAGGCAAAGTTTGACGTTGAGAAAGAAATACAAATTTCGTGTATTTCTAGCGAATAGTAAGAAAAATCTATAATATTACATTATTAGCGAATAATTCAATTTTTTATGAAAAATTATAGCGCAAAGGAATTCACCACCTTTGAACTTAAGTACAATCCCGATATGGCTACACATAATTACACGTTCGATGAAAATATGATCCTGAATATTGAAGAATTAGTCGGAGACCGTGAAAAAATTATCTTTTTTTTCCTCGGTCATGAAGACAAACTTTACTCGCTATGTGAGTACTGAGTATATATTTGAATAGCTCTCCAAAATACTAGTATATGTTCTGAATATAATTTCACTTTTAGCTGGGAAAAGTTTCCTAATTGCTAGAGGTATGCCAAGGTTCATTTGTATAGTTTTAGTTAGATCAGTAGTGTGTTCTTAGAAAATTTGCAAGGATTTTAGCAAAAAAAAAGTGAGGACCATTTTTGGGTTGTCAAAATTTCTCAGAAGTTTACACTAGATAAAAGGCCTCCTAGAACCTTGCACACTACTGGTTCATGTTTAGATTTAAAAAAACAGTTATGAAAATATTTAGTGAAATATTTTGATCATAGAACAAATGATAAAAAATTCTGCATGCACGTGTACGGTGAGTTATGCTTTTCTTGATGGCAGCAATCTGGTGAAATATTGGAAATATTTTTCGGTGCTCAAAAAGCGATTGCCAAAAGTCGTGAATATGATGACCACATTTATACAAAACATTGTGGATTCGAGTGATTTTAAAATCAACTTATCTTCTGTTTATTTGACGGGATTTTGCTTGGGCGGCCATATTGCAGGCATGTTTCTTGAATTTTTAGTATAATATTAATTTTTTTACCTGTCTGCATCATTTTATCATATTGCAGGCCATGTTGGATATGAATTGAGAAAAATCTATAACGGACAAATGGTGTCTGCCATTTGGGGTAAATCTGTGACTTTTAAATATTGTCTTGATATGCGTATTAATCAACCCTTTTTTAATGAATATTTATTAGCATTCGATCCGCCGAAAATTGGTTTTCCATATCCAGAAAAGGAGGGCAAACCGAGAAGAGTGCAAAAATTCGATGCTGAATTTGTCGTTGTATTCCATACGTCTCGGCTTGGTGTTAAAAAGTCAATCGCTGATGTTGATATAGTTGTGAATGGCGGAAGAGATCAACCCTCGTGCCAAAACGAAACATTGAAGATTACGTGCAACCATTATGCTGCATATCTCCTTCGTGAATTGATTGCAGTAAATAGCAAGAAACTTGAAAAAAACGAAAATGGGTCTCCAGTTGCTTACAAAGTTTCAGATATATCTGAAAAGTTTGCCATTGAAATCACTAGACCAGCGTGGGATAAAGCCGGTATTTTTGGAATGCGCGTGGGTCTTTGATGATGGATATAATGAATAATAACTTTTTTATTAAATAAGATTTGATAACATATTTAAATTTCGATTCTGTAACAAAAAATTTTGATGTCTACTTTATTTGCCTGCTTGCTTTATATGAAATTATATCTGACATTATTGCCTTTTATAATAACAAAATATTTCATATTATATTTATTGTTCAAGAAACTAATAAATGAAAAGTTAAAAAAGTACGTAAAGTAATAAATGATCAATTTTTTTGTATTGTTTTTCGTAAATAATTTTGTTCTGTATTAGTGGCAACTGGCCACTGGCAAATCGTACTGAATTTTATTAAAATAATTTTTTTAAAGTATCCTGGGTTTTTGATAGTTTTTCAATCGAATGGTAACCAAATTAACTCTTTGGCCTCTAAAAAATAGTAAAAATCTCTAAAAATACCATTTCCTTTATGGTACCTAATTAAAAAACTACCAAAAACCATTTCGCCATTTTTTAAATTCATATTACTATATTTAAAATAACATTGAAATCATGTTTAACAATGCAAAAAAAAAAATTCAGGTCAATAATATTTTCATCATTATTTCATCATTTTGGGTGCTAGAAAGCATCCTTCTTATAGAGTCAACACACGTTTAAAATGTCTTGCAAGTTTAATACAAGGAAGCTTAATTGACTTATTTATATTCAATATCAGATATTGATGCTGAAAGCCCACAATTTGTTCTCATATTTACTTTCGTATTTATTGATGGTTTTCATATTAAAAGACACAGAGATAGCGTACATGTACGAATCAATCATTTACGAGGATAACCTTCAAAATAATTTTGAATTCTTATTCTGTAAATTTAATGCGGCGTTGAATTTGTTATTCAAAATATGAAAATGCATATTCAAATGAGTCTTGAGTTGTAAAAAATTGCGTATTAGAAACGACGAATATAAAAGGAAGATCATTCGTTCAATTGCTTTATTCAACTAGCAATTTTCAATTCGGAGAGTAAAAAAAGTAAAAAAAAATACTACTGAATCATGGTTTGGTTCAAAGCAATTGTTTCTTTGCTCTTTATAGCTATAAAGTTCTCAGGTATTAAGAGGGTATTAAAAGTTCAAATAACAACAAGTTAAAGTGAAAATTCACATTTTTGTTAATTTTATTTCAGGATTGATGGCAGAACCGAATTTTCAGAGTGAAATTTTATTTTCATGCATTTCCGACGATGAGTAAGACAATGACAACTTTTTAATCTAAATAATTAATGTGTATAGTAATTTCCAACTTAAATTACAGTGCCGAGGAATTAACTACCTTTCAATTAAAGTATGATCCAGATATGTCCATTAATAAATATAAATTCCATGAGGGGGAGCTTGACAAATTAAAAGAATTATTTGGAAGCCGCGATTCCGTAATATTCTTCTTTCTTGGTCATGAAGATAAACTTTACTCATATCGTGAGTATTAAAATGTTCTTTCCAAAAAAAGGCCAAGTATATAAATTTTTACAAATTTTCAGACGGCAAAAGCTTCATGGTAGCAAAAAGTAAGTTTTATTTAATATTTTCGTTTATTTCATTCTATACTTTTTTTTTAAATAAATTATATTTTGTTTAGGTTTAATGTATCAAACTGACGCGGCCGTTTGTACAGTGAGTTACGCGTTTCTTACCGGACATGATCTTTATAAATACTTTCAATATTTCGGTACACTTGAACACCGACTCCCAAAAGTCGTGGACATGGTTTCAACAATGATCAGCAATATTGTTGATTCGAAGCATTTCAACATTAAATTGTCTACAGTTTATTTGACTGGATTTTGTTTAGGTAAGGCAACACCTGTTTTCAAGTTAATTTTGGTGTTACATAGCTGTTACTAAATCCTCCAGGTGGACACATTGCCGGACAAGTTGGACATGCATTGAAAGAGATTTATAACGGACAAATGGTACCAGCGGTTTGGGGTAAGTTGAACTTTATTTAATTTTTTATATGTATTGTGCCAATTTTAAAGTTTGCTATTTGAAACATAAAAAACAGCATTCGACCCGCCGAAAATTGGTTTTAAATATCCAGAAAAGGAGGGCAAACCGAGACGAGTGCAAAAAGGCGACGCGAAATTTGTAGCAGTATTTCATACGTCCAAGCTCGGTGTGACAAAATGTCTAGCTGATGTTGATATATTGGTGAACGGAGGTGAATCTCAACCTGTAATTCAACATTTTTTTTGTTTTTTTTTGTTCGGTGTGAATTTTTAATCCAACTGCATTTTTCTTTTATCTCAATGCCAATACCAAGGGATGTCAATTTGAAGCAAATAATATGGTGTGTAGCCACTTTGCTGGGTTTATTCTTCGCGAATTAATCATAACGAACCCTAGTTCCCTTACAACAAATAGAGATGGACTCCCAACTGTAAATAGATCCGATAATGATATAATTGCAATTGATTTTATAAATCCACCGTACGGAAAGAGCGGTATTTATCATATGAATACCGATATGGTATTTGGAACAAAGAAAAAAGGATTCTTCGAACGCCTCTTCCAAAAGGATGAGTAAGATTTAACTTCAAATATTGCAGGTTTTCAAATGAAAAAATCACTTCGAATAAAATCAAAACAGTGAACGACTTTTAACAATATAACACATTTTTTTATTCAAATTAAATTTGATCAGATTGAGATTTGTTGTTTAGTTTTAACATAATTTTTGATGACAACAAACTTAGCATGATTATTATATGGAAAATGAATTCTTCCGAAGTTTGTCTTGTATAGCGTTTTCGATCCATTGGACTCCGTCCTTGTGTTGGCGTGACAGAAGATGATATCGAATTGCAGTTTCGATGTCAACATTGCATATTAGACACCTTTCACTTCGGTTCGTCGGGTTATCGTTGACGCTGTTTCAAAAAAAAAATTGTTAAAACACTAAAAGTTTAAAAAAAAAAAATATCGAAAAAGAGAACATACGCGTCTTTCTTTTTAATCAGATCTTCATTGTGTTTTTTCATGTTTAGTAAGTAGTCAGATTCTGGCTTATACAATTTCATCGCTTGATGTCGTGGCAAAATTCTGTTGCATTCATCTCTGCTAGTTTTTAGGCTTTTGTCAATTTCGTCCTCCTTGTATGGGTTCCAAGTAAGATCGCCGTATTCTTCACCAAGCAATAATCGCGTTTTTGACAATAAACTAGAAATAATAAAAAGATATTAAAAATACTTTTACGGCAGTTCAATGAATTTTACGAACCTTATCAACTCGTTTTGAAGCCTTTTCATTATTCCTGAAACTTTTTCAGTGTCATATGTCTCAAAGCATTTACGTTGCAATAATCGATCCATCGAACCGCGAATGTTGTTTATCTATTCAAATATATTTCAGAAAATGTGTTATGCAAATTGTTGTTGACAAATTTGACGTGAAAAGAAAATTCCTCACCGTTTCTATATCGCTATTTGTGAGTTCGACATCCAGATCGAATTTAATATTCGATTGTGACGACAGACACTTGCCATTAGCATCACATCCAAGACCAGTAATCATTTTAATGTATTTGGTTTTCGAAGTGTTTCGCAAAAGTTTTATTTTCGGTGCAAATATGGCAGCCATCAATGGACCAAATAGACGAATGTTTGGCATCAGTGTAGTGTATCGAATAGTGATCGTCGCATTTTCATTGTGTTGATGCGTCGAAACTGCCACCAAATACTATTCCGATTTTTTTTTTTATTAAAACATTGAAAACATAAAAAAAAATATTTTAAAAGAGAACATACTTTTTCCGACATGTCATTTGGTTCATTTTCTAATAGTACATGGTTTACGGACTGATCATCAATATTCGGTGATGCCGATGCACTATCGGTTAAACCATATAAAACACTATCCAACGGAGTGTACGGTCCCTTTATTTTTATCGTATGCATGTGACCATCGCTTCGTGTTGGTGGTTTAATTGTCGGTACATCTTCTTCTTGCAAATACCGAACAATACCTTGTGTCAAATAATTTCGGCCTTTCTTGTCATTCCGGCCAATATCTCTTTCGGTGTGATCGAACTGCAACGAAATGTACTCGTTAATTTCTCAAAATTAAAATTAATTCAAATTCGTTTCACTCAAACCTTTGACATGTAGCTCTCCTCACAATGCTCTGCGACATTATTATCCAGCAGATATTTATTGATATCTACACCATTTGCCCTTAAAAATACACGAACGATTCCATTAACGATTGAAAAAATCTGTAAAAAAAAATCATACATAGTGCATTACGGATAGATTTCCAAAAATGTTTCCATTTACCTCAGCTTCAACTTCGATGCCATCTGTCTGTTCAACGAAAAGGAGATTGGCTTCTTGTTGCCAAACCCCGTCTGGTGCATTCAATTGTGATGGTTGAATGTAGGCAAGTGAGCATTGATAACAATATGGCGGCAATGACAGAAAATGAGACGACACACCACGTAAACGTCGTAATTTACTCAAATTGCACGTGATTTTATTACCAAAATCAATAAAACGAACCTAAAAATTAAAAAAAAAATATATTACACGTGTGAACATTTTGTGTGCATCAATGTGAATTACCTCGTAGGTAATCTGTTTTGTTTTCTTATCTCGTTCTATATTGATTATTTTGGCTCGGTAAAATTCCACTTTACTATTGTCACTGGGGAAGGCAGCAGCCAAAACTTGACCGATAACTACATCTGATTCTTGGTGGAACGGTTCCAAATCACTATTCGGATTATTTATTTCTTCGAAAATCTTATTGATTTCGATCAAGTATTTGCTGGGCTGAAACCAAAAGCGACCACAATTCTCCGTCTGTAATTTATTTCAAATATAATTAGTTGTTGTTCATTTTTCATGAAATCTGACCATCGTTTGACTTGTGCAAGAAGTGCTTACATGCGATATATATCCCTTCACATATTTATCAAGCTTTTTTGGATAGCAAACGTTTTCGTATTCTGTGTCGTCTTTTATGTACACTCTTCCGTCCGATGTATATGTCAACCCATGCTTTCTTGCATAATCAATGGCTTCATTTCGATCACTTTAATAGGTATTCAAAATTAGTTTGAAATTTAACATGTAACTCTATTTAAAACATGTTGACACTTACGAGAGCACATCAATCGGTTGTTCAAGCTTCAGTGAACGCAATTTGATTGCTTTGTACACTTCTGTAAGAACAAAGCCCGGATTGCATGCAACACCATATTTCCTAATATCACCTTCTTTGCCGCTTTTCTTGAACGAAACGAAAACGCGTTCCGATACACCATCATGTGAAACAGTTATGTTGTGCGAATCTTTTTCGCTAATCACACAATTTTGCACTAATATATCTTTGATGCGTTTAATGTAAATATGTGGCATATCAGAAAATTTAAAGCCGGTAAAGTAAACGGTATCGCTCAAATCTCGGCCACCAAGTGTCTTAAAGTGTTCCGCTTCAAATGTTTGGCCACGTTTTGCTTTTGTCGATCGCGAAAAGTAATTGGGATAAAATGCACCGGCGAAAACAACTTTCAGTACAATATACTTTTCATTTCGACTCCATTTCAAATCGCATTTGCAATCAATCAAATTCATGCGATTTATACGAACTCGCAAATCTTTCACGTATTCATCACATTCACGCAATGAATTCCATTCCAAGTAGTTTGCTTCAGTCCACTTCTTTTCAGCAGCTTTCACTTCATTGCGATACTTCGGATTCTTTATGTTGCCGAATTCGCCCGCATTACGTAGTTTTTTCCATGTCTTGTATGCATTAAGAAGTGCAAATAAATCACTTCCACTGCCATCGGCAAATTCAAGGCGCTTTGTATACGCATCAACGCCCATCGTTCGATTATATGTAAACATATTCTTTGAACAATTCAACGCAGCGGCTAAAATTTAAAATAAATATTATTGAAGACGATAAATGGACACTGATTTCATTTACATTACCTATGATGGTGCATTCTTCCAACACACCAAAACAATAGCCAAGCGCAATCATTTTCGAGAGTTTAACATCGATTGGCAATCTTGACATTATTTCACCGATATACGTAATGTCACCGTCACGAATTGCAGGTTTTCCATTGACTGTGGTTAGCATCGCACCCATTTCTTTCAAACGTAGCACAGCGTTGTGAATTTCATCTAAATAAGGTTTGTCCAACGCCAAAGCCAAAACTTCTTCGGGTGAGCCGAGATTCAATTGCTTCGTCTTTAATATAATATTTTCCAATGGACTGGTAACCAGTTCTGCTTTTGCTGATTGCCGCATTTCCCTCTCATAGAATCTTTTCGACACAAGTCGAAAACACCACCCATTACGGACGCGACCTGTACGGCCAGCTCTTTGTTCACAGTTATCACGTGATGCCCAGGCCAATTGAAGCGACGGAAAACTCGTAACTTTGTTCACAACCAGATTTCTCGTCAAACAAAAATCAATAACTGAAATTCAAAATTAACAATCGTTAAACATTCATTTAGAACAACGACTATTTAAATGCAATGAATAGAAAAACTCACTGTATTTGACGTCCGGAACGGTGATTGAACTCTCGGCGATGTTTGTAGCCAAAATAATTTTTCGCGTATTTTTGTCCGATTGTCGCATCGCCAAATCAGTTAACAACGGATCACCCGTGCTATGCATTACGATGCGCAATAAGCGCGTTTCACCATTTCTACAATGTATCAAATACTGTTTGCAATGTTCGACTCAAAATAAAATTAATTGACTTACATCATACTCCAGTCTTCAAGATACTGATACATTTGTTTTATCTCAAAGATTCCCGGAAGAAAAATCAAAACAGTTGGTTTTGGATTTTTTTCATATGTTTCAGCATCAACACCTTCGGCCTCACTATGTAAACGATCGATTCGCTCAAAGAAAACAATTAAGCGTAGAGCACACTTATACATTTGTTCGGAGATTTCTGGTGAATTGATCCTTTCATCAAATTCCTACAAAAAAAAACAACCATGAGTTTCCACAATAACAAAATAATTCCGTTTTGTTATACCAGTTTTTCAATTTCATCGAGAAAGATCGAGGTGACGGTAAAGTTGCGTTCAGAACTCAATTCAATTACAGGAGCCTTTCCATATGACCAATTATTTGATGGGACTTGATAGTATTTGGCAAACTAAAGACGAACAAATTATTTTGAGGTTATATTTTCCACTTATTTTTTTAATATTAAATTCTACCTTATCCACATCAATTGTGGCCGACATCAGAATTATACGAATTTTTGGATTCAAATATTTATAGATCGAAATCATTAAAAAGTCCATATCTTTGTCGCGCTCATGCACCTCGTCCAGAATGATGTGCGTAAATTGGTCGAGTGGATTGTGATTGCTGCCGTGAATTATCTTTTCCACCAAAACACCTGTAGTGCAAAAAAGAATTCTGGTATCGTCCGAACGATTTTGTCGTTGATCAGAGCCAACCTGCAAATGTACAAACGTATAAAAAAATGATCAAAATGGTTTTCGCTTTCAAATAAAAGCCATACCTGATAGCCAACAATCGATCCGCAAGGCCATCCCCGTTCTCTGCAGACACGTTTTGCATTCGACGAAGCGGCTATACGTCTCGGCTGTGCAATAATAATGTTGCAATGTAATCCTTGTTCTCGGTAGTCATCTAAAATATATTGTGGAACTTTTGTCGTTTTACCGCAGCCTATTCGTGAAAAAGAAAATGTCAATGTAAGAAACTCGATTTTTTTTTTCATTTCATTGTCATTCCAAAATACCGGTTGGTCCACGCAAAACAACAACTGTATTCTTCTTGATTGTGTCTAATATTTGCTGGCGATATTCTTCAATTGGAAGTTTTTCCATTGGCATTCGTCGTGAAAAATTGTATCGTCCATAAATGTCACTTGTTTCCGGTCGGTCGATTTCGATTTGTGTTCTGTTGAATCTCTATCGGAACATAAAATGATCGGATGATTTTATTTATTAAAATTTATTTGTGAACCATTAAAATCATACTCACATTCCATACTTCGTCACGTATTTTCTTCACAAATGGTTTTGCATAATCCATAGTCCGTTTGACCACTTCGTCCTCTTCATATTTTGCTGTCTCATATTCTGTGACAATTCTTCCATTTGTACTTCCTCCGCTCAACATTTTCCGTTGAACCGGTTTACCCATCATAAACGCATCGAGTTCATTCATTTTTATTTTTTTAACTGTATATCAACAGAATCATCGAAATTCACTTATCATCGACTAACGTTTGTATTTCCAAATGTCTTTCTGAATAGTGACAGTTTGTGTCAAAAAGGCATACACAAACATTGATTCCGATGGGGATAACGCATTCGTGAATAAGTCAAGTCGCAACAATTTAAATTTGGAGACTTTCACATTTTTTGAACGTTAAGATCAATTGTACAAAAAGTTGCATTGTCAATTTAAAAGAAACAAATATTTACAGAAAATGGCTGGAAAGTTTTCCTAAATGTTATAGAATGAATATTCGAACGGTGGAATTTGCAATGTAAACAGAATGTATTGTAATCCTATGTACGTCAGTAAAAATCGACTATAAAAGCCAGTTGATTCGTTTATTTTTATTATTTTTATTCGAGAAAGCAAATATAAAAAAAATTATACTTAGTAAGCATGATTTGGGGCAAACTGTTTTCCATACTGTTTTTAATCGCTAAATTTTCTGGTGAATAAAAATAACATTTAGAACGCAAGAAAAAATTTAAATATTTTTCTTTTATTATCAATTCAGATCGGTCATCTGCACGAGTCGGGTTCCATAAAGAAATTCAACTATCTTGTGTTTCGGATGACTTTGCCAAGGCATTCAGCACTTTTCATATTAAATACGATGAACAAATGTCAACTTATAATTACAAATTTTACGACGGAGAGATTGAAGCAATCAAAGGCTTGCTTGGAGAAAGGGAAAAGATAATCTTTTTCTTCTTGGGGCACGAGGACTTTCTGCAGAATCCATGTGAGTATTGTAATTAATTAAAGCAGTAAAAAGCCAGTATTCTTTTATTGATCAAATTTCACATTCAGCTGGAAGAAATTTTAAAGCAGCAAGAGGTACAAAATTTCCACTGGAATATAGAAATATCGCTTGCTTACATTAATTTCTTTGAACTCATAGCACAATTGTTGGACACAAAAGCAACCGTTTGCATTGTTAATTATGATTTTATTTGTGGACCCAATCTGATAAAAGATTTACATTACTTTATGGCAATCAAGAATCGTCTTCCTGCGGTTGTCGACATGTCAGCATCTTTCATCCAAAATATTGTTGATTCACCCAAACTCAAAATCAAACTGTCTACTGTTTACCTTTCGGGATTTTGTTTGGGTGGACATGTCGCTGGTAATGTTGGACATGCATTGAAAAAAATTTATAAGGGAAAAGAAGCAGCGGCAGTTATTTGGGGTAAAACATTTCATTCAACATAAATGATCAACATAAAAAAATTGGCAAATTTTGTTGTTTAAAATAGCATTTGATCCGCCGAAATTTGGTTATCCATATCCAATGGAAGAAGGTAAACCAAGACGTGTACAAAAAGGCGACGCTGGATTGGTGGTTGTTTTTCATTCGTCTTCTTTTTGCGTACACGATAATATTGCTGACGTGGATGTTATTTTGAATGATGGAATTTCACAGCCAGGTTGGTTGTTTGTTTACAATTTATGTCATTTGTAATTTTCATTTTGGTATTGTTTTTAGGCTGCGAAAACAATTTGATTGTGTGTAGGTGCAATCACAACGCCGCCTTCGTTCTTCGTGAATTTATAATTTATAAGAGTAATTATCTATTGAAAACTAAACAAAATATACCGTATGCAAGCTCGAAGAATGGTACTTTTGTCTTGGATTTCATAAATCCATCTACTCAATGCAAAGGTACTTACACTTTGAAAACGGGCAAGATATTTGGAAATAATAGTTAAAAATAAATTCAAACTCTAACTGTTACCATCGAAGAAAATAATAAATGATGACTGAGAATGCATACGCCAGTCTTACTTGTGCAAATTCTAATTAATTTTTATTGAATTGTAAAAACATTTTTTATCAAAACTCAATAATTCAGTGAATATACTGTAGAAAATGAAATATTTGAAATTAAATTCATGTAAGCAAAATTTTTAACAAAATTCAATTGGTATTTAATTGCATCAATTTGTAATTCATTTTTAAATTACTCATCAACAGTGTTTCGAGTAGATTAAAAATCTTGAGATTTTTTAGATAGATTTCTAGATAGATCAAATCTAAATCTCATACTAATGAAATACGTAGTTTTGCGGTTCGACGCGCCACCTGTAATATGTCAAATGAACGTACCGAACTATTTCAGTACGCATCTATGTTTATAACAAACAACGACAATAATTCATTACTGGATTTTTATTAATTTTTGTTGCTAAAATAATTTTAAACAACTTTACATGCATAATAATAATAATATAATTTTCTTTAGTTTAATAAAAGTTACCGAATGTTGATTTTATGCAATTCTTCGCTTGAATGTGATTGAAATGTATAGTCCGACTCCAGCAGCTGAATCAAGATTTTTTTTGTTTCAGTGTAGATATTTCAAGAATTTATTCATTTAACACGGATAAAAGTATCGGTTAAAAAAATGAAAGATAAAACCAATTTATAAAATAAAAAATGTCCATTCTGAATTTATGTGCACATCGAGCTGCTGAAGTCGCTAGCATAAGAACAAAAATGTCAATTCAAATGGACAGTTTGTAGCGAATGGAAAAATGTTATTTTTTTAGAACATGACCAATTTTGAATCAAATCGTGAATTAATTATTTTTATCCATCCGAAAAAAATAATTAAAAAGAAGATTTTTTGAGTTTTTCAGAAATAAAAATCATTATTGAATGTTGCTTTTTGAAAAAACAGCTGCTGGACTCCAGCAGCTGGATGACACTACTGGTACGCGTAGTAGCTGTCAAACTTGACGTTTCACTGCTATGCTAAATCTGATCTTAGATCAATAGAAAAAAGGTATAATAAATCTAATCTATCGGGATCTGGATACAAAAATCTGTATCTAACGAGAGATATCTAAGATTTACAAGCTTAACACTCAAAAGCATTCTTTTCTGATTCGGGCCGAATATGACGTTAGTTTTAAGATGAAATCAATTTTTCACAGACTTTTTCATACAAAAATTCACAAAAAAAATATTTTTGTATAGGAGTCATGCTTGTGGTAGCGTAATGACATGAAACTTTACACAGGTTGTTTTTTCCACAAGAAAATTACATTCTGAGAGTTTAAAGAAATTTCAATGCATATTAGGGATACCTCCCATACAAAATTTTCGGTTAGCCATATATTGAGCTATATTTTTGATTGAAATTTCTTTAAACTTTGTGAGATTATTTATATTGATAAGAAAATAATATTCACAAGTTTTCACGGCGATTTGAGTTGCTGCAACCAAACATAGACCATAATTTCAGTGTATTCCCAAATTTTTGGTTCCGTGGGACGTTACACGCTATATTAATATAGTCTAATAAAGTCAAATAAATCAACTTAAAATGACTTCGATCTCAGTCGGTTTAATGTGAAAACGTCCCAAAAAAAGCCAGTCAGTAATTTTCCACAAGGGCTGTTTACCTGTTTACCCAAGTCCCATTTGGACTTAAATTTAAAAGTATATTTCAGATCAGATATGAGATTAATCTAGATTTATCTCGATCTGAGATAAATATAAAAGCTTAGATACACAGAGATCAAAAATCTAAGATTTTGATCTCAAATCTGATCTAGATAAAAAAAATGATCTAAAAAAAACACTGCTCATCAATTATGAATATGCGAATTTAGATTTTTTACGAACTTTGACTCACATTCACCCACAAATTGTATCGTTTCACATATATTTTAACCTAGATTTTAACAGACCTGTTCGATAAGAAGAGGAAAATGTCGATTATTGTTGGGCTGTATTCAAACTTTTGACTTGTAATGTAATATTTATTTATTCACTAAAAACTCTGTACATTATAATGTAATGCATAATTCGTAATACAAGATAAAAAGTACGCAATTCATGTGTAAACAAATATGTGTTTGTCATTGATGTGTTTTGTACGTCAAAAAATTAGTAAATATAAATTATAAAAGCTTTCATTGAACTCTATTTTATTCCATTTTTCCTGTAAATTGATGTGATAAAGAACAAGTGATGACTATATTTTGGTATAGACTAATTTTATTGCCACTACTATTATTCATACAATTTTCAAGTAAGTTTTTATTTGAACGTGTTAAGTGATTTGTCAAACGGTTATTAATCGAACTCATTCCAGGCACCGAAAACGGTTTTAAAAAAGAAATCTTAATCTCTTGTGTCTCAAATTTCTTGTATGTATTGTACTGTGTAATAAAGATCTATTTTGTGGATGACTTTAATTTTTCAGTTGTTTTTTTTCTCGAAAATAAACGTTTAGTGCTGAAGAATTAACCAATTTCCATTTTAAATATGATGAAACGATGGCAGAATATAATTTTAAATTCCATGATGGTGAAATAGATCTCATAAAAGGAATGCTTGGAAACCGGAACAAAATTATATTTTTCTTTCTGGGCAATCAAGACCGCTTGAGAAATTTATGTGAGTAATGACAGAATGGAAATTGTAGAAGAGAAAGTACCAATAACGTATTGCATGAATTTCTAGCTGGCAGACATTTCTATTCAGCAAGAGGTAAACTTTGAAAATTGTATATTAACATATGTGGTTTTCTTCTAATTAATTCTATTCGTGTGTTTATCATGGATTAGATCAATTATGGGATACAGGAGCATGCGTGTGTGTCGTCAGCTATGATATTTCTGCTGGATGTAGTCTTCTTTCCGATTTTAAATATTTTACAATACTAAAAAATCGAACTCCACGCGTCGTTGAGATGGCTACCTCTTTCATTCAAAACATTATCGATTCAAGCGAATTTCCAATTAATTTGTCCACTGTATATTTAAGTGGATATTGTTTGGGTGGTCATATTGCGGGAAATGTTGGACTTGCTTTGAAAAAAATTTATAATGGACAAATGGTTCCGACAATTTGGGGTAAATAATCCAAGTTTTTATCTGAAAAATCCAAAAATAATACGCAATCCTTCGAAACAGCTTTTGATCCACCGTGGCTCGGTTTCACGAATGAAATTGAAGATGGAAATCCGAGACGAGTGCAAAAAGGCGATGCTAGATGCGTAGTCATTTTTCATACCTCTTGGATTGGGATCAAAGAAACAATCGGCGATATTGATGTAATGCTCAATGATGGAAATAAAATACAGCCCGGTTGCAAATTCCTTGAAAATCCAGACATTTCCTTCAAATGTAGTCATCAAGCAGCATTCACTCTTCGTGAATTAATTATAAAGAAGAGCGATAAACTACCATTAAACGAAGGAATCCCATTTGCAACTGCACATAATTCCGATCAGTGTCCCTTAGCATTTACGAATATGCCTCTCAATAAGACTGGTACATACTATTTACGTACTGGCAAAATATTTGGCACCAAGTTCAATTTGGTGGTCGATTTGACCAGTGTTTCCAATTAATCAGTTTTTTTCTCAGGGATTGTTCCTTTGGGGAGAAGGAATGGTGTGGAGGCAAATGAGGAAGAGGAGAGCGCTGGGGTGAATTCTCCTTCCTCAAGCTTTTTAACTTTTAACTTGAATCCAAAAAAACAATACTGCTTCCATTTTCATATATAATACTGTTTATCTAGCACGTTTTATATGCCTTGTGTTTTTTGCCTGTAGTACGTCAAATTGATAAAAATTTCATTATGTCAACGCACTTGGAGCTTGATCCAGCAAATTTTAATATTTTTTCACTTCTTTAAACTTTATAATTTATGCATTGTTTTAAAAAGATATATCACATTTATATGAAGTATTCGTCAACCCTAAATTGTGTTGTATATTTTCAAATGGTATTCCATAGGAGCGCCATATTCCAAACATTGGATCACTCATACTTACGTAATTACGTACACAGACATGGTAATGTGAAAACTAAAAAACTAAACTAGGAAACTAAAAAACTAAGAAAAATTGAGACTTATCAGGTCCTGTCAATGTAAACGTTATATGCGATTTACTGAAAAAAACTAAGAAAAATTATCAATACTAAAGCCCGTGTCTCCCCCTTAGGTTTGATTGGTATTTTAAAAATGTCATTCGAACAGGTGTAAATCGAGAGTTATTAATATCACAGATGAATCGTGTGTGCGTAAGAAAAACAAGAGTATAAGTATAAGAGAGAAAAGCTCATTCATTTGCTTTAATCCGCTCTCAAATTCGTTTTGTGAAGTAGTAAAAATTACCAGTTCCAATTATGACTTGCCCGCGTGAACATGCCAGACCACCGTACACTTTATCTACACTTTGCTCACACCTTCATTTTCATGTTTATTTCTTAATGCTTATTTTGCATTGAAAGTATAGCGAGAGTGTGACGAAGGTGTAGCGAACGTATACAATACTCTTTCACACTTTCGTCAGACCTTTGCTTCTTTTTGTATACATTAAATTCAGCCCCAATGTCTTCAATACTTTTAATGTATACAAAAAGAAGCAAAGGTCTGACGAAAGTGTGAAA